TTTTTTGTGTAGGAATATAGATATACCTTATATGCACTGTAAGAAAAAAATTGCCAGGTTATTGCCTTTCACCAGCGTACAAGGAAATTGTCACTGTAGTAAATAGCGGACATTATAACTTTGCAACCGTATAAATTATATAGAACTGTATAATTCCTATGGTCACGGAGTTATAATGTCTGCCAATACAATCTTGGCTTTTAGTTAAGTAAAAGTATTTACAGCAAATACTATTTATGGGAGTTCAAATTACTTTTTTTTAATCTAATACAGTAAAAAACACTATATAAGGCGTGCAATTTGAAAATTTAAGGTGCACAATTCGAAAATTTAAGGTGCACAATTCAAGAATTTAAGTCGCACATTTGAGTGTATGTTATATTATGTAAAAAATGAGAAATCACAAAGGTTCTTTACTTTCACATTTTTGTGAACTGGTTTACAGAATGCTAGACAATGTTATGGTAGTCCTCATTACTAAGACTATGCCATCCATCTTCGATTCTGGTGAGAATAGTCTCATTGTCATTCAAACTCTTTCTTTGCACTCTGTTCTTCACCACTTTCCAAAACATCTCAATAGAATTGAGTTCTGGAGAGTATACCGGAAGGTAGACCAAATTGTATCCCCTGGAGGAGATATATTGACTGATATCTGCACTCTGGTAGATGGGTGCATTATCCATCACCAGGAAGTTCTCCTTCATATCGGCATACTTGTCCATCTCACCAAGAACAGCTTTCACAAACATAAAGAAATGCCCGGCCACTGTACCCTTTGAGCCAGACTCACCAGAAGAGGACTGCTTGCAGAACTTAGGATTTCTCAAGCTGACGTATATAAGTCCTTTGGCTGATATAGCCTCAAGAATGGTAAGAGGGTGGGACCTGGTGGTTGGGATGGTGGTGACTCTCTTCTTTCCCTTCTTGGACCATCCTCTTCTGTGCCGCATGTGGTGATCCAGACACTTGGATGTTGGATTTATCACATATAAGAACATATTCATATTGGGATAGCGTAGTAGCTATCATCTTGTCAGTATAAAATATATATAAACGATTAAGTAATCAGCCCAATAATTATTACAGTTAGTACTGTAGATAATATCTTAAAGATTGTTAAGATAATTATATCATACTGCTGGGTAAACTGTGTCAGATCGATATGGAGCTAATTTAGTAGGAAGTCCTAAAGCTCTAGTATAAAAGAGAAAAGAATAGCTAAGAGCTAAAGAAGTACGATTTATGACTTGATGTCATAATTGTAACACCGACACTAGTTAAGCAGTAAATACACTCTAATAACCAAATATAATAAAGGAAGAAAGCCTTAAGAAACTAAGACGTAATGACAAGAGCAGATTGTGTTTTCTTATAAAAAGGGACACTTTTTATTTATGAATAAAGAAAACTTATATACAGTCTCAAAGTATTTCTATACGTCTCTATTATCAAATATTTTATTTTTCTATTGTTTCGTACCTGAAATACCACACCGCATGTTGATATCGAAGGCAGACTCGTCCAAGAAAACACAGTTGGTCATGTATTTGGCACTTGTTTTCTTCATCTAAAGAATCCAGTTATATCTTGCCTCGATATTCTCCTCACTGTTCTTTGCTACAGGCTGCTTATAGACCTTTTTGAATGTGAGATTGCATTCGTTGGCCATAAACCTCCTGACAGTCTCTTTTGACATGTTGATCTTGCCAAACACTGAGACGAGATGGTTCATCATGTCTTTAATGTAGACAGATGCATCTTCGGCAACAAATTCTTTAATGCACTTCTTGTGCTCATTGGTCAGTCCTTTTTTCCCACCCTTCTTGCCACGGTTGAACAAGTTATCCGGGTCTTCATCATACTTCTTTATCCAACATTGTGCCACTCTGGCGCTTATGTTCAATTGCTTTGCTGCAACCTTAGCACTAAGCAACTTCTTATCCTTCAGCTTAAAAAACTTGATGATGTCCTCATCAGTGTAAGTATTACGCTGACGAGTAGTCTTGCTTCTTTTTGGTGGGGGGATGCTTGGACTTCCCACTTGGTTCTCTGTCTGGGTACTCTAAATTGGATTTATATATTTAAATACGTTTTTAATTACCACTTTTTTTAAAAAAAAATACCTCTGAGACTTCTGAAATCCTATCTCTATTTCTTGCTTCAAGGAATTGGGAATGAGTTGCTATTGTCTTAAGACCATTATAATCCTCATCAACTATATAACTCAAAGCTTGTGAACTATTTTCATTAACGCTCTTTCCTTGACCATCTTCATACACGAATTTAAAGGAGGACATTTTGTTCTAGTAGAAGCTGAGATAATTGAGAAAGGAAGTGTATATTGTTTTCTTTATTACAAATAAAGCTTTATACATGCAATTCTTTTTGTGAAATTCAGTCACAAAAGTTAATAGAGTCAGTCACAATGTATTACAGTAAGCCACGTTATATACACTGGAACTAAGGCTTTTGGTTTTATAGCTTCTTGTTGCCACTAACATTTTGAAAAAATCTTTTTATTTCTTAGATGTCATATATAAATGGGACTTGATGCACTTCTTGCATGATTTTCTGCAAAGAAAAATAATAATACGTGCTTGGTACATCACTTTTTGTTTTTCTAAAAAAGAAATTAAAATCTTAAAAGTGCATCTTATTTTTTTAAATTGTGCGCCTTATTATCTCGAATTATGCACCTTAAATCCTCAAATTGTGCATCTTAAATTTTTGAATTGCGTGCCTTACAAATGTTTTTTACTGTAAAATCTTTTAAAATAGTAAAATTATATCATTTTTAGATAAATATTTCTCTTTTTATAGAAAATTTGGAGAATACAATTTGTTGGATTTCAGATTATTTTTTTCTAATCCAATCAAATAAGCTAAATATAGTAGAGCTATACCTTTTTTAAGTATATATATTCTTCTTATAATTGGTCTAGCTGTTGTACTCAACATAATCATAAATTCAAATAGAGCACACAGACAATAAGACAAAGACATATTGAATAAGCAACCAGTATCAATTATACATCATTTCTCACACTATCGTTAAATAAAGAATGTACTGATAACAAGGTCACACACCTTAGTCAACATCACTAATCACTCAAACAAGAGTGTGGGTAATAACTTAACAATATATTATCTATCATATAAGAAAACAGACATCACATGATATGCTCATATCATTATTCTAAATACACACACAATGTCTATATAAACTCACATAGCAAATAGTAATAGAACAGCATCCCTCTTTTCATCAATAAACAAAGTCTCACCGTACTTCTTGTCTGCACTTTGTTTTTCTTTCTTTTTTTTTAAAAAATATAACACCAGCAAATGCATTATGTTTTAAATGAAAATATTTTTTATTAAAAAAAAACCTTGGAACTGAAAAAAGACATATAAAAAACAATGGGAAAAAATAGAAACGAAATTGAGAGAAGTGTATTAAAAAGAAGTGTAAATAATATATATTATATGTGAAAAGCCTATAGTTTGATTTCATTAACTAAATTAATTAAATTAATTAATATCAGTGATATTTTTACTCAGTTGCTAAATACAATTTCTTTCATAAAGAATTACTTGGATATAGATTTATTAATTTACTGTTATTTAAAGAAGTATACCTTTCTTTTCTTTCTTATGTCATTTATTGCAGTTCTCCATTTTTGAGAAAGCATATGACGGACTGCCCATGAGTTTTTAAATCTATTAAGGGATATATTCTTCTCCAAGGCTTTTTTCTCAACCTTGTGAACAAGATAATTCTTCTGAAAAGACATTAAGTTACCCCATGAAGGAATAACATCCTTATTAATAAATGCATTGAATGTGTTTTTTATCACATGAAGCATAATTTTTTCTGTAATATAGTACATGTCTGCACCAGTCTGTGGATTTCCTCCGCCTAAACACAATGTCATTGTAGATTTTATCCCTTTGGCAGATAAATCACTTGACTCTGATTGGGAGTTTTTATCAGACCTTGGGATATCTCGACTGTCATTGTCACCAATATTTTGCCCTGACTGGGCCTCTCTTGACTCAACACATTGTTTGTCTCTTCTGTACGTCCCTCCAGAAGTACCCAAGGAGATGAAAGCAGAAATACTTTCAGATACAACCTCTTCGAAAGTGGTTTGGTTATTGTTTGTTTATGGGTTTTTAATTGTTGATATTTTTGTGTGTAAAGAATGAAGAAGTAAATAATTAAATTTTAAAAGTGTTAATTAAAATATATTTTTCACAGTCATAACTATGCTTAGAAACAATAAATTACTGTATAAGAATACGATTTTAATGAAAAGCAACTTTTAAAAACATAATGTATACAATGATATCCATATAAAACAATAAACTTTTATATCATAAAACTTACACTCTTGATACTTTTTTCTTTACACTATTCTTTGTAGCCTACCCAAAACAAAAGATGAACACAAACACTTCTGCAACTCGTATTTCTGGAAGTGACAGTGCCATTAGTGCAACTGATTATATGGATGTTGCATAAGATTTTGTTGTCCTTGCTCCTTCCCTCCAAGAAAGAAACTAATTGCTGTTTAACAGTACTGATCAAGCCTCTTTGGACGAATTCTATGGTTGAGAAAGGGCACGAGAAGTTTTCACTTTTACTCTCTACCAACAGAAAAGAAACCAAGAGGTGATTACCAGTCCCAACATGGCGTTTTTGAATGCAGTCCTTAATCAAGACATTGGTAGAGCCAAAGAAAATGATTTTGAAGCATTCATGGCTCCAGGAAGTATGCACACTATTAGTAATTCAGTAGATGTCGAATTCAACAATGATTATACTGAAACCAACGAAGCTGAATACAATGATAGTGATAATAGCAATGACTATTCGTATGGTAAGAGTAAAAAACAAAAGTTATAACAGACTTATGAGGTTTAACAGTTGGAGAATTTATTTATACATACATATACGTGTTACAAAATCTGTTCATGGATATTTGCATATTTGCAACCCAGTAAATATAAACACTCTTGCAATCAAGTCTGATTTTGTTACTGAGAACGTGAACCAAGAGTCCCACCTCCCTTTTTATGAGCCTAATACAGTGAGGGGCAAAAAGGATCACTTTTTTTAAGATCCCGATTGTTCTCCAAAATATATCTATTTTTCATGCTTAAAGAAAAGAAGCAAATACAGCACTTACAGCTCCCAAACTACTTCAGATTAAAGTTGAAAGCACTTGTTCTTATTATTTTATACAAGAGTCTTTATTTTAGTACTTGGTACTATGACCATTTGCATCTATTACAGCTTGACATTTTCTGTTCATGCTCTGGACCAAACTCTGCAAATACTTCTGGGGGATTAACTTCCGTTCCCTTATTACGGCATGTCTCAAATGGTAAATGCTATACAGGTTGTATCTGTTCATACGCACCCTATGCTTGAGATATGTCCAGAGATGCTTGATTGGATTCAAGTCTGGACTTTGAGGTAGCCAGCTGCCCAAAAGTTTCACCTTGTTTTTTTTCTTCCATTCTTTTGTCAGCGCACTCACATGCCAGCTAGTGTTATCCTCTTGCAGTCGAAATCTTCTCCAGCTATCTTTCTCTTTGAATGCCTTTAAAGAAGGGAGGTAGGCTCTTTCCAAGGTTGTAACATACTTCTTGGAATCGATATTTCCAGGCACAACGTCTAAAACTCTGACAGCCTTTCCATAGAAGCACCCCCAGACCATAATGGAGACACCTCCAAACTTCACAGTTGGCGGGACAAAGTTGGGTTTAAAGCCCTTGCCATTTGGCCTGAGAACGCACCGGCACCCATCACTTCTGTGGAGCTGGATCTTTGACTCATCAGACTAGATGACGGAATTCCAATCTGTTGTTTTCCAGTGCAGATGTTCCTTAGCCCATTGCAATCGCTTTTTACGATTGATTTCCAAAATCTTTGGTTTCAGAATCATCTTTTGAGAGTATATTCCAGCCTTGCAAAGAAACTTTCTCAAAGTCTTTACAGAAACTGGTGTGGGCAAGGTTCTAGCAATGGTACTCATTGGCTGTGTTGGATCATGGCTAATCTGAAGCATAATTCCTCTTTTGTCTCTCTCATTTAACTTTAAAGGTCTACCAGGTCGTGGTGCAGCCATATGCGAGCCAGTTTTTTTGTAGCTCTGAAGAACACGCTTCACCACGTCTTTGCTTACGCCTACTTTTTTGGCAATGTCAACCTGACTAGTGCCATTCTTAACACTCTCATGGACAATGATTGCACGAGTTGTATTATTGGTGTTTTTATGTTCATTGGTGGAAATCTTAGTAATCTTTTTTGTGCATTCGGTTTGATTGTTCATTTCATAAAATGTTAATTTAAGAAAAAAAAAGAAAGACTATTACATTTGCTGATTTCGGCATTTTAAAAAAAAGGCGATTCTTTTTGCCCCTCACTGTACATACGCAGAGGCTGCCACCCTGGAGTTATTCTCTATGTTTGTTGAGAATAACATATCTTGCAATGTTTTTGATAAGTGTATTAATATTGTAAATAAATACATGGCAGAACGCAGATTGCATAAGTATATAATTAAAAGTGAATTATTTATATGTAAGCTTATCATCATTTTAGCTGCAACAAATGCACTTCTGTCATATTAAAAGATGGACAAGATATTGAAGGATGAATACACTGCTCGTACAGCTACTTATGACATGTGCATGGAAGGTTGCGTCCATTTCCGTGATATAGAAGCTGGTAATCTGATAGACAAGGAAGAACAGTGTTTTTGCTGTGGTAGCCAATAGTTCAGATGTGAGAGAGATACTCTGATTCCTGTGCAGACCTTCAAGGTTGCGCATCTCTTGCAACAACTGAGATTCAAGCTGGGGAATAGTCAAGAACATGCCAAAATGACGTATGGTTGAAGTCATATCATAGGTAGTCCTTTTGGTGTGTTGTCAGATGTGTTTGACAGTGGTGCTGTCCGCAGACTGTGTGAAGGTGGTATAGTTGGCCAGGATGACATCTTGGTTACCATGTTTGTTGACCAGTTCAACCTCTTTGATCATACCAAGATGTTGGCAGCTATAATTCATGTTGTCAATCTAAATATTGATCCAAAAGAAAGATATAATATAAGACCTTATATATAAATATACTAATAAAATATATTTAGATATGAGAGCAACAACATAATGCAGCTGGCGATTATATCTGGACCAAAACACTCAAGGTATATAGAGTCATTTCTTGAGCCAATCATTGAGGATTTTTGTATACCGGCCACTTTGGGTATTCAGATTTAGACTGTTGCTAGACAAATTAATGTAAAGATTCATCTTGTCATAACAACTGGTAATAATCCAGTCGTGTCAGACTTGATGAACCTGGCCCATCACAATTCTTTCTTTAAATGTCAAGCTTGCCTTTCCAAAGATGTTTCCAAACATCACACAATATGTTTTTTTTGGTGATGAATTGCCTGTTCATATGAGAACTTTAGAAAGTCTCTGTCAATTGGAGGGAAATGTAAGTACTTAATTATTGAATTATTGAAATATTAATACTTTCTTTTTAGAGTTACAGTGTCAATGGTCCAAATGCTTTCAGGGATCTTCCTACACTGACTAGTCCTGCTTTCTTTGGGCTCAATAAGATGCATCTACTTAGACATGATATAGGCAAACAACTATACAAAGCATTGGGTGAAAAGTTTCAGATCAGTCCTGAGATTGCAGACAATGCAGACCAGTAGCAATCACAGCAACAGCAAAAACAGCAAAGCATATACACATTTGCCCTAAATGTCAGGCTTAACCAGATCGACAGATCAATTACCAAGTACAGGGCAGACATTCCAGCAATATTTACTGGTAGTTGGTGGTTGCTCAAGAAAACAACTGGTCAACAGAAGGCGGTCAACTGGTTGGACTTTCTTCTGTTTGTTGTGCCAACTGTGGTGGTAAAGAACTTTGTCCTTGCCAAAACCAGAAATGCTGTGCAAGATCTGGTAAAGGCCTGCACTATTGCCCAGCAGTGGAAAGTGACAGAGAGAGAAGTCAACATCATGGAAGAGTAAGTCAATAACATATATATTAAACAATGTTTTAATCACTTTTATAGAGCAATTGGTTGCTGGCATGTATTCCTTCGTCACGAAGTTGCAGAAAAAAGGTTAGAGCCCACAATTTTTGTGATAAACCAGCACATGCTGACTCATCTCAGCTACATGATGAGAGAGATGGGCCCACTGCAGGCATACAGCTGCCACCTAATCAAACGCACCATTGGTGAATACAGGGCAGCAATCCAGTCTTGGAAGGAGCCAGGGAAAAATATGGAAAACATCCTGTTATGTAAGGCTAGGGTTAAACATTGCCTTGGTAGTCAGGCGTCCCGTAGAAGACTAATGGACAGGAGAACCAGCAACTTCGAAGTTGCAAGTAACAATATTGCTGGTCCCCAACTTTGGTCAAACCCAACCAGAAAGTCTTTGGGTGTTGTGGCAGATGAGTGTGAAATGAACTACCACAATCTAATTAGTTCATTAGCGTGTTTATGGTTGAAGAAACCACCAACGTAGTTTGCACCACAAAGATGTGGAAGAACAATGTGGTATATAGAGTCTGATCTTCATTTGAAGGCAGGCATGTTTAAGCCAATGACCTTGTTATACTTGAACACCTGAATGAGTAAGTGTAATGAGTTATGTTTTATAGTGTTATATTATTAATCACGTTTCAATTAATTTTTTCAAAGGTATGAATTTGTTCACAAATTCTTTTCTCAGTCTGTCTTGGAAGAGACCAGGCTCTTTGCCATTTGTGGTATACACACCACAATTGAGTGAAGAACAGACCCCACAACCAAACACTGGTTCCTTCTTGCTAATGGACCTGGCAAGTTAACAATCTCCAGAACTGTTACACACCAGGCACACGTACACTACATACTCATACAGTGTAAATCAACCATTACACAACAGGGATTTCAATTACAGAGATTTGAATAGTAGCAAATATAAAAACAATATTATTCTGTCTCTTTAATAAATAACACTCTCACGGTATCTACTTTTCCCATTATTAAGATACTAACCCATAAACAGTCCCGAATACCTCACCATTGTTGACTGTCTGCGTGGAATCTGGCCCAACAATGAGGAGAAGTTTCCTGTGTGGGAAAGTCTAACACTCAGTGAGATTAAAGTAGTGGAGATGAAGTCCATCACAGGGATGGCTGGTCTCATTCATGATATCAACAATGAAACCATTAGACATGTGGTATTTCCTCATCCACATTATTACAAATAGTTTTTTTCCTCTTCTTTTTTTTTCTATATATGCAAATATAAATCCTTTTTTTTAATCTAATTATTCACTAATGTGAAGTACATTGACATGGTTAATTATTTGAAATCAGAGTTGATACTGAAACTCAAGTTGAATATATATTTAGTTAATTGGTTGTGTTTTTATCTCTGACAATTTCGGAAGAGAAAAAAATATATAGCCCTTGTATTTTTATCAGAAATGGCTATTCAACTTAAAAATAAGAAAATAAAATAAAATAATGGCTCCATGAGACAAACCTAAATTTAAAGCTTTCTAAATGTAGAAAAAATATTTGATAATTGAAAAAGCGGCTTTTTTCTTCAAAATTTGGCAGGTTGTTTCAAATAATTGTAGATTGTTTTCTACAGTGTGTTGAGAGAATTGCATCGAGAGAATTGAGCCACATCATATACAATTCCAATTGTAATTCATCATCTGTTTTTTAATTATTTACCAAAACACCCTGTCAATTTTTATTTTTTTGTTAATGATTTGTTTCATTTTGGCTATATAGAATGAGCTTTTTAAAGTATAGTTGTTTAGTATATTCCTTTTTGTAACTAGAGCCCTTATTCTAGAAATTTTGTCAGTTCTCTCGACAGTTACATGGTCAAAAACACTATGTAATTGTTGAGGGAATTGACAAATACACCTGGCTTAGGGTGAAATTGACTTACTTCCAACTCTGCTAAAATCAAAGAAGTACACCTCTGTTTTTCAAGGTTAAATAAGTTCTCAAAGACATGATCCTAAAAGACAAAAAATGAATGGAAGATTTTGTAATATGTGTTGCTTATTTATATTAAAAATTGATGGAGGTTTAATAGTTAATAGCTCCTCCATGCTTCTTCCTAACTAATATCATACGATCTTTAATGCTCAGGCAAAACTTCACACAAGTACTTGCTGTGATTTCTGCCCACTCCTTCAACAAAGCAACGTCCAGTTCTTTTAGCGTGGTAGGCTGGGGTCTTTTATCTCTAACCTTGTTATCAAGGTAGCTCCACATATTCTCAATTGGATTGAGATCTGGACTTTTTGCAGGCCATAGTAAGATAGCCACATCGTTTCTTTTTTTCCACTGTTCCGCCAACTTGCTCTTATGTGGTTTGGCATTGTCTTCTTGAAGAAGGTAGGTGGTGGTGTCCTTGTCAGGAAGGGCAGCAAGAAATGGGAGATAGTTGTCCCTCAGTGTCTGGACATACATTTCTTTTGTCATGTAGTCATCTAATATAACTAGTGGGCCAACACCTCCTGCCCAAATACATCCCCAAACTGATACTGAACCACCCAACCCTTGCACTGCTGGTACCAGACAGTCATCGTCATACTTTTCATGCGGTTGGCACCAAACATATTGCTGTCCACCTTTCTGAAAAAGGGTGAATCTGGACTCATCACTCCAGATTACTGATGTCCATTCATCATTCCAATTTTTTCGCTCCCTAACCCATTGCAAGCGTGCCTTCTTATGTGTTTCATCTAGGTAAGGCTTGGCTACAGCAACACAAGAGCAAAGGTCCATATCGTGCAAATATTTGCGTACTGTTGCTTGACTGATTGAGATGTCATGCATCTCTTTAACACTGCGCGTGATGGTAGCTAATGTGTCGCATCTATTTTTTTTTGCGGTGAACTTCAAATAACAAATTGCCCGTGGTGATAGCTTCTTAGAGGCCCTAGGATGCTCCTTCTCAGCGCACGTCTTCTTTGTCTTGTATTTTTTAATTATACAATAAACAGTTGATTGGGGTATGCCTTCTGCATGTGAAATCTCATAGGAGCTACGTCCTTCTTTATATCTTCCAATAATCATTCCTTTTTCGAAATCTGTTGTCTTATAATATGAGTTGGTAGTTTTAGCTTTATTGTTCTTTGGCATTGTGATTTGTTTTATTAGAGAGATTACAGAATTAAAATAAAAGGAAAATAGAGAATGGTCTTCTTGCATAGAAAGAAGTAATGGCGGAGTTGGAAGTAAGTCAATTTCACCCTAAGCCAAGTGTATATCCATTTGGAATCAAATAAATTAATATGAAAAGTAATTTTTCTTTCAATTCTCTCAATGCAACTTCCTTGACAATTCTCTTGTATGCTGGTGAATGATATTTCTTAAAAAATCTGGCAAACCTGGCAACTTTCTTAATTTCCTACAAGCTTTATCATGTTTAGCTTGTTTGCAGCTTAATTAGGCATATGAATACTGATATTAGAGACGTTTGTGGACTCAGATTTATAGAGTTACACAGAATATTAGCTAAAAAAAAGACTTTTTTGAAACTCAAATTTTCAACTTGTATTGCCGTATTTAGCTTATTTCTGTTACATAAAATTGTAGGACATTCATTTTAACTAAACGTACAAGCTGTCATTATTGATTGTGACTTGATATTCAGTAATGAAAACATTACTGTTACTTGAAAGGGCCGCACCTTTCCCTTTTTCTTTAATAAAGTCTTAAAATGTCTCGTTTTGATCCTATTATTGAACTAATGGATCATTACATAAATCACAACTCTCGGCATATTGCTGAAGAACAAGAGCTAGGATGGGTATCTGTTCCTGAACAGCAAGAGGAACATGCAGATATTTACGAAGATCAAGAGCCCACTAATGAAGAAATTCAAGAAGCACTTGCTTAATACGCCCGAGACCGTGAGCAGGAAGGGGAATGCATAGCTGTCTCCTTGCATTGTCAAGGTTGCTTAGACCCAGGCACCTTGTCTAATGAAGATTCTAAACTTTTGTTTAGATTCACACAGCCTGAGATATAATTAAATCATTGCTTTCAAGAAAAAAAAGTACTAATTTAATATATTTATAAAACCAGATATGCTCCTTGGCCACTCTTCTTGAAATGGGAGACATCGTCTACTTTTGAGAAGGCACTCCAAGTGAATTTTCTCTGCCAATGACACTGGCTCTAATGATTGTGCTTCGCAGAATGGTTTTCCCTGCTTGCTTAGTAGATTTATCTCTGCTCTTTGGAAAGGGAAAGTCTACTCTCATTGTCATCTTCAATGAAATAATAGAGAAGATTTATATTAAGTTCTATCCAGTCTTGAAGTTTGACTACTGTCAATTCTGGGAATCAAACCTGATGCGCTTCAGCCAAGCCATTAGAGAAAGACGTAAATAACACTTACAAAATATAATATTAGTTTAATAGTACTTACGTTTTATATATTATTTAGATAAAAGCACCGGCAATGTACTGTGTTGGGTTTATTGATGGAACCTTCAACAAGATAGCAAGGCCCATTGTTGATCAAGAGGGGGCATACAATGGCCATTACGTGAGTGAAAGATTGAATATATATATCTGACACATGTCTTTACTCAATTTATATACTCTTTATAGCGAGGACATGGTTTGAAATACCAAGCAGTGGTAACACCCGATGGTATTACTTCGTTCATTATGGGGCCAGACAATGGTAGGAATCACAACGTGTGCATGTACCGCGAAAGTCAATTGGATGCCATGATGTGCATAGCATTTAACTTTACAAACATAAATGGTCCATGCTATTACTTGTATGGTGATCCGGCATATACTGCATCAGATCATATGATGATCCCTTTCAGAAGACGTAAGTATTGTACAGTTATCTATCTCGACAGTAAAGTCTTATGGTTTGCATATTGTCTGTTTTAGAAACGGCTGATGAGCAAGAACTTGCTATCAACAAAAGTATGTCTGCTGTGCGAATTTCCGTGGAGCACAAGTTTGCTCATGTCGGGAGTCTGTGGGCTTTCTTAAAGTACTCACAGACCCAAAGAAGTGGTCGGTCCCCAGTGGGACTATATTATATTGTTGGAACGTTCTTGAAGAATCTCCATGTCTATTATAATGGAGGAAACCAGACAAGCAAAAAGTACGGTGTTGCTCCTCCTACACCAGAGCAGTACATTTATGGATTATTAAACCAATAATATTTTTTTACTCCAAACTATCTGTAATGCAAAGAAATTTGATGACTATTATGACATGTTTTACATATATATATTTTTATTGTTTTTTAAGACCTTAAAGCAGGTATCTCTGCATATTGTACTTGAAACGAGCCTGTCTCTCCTCTAGCAGAGTCTGTCTCTGCTCCAGTGTTCTCTGCCTTGTCTCAATAGCCAGAAATCCTCTTTCGACATTCTTCTCCAACCTGCGCATTAAGGTAAGTACCTCACCATCACTTATTCCAGTCACCATACTGGACAATTCATTCTGAAAGGACTTGAACATTTCTCTGGCATCAGAAAAGTTGGCCATTGATTGATCGACTAGATGTCCAGAAGAACTGCCCTCTACTTTATCTGTACATTTCTTTTGTTCAACAACTCTCAATGGATTGTTGGACTTCAATAAAGTCGCTCTCTCCACGACTTTATCTGCAGCTGCCTGCTTCTGGACTTCTTCCTCAGAAGCCAATTGCTTTTTCATAGCCTTGCTCCGATCTCCTTCAGCCTCCTTTAAAAACTTATAGTATTAAACACATTGATATTCGACAAATATACCTAATACAACGTGAAGATTACCAATTCAACAAGCTGAAAGAGAAGCTGATCGAGATCAGAGTAGCTTTTGTTTGACCCTGTCATTTTTTTTCTTGGGTCTGTCTTGCTTTGAACTGCTTGACCAGATTCTTATGTCTCTGCTTGAGTGTTGAGACACCAATTTTGTTGCCTTTACCTCTGGCATCATTGATCTTTTTGAGGATTTCATCCCAGGCAGTACCTGATTGCCCATGACCAGCATATTAGAGCTGTCAGTGGATCAACAATTCTGCAAGGAGTCTGTCTCTTTCAGTGATCAGATTTATCTTGTAATTAAATCTGATGGAAGCATCTGCAGCAAAAGTATTCATATGTGCGTTCATGTTTAAAACCAAGTGAAGGAAAAGTGGTAAAAACGCGTATTATGATAGTAGAATGTTTATAAAATTAAAATTAAAAGTGACTTTTTTGGGTGTTACAATTATCAGCTTGCCGTTAGTTTAGAGCAGAAAATAAACGAGTATGAGAGGCTACCAATTTGAATAAGGTTTGAAAGATTTTCTACCAAACTTTAATCAAGTTGGTAGAATAGTGTCTCTATACAGATGTGTATGTAACATCGGGTTTCCTTTAAGACAATGAGCTCATGCAAAAAGTTGAAAATCTGAGTTCACAAACGTCTGTATTAAAATAAAAGTTTATCACAGAAGACTCTTAAAGCTATGTTAAGAAGTCAAGAACTCATAATATTTATTATTAATCCAGGAAAACCATTGATAATTGAATATCACGCTGCCCTTTTTTTTAGAAAATAAAACATCTTTATAAGGCATACTATGACATATAAACATTTATAAATGAAATCAATGCAATCCAAGTAGTAAAAAACAACTTTGCAGAATTTATTATGTTTTTATACTGATATTCAGTTATTGTACTGAGGCTTAGATTTTTCTCTTTTCAAAAGTAAACAACAAGTGTTTTTTAACTACACTAACATTTTTTTCTTTTCTTTAATCAATATCATAAAATCAATGGTACATTTAGTAGTTCTTATACTAAATAATGTTGTTATAGAATAATGCTGCTATGTATATATGAATATTGGGATAAATATATCAATGTTAATAGATTTTAATGGTAAATTACTAATCAAACTTCATTTTGATCATAATTAGGCTTGAATTTTCTAAACTATTAAAGGTATAAATGTCCAAAATGAAAGTATGAGTAAAGTGTAGAAACTATCAAATATAAAGGTCTAAATTATTTTATGCTCATTCAATATCAATTGTATGCTATTTAAAATAAATTCTTTCAGAATGCAAATACTAATTTTTTTCTTTCTTTCTTCTTTTTATTTATGTATAGATTAAAAGCCTTTCAGTTATTATTATAGTTTTTTGGCTTGCTTTATACAAAGTGTCTATTAATTAGTTAAAGATACTGCTACAGGTTGTAGAAGTACTTTTATGCATATTGTATCTTGTTAGCCCCAATATTTTCAATGTGAAAAATAAATAAAAATGAGTTTTTTTTAATAAATTTGAGTGTTTGTAACCTTCTAAGAGCATCTGCAGCAGTTACATTAAAATTAATTTTTGCAACTGTTTTAATGTAGATTCCGAAATGTTCTCAAAAAATTGTCTGCAGCAGTTATATTTCAGACAACATTATAGATAATGTAGTCCATTTTTAAGGTCAGAAACATTACATGTAGTGTTACATTATAAATTGATATTATCTTTTTGAATCGTTTTCTTCCCTCTCACATCCTTTGTTAAAACGAACAATAGTCTATAGAAATGAGCAAAGAAATTCTCACAAATTATGCTCACTATTAATCTGATAATATTGAAATTATTAAATTCATATTTTTAATGCATCAATAGAAAACAAATGTCCAATAAAATATATTTTAAGAAAAAGAATATGAACAAAATCATTAGTGAAGAACTGGAAACTTTAGACGGTCAAAAAGCTCAAATTGTTCCTTTGTAATGTAACTACAATTTGGCAATCTATTTTTAACTGGTATTCAATTCCTGGTGTGGCTATACTATACTAAATATAACACCACGGGAGATTTTTCTAGTGTTACAAATGACTGTTTTGTACGACGGTGGCTCGATTTCCTTTTTTGGATTTACTATTTTTGAAGCTTCACAATTTTAAAAATGGACCAAATTTGAAAAATAGAATGCTGACAAAAAAAAATCTTCAGTTTGAAAAAAATATTTTTATTTTTATTTTGTGGGTTGAAAATACGGGGGTCATAAAATACTAGGCTACCAGTACCAGCCTAGTACTGGCTGCTATTGCAGGGTAGACAGGAGCTGCTGGTACTGGTAGCTATTATTATAAATAAAAAGCTAGCTAGCTACTTCAATACAATTTACAAAATAAAAAAGCTATGGATAGAACCTTTCCATTTCATTGAGCTTGAAGTGTTTCAAACCTATATAGACGACAAGAATGATTAGTGGCTGCAATCTTTAAGAGTTGTTTCCAATAACTTATCTTTGATAATGATGATAATGAATAAATCTAGAGTAAGATATAAATTTGTTTTTATTAATATTCATATTGTATAGACTACTCCTAATGTCAACACACGTATCTTTATAAGCTTAAAATATTGTTGAATCTTATACTATTTCAAGATTAAATGTGATTAGTAAATGCCAATTAAAATAAATGATCTTTTATATTGTTTTTTAGAAGCCGTCATATATATCATACCATAGATTTTCGCAAGAAGAACATGTTATTTTATACTAGCATTAAAAGTTTGATTAGTAACTTGATCGTGTTAAAAAAATACAAAGTAAAGAATGTTTTGGTTTTTTTATTTTTATTTTTTCTTGGTTTTTTAAAATCTCAGCAAAATAATGCAATTTAATTGGTTTGTTCACAAAATAGACACGTTGTAACTTGAACAAAATTAAGGGGTACACGTTAATTCTATCTATCTTTTTGTCTTTACTTCCTTTACATTACAAACAACAATGAACAGAGTAACAAAAAAACTTGCCCCAGGAAGAGTATCAGTACCTACTCTGAGAATTCTGGGCCAACTCAACTTCAGTCTTGTTGACATTGGCAAGTCTTGCTCACTTTGTGAGAAGACCTTTAAAGATCACTGGAATCTTAAAAGACATTTGCAAAGATGCCATGACATAACGGAAACGGTTGCAGATGATATGAGCAATGTCCAGGAGACCGAATATCAAGATATACAGACAAGCGACAACCCAAAAAATCCGCTTACACCAAGTGAAAGTGTGGAAGAGGAATCAGACGTTGATAATGAATACTACAACAGTATCTTAAATTATGACGAGTGTGAAGAAAGTGATGATGGAAGTAGATTTGACAATAGTGATTTTGATGTTGAGAAAAACACAGAGCCAAACGCAGGCATTCCTCTGTTTAATTACATCTTGAACAACATGTCTGCTTTCGCCAATAACAACGAATCTTCAATAGATGAAGAGGATGAATTCCAGAGTGAAGTGTTTAACTCTACCACCTGGAACAGATTTACACCAAATACTCATCCATTTAAAGATATCCAGATGATGATTTTGCTCACACTTGTCAATAGTGATAACGACATGATTTCTTATAAAATGTTAAAGAAGATATTATTTACTATCAATCTTCTTCTAAAGATTCACGAAGAAGCTATTAGAAAAGACATTTCTTTCAAGTTGCCCCGGTTAGATGCACTCTAGAATTACTAGACATGGAAAAGATCGAACATCCCAATTTTCAAATCGAAAAGTTTAGATGTTACTCTCTCTGACAGCACAAAAGTCACTGCATTCCTTAACTTGCCTTCTGAGCACATCAAACTCCTTGCTGCCAATCCTATAAAGTCAAAATCAATCTTTTCTTTATCTGATTGCACGCCAAACCAATCTGTCTGTCTTCAATAAGGAGAAAAATGGAGAACAAATACATACTTCCAACAGTCCATGTTTACCCACAATAACGTTGATTTCTAGTCTGGTGACATTGTTCTGTTAAAAGATTGCTCGCCTAACATTTGCTTTCTGGTGAAATCTTTTCATATAATGGATACATCTAATGTTTTCTCTCGTGGATATATTGTTCGAACTCCAAAAGAGAGTTGTAGCATTGGCATCGAAATCAATCATACCAACATAAATATTGAATCATTTCTCTCTGTCAACACAACCCTATTAAACATCTCCTTATGTTGCAGCATCTCTCCTGACACAATTATCTTGCTCATTCCAACTCATCATAAATTACTTGAAGAAGAACATTTTTTGAAGAGGCTTATATGCGACGGAACTGACCAAGAAAACAACCGAAGAAAATATTACAAGGTAAAGATTGCATCTGTAATTCTTTTCTCAGATAATACTTCTGGAAACACCTCTAAGCAATTTAATCCATACGAGAGCTGGTCAATGAAATGTGTGGGTCTCTCTTTTGAAGAAAGGTGCTCCATAGAGAATATCTTATTTATATCAGCAATTCCAAAGAAGAAAGGTGCAAACGCTGCCTCGTTGTTACCTGAAATTGTTAATGATTTGAAAAAGCTAGAAAACGGCGTGGTAATGTTCTCTGCAGAAGATAATGCATATGTTCTTGTGGTATCTTCTTTACTTTGGATTGAGGCAGATACACCTTGTCACTCAGAGCTTTGTGGTTTAGGTGCGCCCAACTCAACTTACCCTTGTAGAAAGTGCTACATTAAATTGCAAAGTCGAATCCCCAAGTTGAACGAAGTTGAATACTATACTAACAGGCATCCAACAAGAACCAACGATCATTATATCCAGGCCACTTCTACACCAGACAGAGATACAGTAATCTCTGATATTCCTTACTTTGACAACAAAAACACAGCAGAAGAGTTAAGTTTTAAAAACAAGTCAACAGACAAACTGCTAGAACTTAAAGCATATGACCAGTCAAAAGACACTCCTGCTGAAATATTGCACTACATTCTCCTTGGCATTGCAAAGTATCTTATCACCGATCTGGTTAAAGTTGTCTTGAACAAAAACAAAAAAGAACTAGAAGAACTGTTTGATTACATTAAAGACTACAAAAATTCCAGAGCCATATCAAGAGCATTTACAAGGTCTCTCACCTATGCCAGTTCGTTTCTTGGTAGAGACTTCAAGGTACTAATCCAAATACTTCTGGTAATCCTGGCCATAAAGTTTGCAGATACAGAAGTATTACAGGAAATCACTCCCCTCTTTGTTCGTCTTGGCCATCTATGGTCTCTAGTATTTGTTCGATCTATCGACAGTCAATACGAGACATATATCAGTGAAGTAGACTCTGCCGTTAGAAGTCTAATTGAAGCCCTACACAAATACGGCACTAACTGTAAACATAAAAAACATGCATTCTATACGTCCAAGCTGAAAGTCCATCTGTTGACCCATCTACCTGAAGATTTATGAAGATTTGGGTCTGCTCTTAACTACAAGACTGAAAAGGGAGAGCAGTTCAACAAGCACATTCGTGAACACTTGTTTCATACAAACCATATGAACACATCGAAAGATATATGTCTCAAATTTGGTAAACAATATATGACAAGACATATTATTGATGGTGGTTCATGGATAGGCAAGAATGGTTTAAGGAAAACCTGTGAAAAAGCTATTGCAGAATATATGCAACAAATCTCTGATGGGAAATTCCATGAAACTTTGCTCGGTGGGTCCAGAGAATTTGCAGACAACAACGGTACAGGTTTGACCCCTGGAAAGATATTAAAAGACAATACATTTGCTCTATTTAGACAAATCAATAGATATATTATCATTGGAATAGTGCTTTTTTCTAAAGGATACTATTTGTATATCAAATATCCATCCGCGCATGCTGTTAACAACAATTATCATCTAGCACTCAAATATGCTGATGATATATACATGCCACTAGATGAATTGAAGGTTGTTTGTCTATTAGACACGCATCTGAAAGTTGACTGTAAATATGTTGTTAACCTCAACAAATTTGGTTCATACTGGTCCTTCCTTTATTCCTTTTATTAATTTTTTATATCTTTTTTTTTATCTCAATAAAACATTCTAATTTCTTTAAGTCATTTTTTAGTTCTCTTCTGTTACACTAGAAATACATTTGTGGATGTCTGTACTGCAAGCATTCCCTTATAAAGAACACAAGTTTTGATTTATAAGTATAAAAGGAAATTACACGAGCAATATATTTAGTAAGCCAATAAGATAACAGATGCATTTTCAATTTCCTAATTTGATATCAGATTTCATCCGTGGTGAATGTTTTCAATAATTTAACCACTGCAGATGCTTTAATAAGGATACTGATCCCTAGATATACATTAAAGTCATTATAACAATAAAAAGCTATCTGTCAATATTATTGGTTAAAATAAGATCTGAATCTCATTATTCTACACATCTGATTTGCTTAAATAGGTGAAACTGATTGCTATATACTGAAGCTTTATTGGCTCAGAAGAATGTTGCTGGGTGACACTTTTTAACAATTTTTGTCCAATTGGTAGTTTAATACCTGAAATTTCTTACAGTGATGCCCATATATAGACACAATTATCTGCAATAAATTTTGATTGAAATAAATCACGGATTTAAAAATGTTTTCAAAAAAATGGCTCAAAAAATTGTGTTTCAAATAAATTAGTTTTTATTTTGTGTTTCAAAGTAGAAAAAAATGCTAAGCTATAGCTACACCATATAATTTATAAGCAGAAATATCTAATAAATTAAATCTAGTTATTCTAAGTTAAAGATAGAGTCGTGGAGTCTATATATCACTTATAATTTGTAAAAACAAAAACACCAAAGAGCTACCTTGATAGTGGAATAAAAGAGCAGTCTAATAAAATATAAATATGAATGAGTATTTCAAGCTTAAAAAATAAGTTAAATAAAAGCTTATCTTTGAGTTTACCAAGATGCATCTCATAAAATTTTGAATCTCTACAAGTGAAAATGAATAAAAGATGGTTAGTATTCAATTACTTTGTAAACTAGATGTGTGGGTATTATCTCAACTCATTTTGATCAGATGATAAAAAGGTTAATTGTCAGCTAATGAGACCCAAGATAGATAACTGCATTACAAAGTACAATATTACTTTTTTATTATATATACCTTAAAAACAAGAATATATAGATATGTTTCTTAAAAAGATAATATGGTATGTTTGGGAATAAATATCTAAGTTTTTAGATGATTTTCAAAGTTTCTTGACTTTTGCTACAGACAAGTTATTGAGAATTGCTTAAACATGTTTTATAGGGAAGACTCTTCTAAATAACTTTTGTCTAAAAGATTCTCAAAACAAGAATTGAATAAAAAGTGATAGACCTTCAAAGTCAAGAGGTATCAATAGAAAACAGTGGAGTTTCAGCTTTTTTTTAATATTGAAATAAAAAAGAGAGTCACTATAGCAACAAATACATTTCAATGTTTCTAAAAAATGGTTGTGTAATGTAGAATACTATTTTTTTGATTTTCTTTTTATATATATTGGGAATTGAATATATTTTACTATTGGAGTTATATTGGAATAAAATTGAAAAGATTTCAAAACTTTAATGTTTATGCTCAAACATACCATATATTATATGTAAACATATAATGAACAAACTTTTGTTGGTAAAGTAGAGTAAGAAAAATGCAAAGAACATAATCTCACACTTATTCAAAATTGATTTAAAAAGTTCTTATTGGTCTACTGGCTTTTAATATCAATATTGCAACTTGTAGAAATGTTTTTAAAAAAACGCGAAGTTATTCTCTCTCAGTTTGTCTTATTTTTATAAGTTAAGAAGGCATGTTCTAATAGCAAATAATTGAAATTACAGTTGTAACTTATTAAAAAAAATGTGTATATATTTATATTTTTATTGGGTTGAGTTGTGTCTTAGAAGGTTGCCTTTGCTAGACATTCTTTACTAATATTATGTAAGAAACAAAAAGAAATGTGTATTTTTTCTTATTTGAAATTTTGACAAAGTCATTTTATATGCTAAAAATTGTTGCCTTTACCAAATTTTAACAGAATTATTTTTTCATTACACAATACAGTCTCTGCATTTTCTTATTCAATGTTTTGTCTTACTTGAACAGCTTTTTGTTATGATCCAAAAAGTTTGAAGTAGAATTAAACCTTCTTTCTTCCTTTATTTAAAAGAAAAAATATTTAACTTATGAAATTATAGAAAGAAAAATTGTCTAGGCCAATAATATTGTTTGGGTACCATACCCTACCATATGTGGCTTTCAATTTTTGTGGTAGTAGAATTTTTTGTTTCATTTTGATTTTTTTCATGATTTTTTAATTATTATAGGCCAAAAATGAAGTCACAATTCCAAAAAACACCTTTTTTTCCCATAGTGTAATAGTTTCTAGTAAAATGTTTTTCTCTTTCTTTCTTTAGAAAAGGTGTTATCTAGTAGAAAATTAAATATTTTACCCATTTTTAATTGAAACGGCAATTTAATTTCCAATAGTTGTTATACATTTTTCTTGGTTGATGCGATTTAATAGAAAATGTACATGAAAAATTACGAATTTCATAATTTTCTACTAATATTTTCTATTAAATATTTCTTCAAAATCAAGCTTATTCTCTCACTCTCAAATTAAGGTATAGGGTAGCCAAGAGTGTCTATTGTATATGTAATTAATTTATGCAATCTTTAAAGATCGAATTTATTTAAAAAAAAAGATGGAAATTTATGACGATTTATTTTTCTTATATTTGACACAGTATGATATTCTTACCAATTGATAAGTTTCTACAACTGCTGCCAGAGTGCTTTGTTTTTTACTGGGTTTGTCCAATCTTTATTTTTTAGCAGTCATACTTTTTTCATTAGATAACACCTTCCCTTTTTTCTATAACAAACAAGTAACTAATTTTTTTTTACAATTATAAACAATACAGAAAATACAGTCATTCAGCTGCTTCAAGAAATACAAGCTGCGATTATTTCTTTAAAGAGTGGTCAAGAAGCATTGCTAGACCATCAAGAAGCATTAGAAAAAAAACAAGATGTGGTGCAACTTCAAATGACAAATGTTTACAATTTATTTAAAGATTGTGAATTCCCAAACAAAACTATCGCAACATCTAGCAATGTAAGCAAATGCCATAATAATTAAAGTTCTATTAATTAATACTAAATATAATAGACTCCTACTGACATCATTCTAAGACCAGTATCAAAAATCAATAATATTACTACAAAACATATATATATGATGATAAAACATGATCTTGGGATTGAGCTAACCGAGGAAATCAAAAGGATTGTTAACACATGCACCAAGATTATATGTGATAACTGGCAGCTCTTCCATCTGTTCAGGATCTTGAAACAAACCACAGCTGTTCATTGCTTCCTCAAGAAGATAAAAACAGGCTGTGTATCAATCATTCTATCATACTCAGAGACAATGAAATTGATTTCACCAAATGTCACAGAAACTGAGCGTCACTTGCAAAGGTTAGCCAGCTCTGGAGAGAGCATATGAAGCAAGAATCTTCTGGTAAGTTCATATCTGATAGGTATAATTAATTCTGTAATTAATGTGAAAATATGTAATAATCTGAAGGAATTTTAGCCAGTACAATTCACAAATAAAAGATTATTTCTATTATAACAACCAATGAAAACATTTTTAAATAATAATCTTCAATGAAATAAAGCTTTTTTACTCAATTAAAGCTTTGAATGAATAAGAAATATATATAAGAACCAATTGAGAGAATATTTTTGTTTAAATGACCAATACTATCAATGTGCATACTGCAATAAAGCTTATATTATCCAATTAAAAGTAGGAGTATAACGAAAGTATTTTATGAGTGACAATACAAAGATTCTTTTTTTCTATCTATACCAATAAGAAAACTCTTTTTTATTTTCTTTCTACCAATAGAATGATAACAATAATATATAAATTTAAATCTTGAGATATGAATAAAAACTAACATCTATTAGTCAACAGAGATCTAAATATTATTCTAAAAAAAGAAGTGATATCTTTTATGGTTTTACCAAAATCACCTCCTAAAATACTACTTAAAATACCACTTAAAATACCACTTAAAGTACCACTAAAAAAACCACCAAAAAGACCACCAAAAAGACCACTTTTTTCTCATAGTGTGCTGCTGTTCATCACTAAGTAAATCATCACTGGTAGAGAAATTGCAACAAATTTGAAAAAACAATCATCAGACATTTGATATTTATGCTTTTTCCAGATGGCTGCAGGATTCACAGGAGAAATATTGGCAAGTCTATAAGAGAACAATGTTCTTACAGCTGCTGCTGAATATGACATATGGCTAGCTTGTGTAAGACATTAGTCTTGTGGTGATACAGACACTTGGATGTTGGATTTATCATATATAAAAACATATTCATATTGGGATACACTGGAAAAGAGGTGCGGTTTTCTTAAGTATAAAACTGTAATTAATTATGTGAAAAGATCAGATTTTATGATGCGATCAGATAGTTTTTACAAGTGTATGAAGCTGGCTTACTCATAGGTGGTAAGACCAACTTTCGAACATAGGAAAAGATCAGAACAGCAGGATAGTAGGATGTGTTTGCATTTTCTGTATATGGGGTTTTCCCACATGCACTAAAATGGCAACTCAGAATTATGTTTTGTTGTAATATATTCTACTGCTTTCCAATTAAAAGAACAATAAATGAAAGATTGATTATACGGATATGCCAGTTTTTATATTGTTTAATTTATGGATATGCCAGTTTTTACAGAGTTTTGTTGTCTTTGAATTTATTTTATCCAATCTTAGAGACTTCTTCTTGTACTGTTTACTTCTATACACTTCTTCAATCTTTGATTTATTTATAATAATTATTGGTTTATTTTGTTTTTATTAGAAAGAAAGGAATATTCTTAGGTTTATAGTACAGTGGTTATATTTAATATTCTGGAGCGTTCTGGCTAGTGTTCTATCCTTCATACAATTTGAAATGGCCAATGTTCTGATAATACAAAGTATTCTCCAAACAATATCTTCCAGAGAAAAGTCCAGCTGTGTGTTGCTTGCTTGTAAATGGTTGTTCTATGAAATTAGAAAAGTGTTAGCTGTTTAAACAAGAAATCATGGATATTAAGAATATATATATGTAATTATGCTTGCAATATAATAGCTTACTAGAGACAAAAAGAAAAGGTGTTATGAATGCAAACTATAGTACTAAATATACTTTCTTTGGCTATAAAAATGCTGAAAAAAAATTATTTCTTATGAATTGTGTGGTAGAATATTTCATTTATCTACCTGAAGCAAAAGGATTTATTTGCAGACCAAGAGAGTACATAGGAGGTGATGATATTGTCTTCAGTAAATGATATACATTAATATACAAAATAAATAATATTGTTATATGTACAAAAACAAAAATGAAATGTTTACCATGTCGATGACACTCATATGAAATGATAGTTCTTGATTCGCGATGTGCTCATGAGAGGGAGGTTCATCTATAATAGAAATTATGTTAAGCCGTGTGCTTATTAAAAAGAGATAGATTGAAATAAAATAAAATATTACTGTGTTCATAACCGTGTTTAATAGTAGAGAGTAATTTGGGTGATATGGCCTATATGAAAGAAAGGAAAGAGTCAGTGTTGTGGTGGTTGAAGTTGAAGAAGTTTTTAAGAGGAAGAATTGAAGATTTGAAATTAGGAACGAAGATTCGTGAGAACTTGTGTAGGTTTTGTTTATTGAGAAAGATTTTGTATCAAAGTTTGACCAGGTTCCTACACTGAACTACTACTGCTATTTATATTGTTTTGGATTGGGAAAATTATATGACTGGGGTCAGGTAATCGATCCTATCTGAGCCTTAATCAGAGCAACGTGATCTTGGGATAATTAATGTATGATTAATTATATAAATGTGTGTAGTCCCAATGAAGTATTAACATCGAAAGTAAATGTGTTTATGAGTTATAATTATGCTTATAATAATCCACTGATGTATCCCATATTATGGTGATATCATCATATGAAATATAATCACTATCATGCATGCTAAACCTGTGTGTTAAATAATAAAGTAATCGGTAGACACCTTTGACTGGAATAGCTGAGGCCTTATATTATTTCCTTCAGACTTATTCTCAATTACAGCAGTAGTCAATACTCATTTACAACAGTCAGAATAATTTTATAGGATGACAGCATAAAGTATACTTACTAATCTTAGCTAATCCAGATAGACATTATGAAGGGGATGCATCAGAAGGTAACAAAACGCAAGTGTCTATAGTAATAGAAAACAATTATTATTATTTTAACTATATATATAATATTAAAGAAGAAGATATCTTATCAAGAAAATCTGTGAATATATAGTAAATTCAAAAACCGGGCCAGCAAATGTAAAATTTGTACTCCGCAACTTATATCTTCTTGAGTTCTTATTCTTCTGCGATAGTTTTAATACACTCTAGGACATCTGTTAAAGAGCTGCAGCATATTATGCTAGTATAGATATATATATAGTATTAATAAAAAGTTATATGAAAAAAAGTGGAAATTTTCAGTGGCCCGGTTTTTTAGGTAAAGGTATCTTTTTTTATTTTTCATTAATAAGATACCCTTTCTTCAAAATGCATTTATGCATTCTGCTTTGCATGAATTCAATTAGATTCTTGCACATCTCCTCTGGGATACTATCCCACTCATTCTGGAAACGGGACCACAATTCCCTCATTGAGCTGGCTGGCTCTTCATATTGGTAGAGTTTACTCTTTGTGTACGCCCAAAGGTTTTCGATGGGATAAAGATCAGGCGAAAATGGTGGGAAATCAATGACCTCAATCCCCTCTGCCTTCAACCACTTTCTGGTATTGGCTGCAGTGTGTGACCGGGCGTTATCATGCAAAAACATGATATCGGACTTGATGAGATTCTGCTTCTTCAAGTTCTTCAGTAAGCCCTGCTCCAAAACTGTTATGTATTTTGGGCTTGTCATGGTTTCATTGATCTTGAGAAGCTCTCCGTGACCTCTGGACGAAAAGCATCCCCAAACCATAACGTGTCCTCCAGCACAAACAGGGGAAGTCTTACCCTTATATTTTTTAATTGCCTACTTCTTCAACCTACCTCCATCTCTTTCCATCCGAGCCAAAGCGATTCACCTTACATTCGTCTGAGAAGACAACACACTTCCAGTCCTTCACAGTGAAGTTGATATAGTTCCTTTCGAACTCCATACGCTGCTTGCGGATAGCGGGGTTTGTTTTTACCTTCAGAGGTGGTTCCAAGGTACAGATGAACCCAGATGCTTTTAGCAAGGTGCGGATTGCTGGAGCCTTGACAGCAAAACCTTTACCACATAGCCGTCTCTCTGCCTCTGTTGTTGTCATAAATTCCTCATTTAGGAATGCATAGATAATACGGTGGGCAAGCCTTTCATCGATTTGGGCAGGTCTACCCCCAGGAACTGAGGTGGAGATGTTCAATTTTCTTTGATATCTCTTGACAGAAGTCTGCGAAACACCAACAATCTTTGCTACCTCGGCTGTAGACTTTCCATGTCTAAGTTCAACTTCAATTGAGAGTATTTTGTCGCGTGAGATGGGAGACATTTTTGTTTTAAAGTTGAGCAAAGGAACAAGGAAAACTCTGAAAAATTCAATATAATATATCTATTTTGTTTGCATGATTGTGATGTAATGACAAGACACACTCCGTATAAAAATTATCATAAAGCAGTTCTGCATTGAAAGTAAAGAAATAATGCTTTACTCTATTTTTTGGCCCATACCTAAAAAACCAGGCCACTGAAAATTTCCACTTTTTTCATATAACTTTTTATTAATACTATATATATATCTATACTAGCATAGTATGCTGCAGCTCTTTAACAGATGTCTTAGAGTGTATTAAAACTATCGCAAAAGAATAAGAACTCAAGAAGATATAAGTTGCGGAGTACAAATTTTACATTTGCTGGCCCGGTTTTTGAATTTACTATAATAAATGTTGGAAAGAGAGAGAAGAAAGAAAACTTGTAAATGAAAAAAAAAACAAAAAGAACAAAAGACTAAAGGGCCAAAAGGCCGAAAGACAGAAATCATATATTGGATTGAGTTGAAAAAAGCATGTTCAAAGCCGATTTGCACCCCATCAATTCTAGAAAGTATTAATAGAGATACGCGTATTAAAGAAATTCTGAGTATTTACAGCAACAAGTGTAATATAATAAATGGGTTCTTGCTTTTACTTTTACCATCTTTCCATTAACTACACTTTATTCTTTTACTTAACACTTAACTTCTTTTGTATGCTAATAACACTCTATATATACAATGAATAGATATATAAAACAAATATAATTAACAATCAACTCATATATAACATTTTATTTGATAGCTTTCAGACCATGGCCAACAATTGTCAGTCAATTGCCCTGGCTCCATCCCCAGAACATACTGCGCTTTTAAGAAGGCTTACTGCTATAGAGGAAAGCCTCAAGACCATGGATTCAAACATTGGCATTGTCATCAAGGGGAACAAAAATACATTGGAAATACTTGATAGCATTGCTGATGCCTCTGGAGAACTTCTTGCAGTTATTGCTCCTACTACTATACATGCTTCTGCTTCTGTCCCTTTTGCAGCTTCTTCCATTGGTTCTACTCTGGATTGGTATACAACACCTTCTGAGGCTTCTTTTGGTATCTCTTCTGCTGCTCCTTCTGTTACTCCTTCTGTTACTCCTTCTGTTACTCCTTCTGTTACTCCTTCTGTTGGTCCAGAGGTTCTTACTGGTACAAATGCTGATAAACTTAGTAAACAGGATCGCACTAGAGTTTTAGCAGGTGTTGAGATGTACAGTAGTTCATCAACATAATATATCACACTAAGTATAGGCTCTTATCTGAGGAGAGTTGAAGAAGCACAACTTCAAATCAAATAAGCTGAAACTAGTTGCAGCTAATGACAGCAAGCGCAGTTGGGATATTAATGTTGATTACAGACTTCCACCCAACAGACAGCTGATGTATGACCTTCATGCATACCTGGCTCCAAAGGTTGTTGTGACTAGTGTTTGACAGGCCAATATTAGCGATTGTATATACACAAACTTTTGTGGAATGAGACGCCAAATCAAGGAATTGTATGAATCGCACAAAAAGACAAATTCTCGGTCAAGAAAAGCAGGTTGAGAGACCAATGTATGTTAGAAGTATATTTTGATTGCAAATTAAATGTATTCATATTAATACATTTATAAACTAGCATTTTGACTGTTGCAAGCTGACCTACCATACATTCAAGGCTGAAATTGATGTGAAGGTAGGTAAGAGCTGCAATGGACTCTTACAAAAAGAAGCAATGTCCGAGGGTAAATCTGAAGATGATATTTCTGGAGTCTCGATTAACTGTGCGATTTGTACAGTGCGTCCAAGTTGGAGAAGCTATGAGATCATTTCTTTTGTATACATTATTGTTTATAGCTTTTTTTTGTTTTTTTATGGATTTAAATGAAACAGAACTTTGATTAATCACTTATTTATATTTAATACAATCACTTTCTTGCAGTTGTTGATGATTTTATGCGTAATCGCATGGACTTCAATTCGTGTCAAATGTTAAAGAGGTCCTTTGGTAGAGATGCTGTTTTAGCAGTCCTGCCTAGATTGATGTCCCTTCTCTCTCACTGGGCTTTTAGAGATGAGTTTCAATAAATTTTGTTTTCTTATCCTCTACATTCTCCACATCCTCTATCTGACAATGATAAGCGTACCAACAAATACAAACACTATGATTATTCTTTTCTGTGCACCTTTAAAAAAGGGAGTTATATTTTATTATTTTTTAAATGTATTGTTTTTTTGGCAAAGGAATGACCAGCATCTTTTTTTACTTTTCTGCATGTTGTGTACTCAGCAGTTGCTACTTCTAACATAATTTTATGCACTGACAATACACATTGGAAATCGTCAGGAGAAAATGTTGGAAAGCAAGTTTCAATATATTTGTACTCTCACTATTTATCATTTTTGGGTGTTTAGCATTTGATAAATGCAAAAGTATGTTGAGAATTGTGAAGAAGTTGCATTGGGTGGCAATGGGTGTGGAGTAAGGGAGTAAGTGATGAAGAGGTGGGTGGAGGAATAAAGGAATGGGTGAAAATGTATTGTATTTGACCCATGTATGCTATGATATGCTCACCAGTACTTCCAATGAACTTTGCTTGTACAAGAGAGCCATGACTTCCAGATTCATCTTTACCCTTGTAGACCTGCCCAAGGATGTTGATGTATTTCAACAGGGTGATTGTATTGTTGACAAAGTATGGTGATTCCGATGCTTGTTGAAAGTGAACTAGTTGTTCATTGTTGTATGCAACTTTGTAGTATTGTAAGAGATGAGCATAGTGAATGTCACTCATTGTGGTAGCAGATTTTAATGATAGAGGGAATGTGGAAGGAGGGAGAGGTTCGTTGCCTTTTACAAGTACATTTGGATCTTCAGAAGCCTTGACAAACGACTGTATGTGGAAGGTACATTGATAGATGGATGAAATGGTGGCAGGTGTAAAGGAAGAAATGAGTTTGGTAAGAAGAGGAAATGCAGATGTCTGGCGGGTACTCTGAAGGAAACTGTTGACAAGATCATCTTTGTGCACATCAATAAATCTTTTCATAAATGTTTCTTTAAACCCAATCTTTCTGTTTGTCTTCAAATTTTTTAACAACTCATTAAATTGCTCAAACCCAAATAGCCAATAACCGTACACTGGTCCAAAATCACGAATTTTATTTCGAAGATGGAGGTGTAGGTGCATATTACAGGTGAGGATTTTGGCGTTGTACAGCTCGTCATATCTGGTGCAAAAAGTTTGAAGAAACTGATGGACAGTGTTGACTTCATTGAACGTGATCATTGGCTTGATCAACAGGCAGCATGTATCAACAAAGTTAATCCAGTTTTTGAATCTGTCTTTTGCAAGAACATCTTTCAACAGAACTGGCAAGTATATGAGCACCCATTACTTCAACTTGTCTGCCTTCATATACAAAAACTGCTTTCCTATTTTTGAGTTCAAAGAGGTGTATCCACCAGGCACAATCATTGTTTCTGCAGTTTTCTGCATTGCTGCAAAATTGCTATCTTGAATGTCTTCACCTTTGATCCAACGATCCATCAATGTTTTAGGCGTTCCCAGGAATAAATTATGCATGGGATTGATGATCGTTCCACGTACTAGATCAAGGTATTCAAGGCAATGCAACTGCAACCATCAAACACCATTTTCGACCTCCAGCAGATGCCTTTCTGAGGGGGTACTAGCACTTTCCCACTCCTCAGCATGCAACCTGTTCTCTACACTGTCAACTATCAATAGATTCTAGTGAAAAAAATTATATTTAGTCAGTATAATCTATATATAATAAGTCATTTTTTATTTTGACAACCAATAAACCATGTTTTGTAAAATTTATTTCTATTCCAACAACTAATAAAATACTCATTTATAAGAATATTTGGTGAAAAATATGTTTTTAATCCAATTAAAATTATTAGTAATCCAAGCTCTATATAAATGAAAACCAATCAAGTGAATATGAGTTGTAAAGTGACCAATGGTTTTAGATATAAAGTTAAGATGGAAATTTTAATACCCAATAAAAGAGAATTATAAACCAAGGCTTTCGTATATGAGCACCAATAAAAAGTCAAATATAAATTACAAAAATGTGTATCGGTAACTGAATAAAACTTCACATTTGTTAATGAGCAGGGTTATACAATAATCCATAACAGGCAGGAGGTGAAAAAGTGGGTAGGCGAAAAACACCCACCTGGGCGACCTCCTGAGCAGCCTCCCAGTAAACCCCTGGCAGACCCTCTTTTTTTCCCATTGTGATATATTATTATAGCTATTCTTTTAGCCAGAAATCAATTATCATTTTATATAAATAGTCAAGAAATATATTTAATAAAAAGCATCTTTATTCTTATCTAAAAACTATTCTTAAAAACTTAACAATCCCCAGTGGTATTGATTCTGCGACTTAGTTACAGGTGCCAGAAATGAAATACCAGATCGAGACTTAATATACTTGTACATTTTTTTCTACAGTATGTCAGATATTATTTTGATGAATCCGTAAAATCTGAAGATAGTTACACTACGGCGGAGAAAATGGTAAAATGTTACCACTTTGGTAACATAACTGCCATTTTTTACTTAATAAAAAATGGCAGTTATGACTCTGTATAAGGCCAAAACAGGCACTGTTACCATTTTTTACATAGTAAAAAATGGCAGTTATTTATTATGTAAAAAGCCAAAACAAGCACTGTTACCATTTTTTTCATAATAAAAAATGGCAGTTATTTATTATGTAAAAAGTCAAAACAGGCACTGTTACCATTTTTCAAAAAAAAATCAAGCGTCCTTCCTTTCCTCTATTACATTCTTTCTTTTGTTCTATTGCTTTCAATTCTAGCACAACCTCTTGTTTTTCCTTTGCAGCTTTAACAGAATGGTCTGTTTTTTATTATACAATATTGAATCGGGTTTAATTGAATTGAATCTTTATTTCAATGCATGTTTTATTAAATGAAAATGATAATAATAATAGTAATAGTGAAAAAACAATTCCATCGGCCACTCACAATAAAAAATGGTTCTGTTTAGCTACTGCAAAACGTATGCAGTAAAACACTACTATTCAAATTGTATTTCATATACTTTGGGTATTCTAATATATCTTAGATAGCACTTATTATTTTTTACCAATTTCTACAAATATACTAATATTAGAGAAAAAACTTAAAATAAATAAATAGATATAATATTATTATAATGCTTACCTTTATATAATATGCTTACTTGTTCAGTAAAATAAGCATTTACTCTAAGAATATATATATATATTAAAGAATGTATTAATATTTAAGATCTATATATAAGAAAAGCAATAAAACATAAGCACTATAGAAAGTCGTTATTGTAGAAGAAGAAAAACTTGAGCAAAGATTCAAGTCATATAACATGAAGCTAATTCGAATCTGATTCATACAACCTGAATGAGCATCTTGTTAGAAAGCTTAACGTGTTTATTCTACTCAATATACTTACATATAATAGAACGACTCCCAAGTATAATATATCAGTACAAAAATATTACTATTAATTTTTTTCCCAAAAAAAAGGCTATATACTATTTCCTTTTATATTTGAATGTAGCGGAATTGTAGATGCTGTACATTAGCTTCAAATTCTTGTAATCACAACATTAGCAATCATATGAAAGAGGTCAATAAATTTTTTATATGAAAGAAAAAAGGAATAAAAAACATAAAAAGAAAAATGACGAGATAAGAAAAAAAATGCACTAAAGACAGACTAAAAAAATCAAACTTGGCCAATCACAGCAGCCAAACTACGATCTTCGGCTTCTCTTGCGAGCAGGCTCAACACTTGCTGTGGGTGGAGGAGACCTACATAAAAGAGTAAGAAGTTTATATTAGTTTTGTATTAATAGCGCATGAGAAAAAGCAACAATGGTAACTTACAGCACATCTGCCATTATGGGCGACTCAACATCACCAGTTTCTGACATATCAGGAGAAGAAAGCAAAGAATCACTTATGTCTCACTGTGTTTATAGCATAATAAAAGGAAACGATGTTAATTAAAGTTTACAATATATAGATTTGTTAATTGATAAACTTACTTTGTTCTTCTCTGCCATTCTTCTCTTGTGCGTCTGGTTGTCGCTCTTGAAGCTTTCCCGAAGAAGGCTTCTTGCACACCACATTCTTTTACATTGGTGGATGTGCAATCCACCATTCTTCGCCAACCTCTCCAAATGCATCATGTAGTATTCCCTGTTTTTCTCTGGGATATTCTTCCATTCTTTTGAGGCCGCAGGATAGTCTTTGTCAATGATATCATGCTTTACCGTACGGCCTAATGTTTTGAGATGCAGTCTTTTTACTGTCAAATCATGGTCTGAAAGAGGGACTAATGGGGGCAAAAGCTGCCCTTGTGGAACTTCTTTGCAGCGCGCCTTCCAGTCCTGCTCGTGAAGAATCTGAAGCAACAGATTGTATTTTTGCGCTTCGTTTTTTCCTTTGAACTCGCCACCAGTATTGATTACTTGCTTACCAAGCTGATCAGGGTACTCTGTGAGCTGGGCTCTTTTCACAGACTTGGCAATGCGCTCAAGAGCTACAAAAAGTGTATGACAATATTAATAAAGTAAATAAACATCTAAGCACAGAATATATATGACTTACAACTCTGCTCAATAATGCTTTGTTGCATTGTAGTTAGATCTTCCGCACTGACTGCTGGCACAAATTGATTGCTGAATTGCCTTTGAAGCTCACGCAATGCTTGCTTGATTTCAGCAAGATCAACCTCAATCTTTTGAATTGAGTTGAGGAGAGTTGTGTTAATATCGGACATGTTTAAGTTTTTTTTTTAGCTATAAGCAGTGAGTTGAAAAGAAAAGGTGATAGTTTAGACAAGTAGAATAAGAGCGATTTGAGTTTGAGAAAGGCAATGATTTATTACAAGCAATTGATAGCTATTTATATGAAAAAGATACAGACAGATGTACAAACAAAACATATAAAAGAAGGGATGCTTATGCACTTGTATGCACCTGTCTGCACCTGTCTGCAGTAGCTCATGTGAACATGATACAGTCTTTTCATGTCGACACAACAAAACTGTAAGAAATATAAAGATAAAATGAATTAGACTTTAAATCAATATTATATGTATAAATGTTCATACTTTGCACCGTCTACATATTAAACGTTTTAAAGTATATGATATAATAATATAACTCTATACATATTGCAGATATAGCATGAAATTTGGTTAAAGTTCTCGATGACAAAACCCTGTACCAGTTAAAATTATAACTTTAAATATACTCTACAGTAGCTATATAACATCTGAACATCATATAGTTAATTAGCCCCTTTTTATCAACATTAAAGTAAATGTTATGATACTCAAGTTCATATCATACTTATTATCATTATCGACTAAAACTTTTGATTGATGCTGTCATCAAAGGTAAAAATAATTTTAACTGTCATTACTATTATTTACCAAGGGGCATTTTTGACTGAAACCGTACATTTTTGAAAAAGGTGTGTTTTAACTCACACTGGCACTTTCAATTAACACCCCTTTCGATCAGTAGTGCTTATCTTGATGATGTCAGTAAAAGAGTATCAGACTATAGCCCTCATTATCTATATCTATTTCTTTAAGTTTTATACATAAACAAGAAAATAATGCTATTAGCTAAATATATATTCACTATCTCAAAAATATTATTAGTATAACACAGATAATATAAATATGTCTTTTCTACCAATGTGTTTAGACAGTACTACTTTTTTTTAACTGTTAATTATTAGAAGGCTGTTTTTCTTTGCCTTTGGTATTAGAGAGTAATTGATAATTTATTTAAAAAAAAAACATAAATTATTTGGTCATTAATTATCCTAAATATACATATACCTCTTTATAAAGCCCAAAGAATATCTAATCGCTCACAAGTAAAGAGTACGTGTCTGTTTCACCGGTGCTCTTTTAATGGTACCCCCTTGTCAACCAAGAAGTATTTTAACTTACATCATAATTATTAATGAAGAAGAATCTTTCCAACCACGGGAATTATTTACTGACAGGTGTTTCACCTAGCATTGACATTACTGTAATCATTGCTATATCATCATTATGAGAGAGAAAAAGAAAAAGAGCTGCAAGCATTTTGGTTAAAAAATAAAGAGTATATAAAGATGTCTTTTACATTTAATAAATAGCACCAAAATCCTTTTCGCAGCTTTATTTTATATATTACATATGTACCAACCCAACCAATATGTCTTCTTCCAATGCCAGCCAGCAGAGAGATAGAATATCTACACAGCAATACCAATGTGATCAATGTGTCTTGTTTTTTGATAACTACCAGAAGCTGCAAAACCACAAGAGAATTCACAGAGGAGATTCAGCAACAATGACTGAAATTGACCAGTCTATTCTGGATGATGTTGACATGTACCATGACGAAAATGATACTAGTAATGAAGATGAATCTGTTAGCAATTCAGGTAATGAAAAGAGCTGTAATTGTATTATTTATTTTCCAATTACTAAATAATGTATTACAGAATATACTATGGAGTCTATGGAGCTTGATAATACTATTTCATATAAGTGCGCATGTAATTTTGAGGACAGTGAGGGTGAAGCTCACATTTACAACAGCAGCCAAATCAGTACAAATACTTTTACCAAGGCCGAGTTGATGAGTATTCATCTGTCTCAATTGATGCTACAGCATAGAATTGCTAGAGCAGCATATAGAGACATTGTTCAATTTATAAACACTGTCATCCGAGACCATGACGATATAATGATGGGTAAAATATTATATTTTCTGTTACCTTGTACTTTAATTCCAGATCACTAACATGTATTGATATCGTTTTTTTTAGAACCTGGGGCTAAGATCAGTCATGGCGAAACTGTTGATGCTTTGCTCAAGTCAAAGTCAAGTGTCAAGGGCCATGAGTATGGTGTCTGCTCTAGTGGTTGTCAATTGTATGGCATTAATGATGACCAGGAATCTTGTGTTGACTGCGGCAAACCGCGATACAAGACTGATCCCAATCAAAGTCAGACACCAGCCGCCAGTATGAAACTTATGTCAGTTGGGGATATGCTTTCTCAAATGTTGGCAGATCCAGCCACAAGAGAACTCCTCTGTTACAGAGCAAACCGGGAATCTGTAGCTGGTCAGCTAACTGACATTTATGATGGTGACAATTACAAGCAGTTGGTGCAGCAGGGCCTGTTCTCCAATCCCGATGATATTGCCATTGGGCTTTATACCGATGGGTTTGTCAATCAAAAGAAAGGCAAAAACTCATATACCATCATCCATTGCATAATATTCAACCTAGACCCATCCATCAGGTAATTAATTAATTTATTACTATTTATTATTATTATTACATTTTTTTTAAAAAAAAATTACTAATAAAATACTTAGATATACCAACAAATACCTTTTGCAACTGGCAATCTTGCCTGGCCCCAAGAAGCCAACTCATTTGGACTCCTTTCTTATACCCATCATCAATGAATTGCGAGATCTTGAGGCACATGGCTTGGTTGTCAAGCACAATGGAGTGGAGCTTTGCAGATCCAAGGTCTATCTTCTGCTTGCTTCTGGCGATATTCCAGCTGTAGCTGATATGGCCCACATTGGTTCCCATACAAGTTTATTTGGTTGCCGTTTTTGTGAGACCAAAGGCAAATTCCCTACTAACAGACGGCATAGCATGTACTTTGATGACATATCCGCCCGGTTAAGACCTTTGCAAGACTTCAAAGTAGGCAACCCTGTAAGTATACAAATGTTCAATTAGCCATCTTTTTTTCATACTAAATAACTGCTTGTAATAGTCGAAGAACATATACCAGCCGAGCATATATACCCAACTCTCAACCTTCTCTGGATCATCATTTTTTGCATTAGATGAACTTCATTTAATTGCAAGAGGGATTGGAAAGCTTGTGTATGACCTGATTACCGTCACCCTCACAAAGGAAACCAAATTTTATTATACCCATCCAGACAATACCCTCAATACCACCGAATACCCTTTTCATATACCAAGAGCAGACCTTGTAACAATCGGAAACTGTATTACCAGCTCACGAAAATATATACCCACCTCATTTCAAGGCAGTTTCGACAACGTATTTGCCAAGATCGATGATACTCGCGCAGTGGACTGGCTTGACTTTCTCTTATACCTTGTCCCCACTTTGGTCATGCCTTATTTACCAAATAGGGCTGTTAAAACAGCTCTATTATCTCTCGTGAAAGGTTGCGCGCTTGCCTTGCAATAGACATTGACATCAGAATTGCTTGATGAGATGGAGTCGTAAGTTATTATACGTCTCATATATTATCATTACAAATAGCTGATTGTTACCATTTTTTAAATATTAATAATAGATACTTCAAGCACTGGCACTCGTTTTTATACCAACAAGTCCAGAATAATACCCTGTCTCGTAGTGTTTTCCGACCAGTGCAACATTACCTGGTCCATATACCCTATATCATCAAGCAGCAAGGCCCCCTGCGATGCTACTCCACTCGCTCAATGGAGAGAGTAATTGGCGTCTTCTCGAAATTGATAAAGTCCAAATCAAAGGGTGGCTGAAACGCCAGTTTTCTCATTGAGCGATTTGCGATTCACAATTATACCAGCACGGCAATCAGCATCTGTGATGAAATCAACCTCATTCGGCCAAAGCCATATGGAAGAGAGAGCTACATGGACCTTCCTAATGATCCTAGTGGTGTGCAGTTGTGAGAGCCATTTCATCAGTTTGTTAATTTGAATGATGATTTGGTGGAAGGTGTAGGCGGCCCTAGTGTGAAGGAAGCTTTATTGAAATACTACCGGAGAACAACAGGCTTGACTGGCCACGAGTTTGGTGACTCTGTTGTTGTTGTAGCTGCACGTCTGTGGATGGACTCGACTGTATATTCCTCATGCATGTACCAAAGAAAGAAAAACGAGACCAGCTGTGGCAACCATTACGTGATGTTTACTTGCCCCTATAGAAAGTAAGTATAATATTTTTCGATATACAATCAAAAGTTGCTTACATTCTATTTATTTATTTATTTTAGCAACTGTAATGTAATTGTTCACAGCTGGCTCGTCGGTACAGTACAGTTCTACTTTCAGCATGTAGATTTCTATGGCTTCCCACACTTTCTTGCTTTTGTGGAGGTCATGAAGGAACATGACGCTGCTGGTCATGACTCATCAGTACCTATCGTCAAACAATGGTCACAAAGCACCCATACACTAGGCCACCAAACGCAACCGACTTATGCAGTTATAAGTGTAAATGACATTTGTCATCAAGTTGGTCTGGTCCAATACCCACCGAATGGAAACCAGTTTTATGTAATCGCGCCCTATTATATCTTTAACAACAACATGCACATTACTAAAGGCAATCTTTCCATTCTGTAATCCTTTTTATTTTTATCTTATTTTTCTATATGCTCTATATCCTTATATCTTTTATATTTTTTATATCATCCTTGTATCTTATATTCTTTTTTTAATTTTCTCTATTTCTTATGTTTTTTTTAATCTCTATATGCCCTGTCTTTCTTTTCTTCTTTATATACTCCGGTTTTTTTTCTATTCTCTATACACCTTATGCTTTTCTCTTCATTCCCTATATGCTCTATATGCCATTACGCGATTTAAATAAAATCAAATTGCCAATTCATCAAGATAAAAAGAATATCTAAAAAAAAAAGAACGTAGTTTAAAAAATAAAAAAATGGCAGTTATGTTACCATTTCGTTCACACATTCCAAAAATTATTAATCTTAATAATTGTTAACATCTTTGATAATCAATAAAACATATATTTCAATACTCAAAGTGGTCATTACAACTTACAAACATTTTTTACAGTATTGAAAATATTGTACAGCAACAAAAAAAGTGTTTTCATGTTACTTTTTTAAATTGCTACGAATGACATTACCATCTTACAACAAACGGCGGAGATTTTATTGGGTTTTGACCAAAAAAATGGCAGTTATGTGCCTAATTTCGGCCCAACTGCCATTCATCCCGCCGTAGTGTTAACCACAGTACTTCTTTATGCACAGTAATATCTTTCTGAGCATTAACCACAGTATAATGACTATTTCTTTAATTAAATAAAAATAATAACTACTGTGGATAATGCGCAGTATTAGTTTAGAAAACTATATAAGACAATTCAATTCATATCAATAAAAGATATCTTTTATCCTCTCTTTGATTTTACGCATACTCCTTGATCCCCAGTGGGTTTGACCAATTTTGGCTGTGTTATAGCATTGTGTTGTTCCTGATCTGAGATGGTCTTCCTTTTACTATAGTAAAGTCAAAAGGTCAAACCCACTGGGGATTGGAGAGTATATGTAAAATCGAAGAGAGGATAAAAGGTACTTTTTATTGATAGAAATTGAATTGTCTTATATAGTTTTCTAAACTAATACTGCACATTATCTGCAGTAAACTATTATACTCTATTTAATTACAAGAGAAGTCTTTTTACTGCGGTTGATGCTCAGAAGATGTTACTGTGGTTAATCTTTACAAGACATTACTGCGGTTCGTTATCTATGAGGTATCTTTGACACACAGAAGTGCTGCGGTCAATTATTCCGATTTCTCGGATTCATTAAAATAATGTCCGACAAGAACAACCCAGATCAAAAACTATAACTGCAAAAGTTGCGCGGACCGGGAATCGAACCCGGGCCCTTCGCGTGGCAGGCGAAGATTATACCACTTAACCATCCGCGCATGCGTGTTTAGTTGCGAATGTTGTAGGTAACTAAAGCTTTGGCTAGTTTCTGTTGGGGGATACCAGATAGTGGATTCCTTCAGTGGTTTGGTCAGGCGGTGAGCCGTGACGGATGGTACCGGACTCGTGGGCGTTGACGTCAATGGTGAGTCGACCGAGTGACGTGTCTCGAGGGACAAGAGTGGTCCCCCAGGTTTCTTGGGAAATCTTGCTCCCGATACCCCTATACTCAAACCCCCCATTACAATCCTGTTCCTTAAAATTAAATATCGTCACTTCAGAAACACCTGTTACCCACTAAAAACATTATACCTCTTTCCCCTAATTTATACACTTCTTTATTGCTGACATTTATTTTACACTATTTTTTATTACATTTTATTAGATTCTATTATTATACTATTATTATATTTTTTTACTTTACTTTACTATATAGTTATTATATAATTACTTTACTTCTATTCTACCTCACTATATTTTTATTTTATCTTTATTCAATTATTATATTTTTACTATACTTTTATTTTATTCTCTCTATAATTTTCTATTCTACTTCTACTATCAACATCAGTTACATATAGTAAAAATTTTCACTTGACTTTCTTTTCTTTTTCTCAAAAAATTATTTTAACCAAACATTTTTGTTTATAAAAGGAACAACTTTTTCAATCAATAAAATCATCATTCTATCCTTGATCTTATTTATTCTTGTCTGTTATTATCATTCATACATAGTGTTCTTGTTCATTGAAGTGTTGTCTGTCAATTTTGATATATTTCGTTTCTCTGTTTTCCACTTTCTGTCTTTCTCAGACTTTGTTATTGTCACAATTTCTATTTTTTTCTTCTCCATATTTTTTCTATCTGTCTGTCACCAATTCTTACCTGTCAAATTTTCTATTCTTTTCCATTCTTATTGTATTTTTCTTCTTGTATTTTGTAATTCACATTACATTTATTTGCCAAGTGATACTGTTACAATCCATAACAAACAAACACATCACGCGTCAGTTTTGACATGAGATGATATAAAAATAGTCAGCGTAAAACAAAATTTTGGTTATACGGCAGTGCAGTGATATTACAGAATTCTGTAATTCTAGAAAAATTATATTTTATTATTATTATTTTTTGATTTTCTGATGGCGGCCAAGGCTGAATAGAAAGCAATTTTTCTATTTATAGAGTAAAACACCAATAAGTATAATAAAAAAGCATCATTCTGTCAACAATAACTTTAGGCAACCACACATCATATCTTATTTTCTCACTATATTTAACTAAATGAATTAACTTGGAATTTATATTATTTTTATTATATATTCTTACAAGCATAATTATCTTTATGATTATAATTATGACTTAATAATTATTTTATTTTATCTGTACTTAATGATAGTAAAGAACAAATCACATTTAATAGATTGTCAATTATACAGATTTTATTATATTTTTTTTTATAATTTTATTTATTTAATTATTCAACAACTTAATTGCAAAACTATAAATATCATAATACTTATATTTAATAAATATTGATTTTTTTTCATCTTATTTTCTGACAATAAGATCTCTTAATATTTAATGCTGTTGATATTTTACTTGTTTAATTATCTGAGTATATTGAGTCAAGTCTATTGAGATTGATTAATAGTACTGTTTTTCTCTTATTTTTCTTTTATTGATTTTATTATTTTTAATTCTGCATTCTCTTTTGAGTTTGTCTGTTTCTCTCTTGTGGAAAAGAGAGGTTATCTTACATCTACAAACTCATTCAAACCTCAAAAACCATGATAACATCACCTGTCAACATTTACCACAAATACAAGCACCACATGCGTTACTTGTGACACAAGTGTTGTAAAATGTTTCAGCATTGACCAAAAATGTATATTTGTTTGATGTGACATCAACTTATGGGCAGACTATTAAGTTATGGATAGTGCAAAGTCGTGACTCTATCTCTGAACATGACAAAATCCGATTTCTTGGATTTATTTTCTCTCTCCCTCTTTTTCCTTTTTTCTTGCTATCGACATTTAAATTCCCGCTGGACTTTAAATGCTTGTCTCCTTTTTTTCTTTTTTTTATTATTTTTGATTAATTCCTTTTGTGATTATGCCCAAAGACCTGTACACTCTTCCAAATAATCATCATTTAGCATAAGATGTATCTAGATTGTCACCTTGAATGCAGTTGTCAATTAGTATATAAGAGAGACGTTTTTATCCCAATAAAATTCATTTAGTTTTTCTCTATATTTCTTTTGAACATTATCACTGAGATTTAGCTATTGTTCTGCGGGATATACTAAGTTGTACACTGTTAGAATCTGCAAGTACTGTCTCGCCATTTGTCTGCTTGTCCATTTGTCCATTTGTCTATTTGTCTGTTTGTCTATTTGTCTTCTTGTTCGTTGTCTGTTTGTCTGCCTGTCCGTTGTCCATTGTCCGCTTGTCCATTTGACTGTTTGTCTGCTTGTGCATTTGTCTGTTTGTCTATCTGTCTGTTGTCTATATATCTGTTTCTATCCATTTAAAGTCCTGTTCATTGTCTAAATTCCTTCTTGTTAGATTGTCCTAAGCGAAATCACAAGAATATAACTATACATATAATATATATTATATTTCTGACCAGTTGCACCACACACCATAACTCAACACGCGTCACTTGTGTCACATGTGTTATAGGCAGGTACAGCTTTTAACCATGTTGTGATGTCTGGTACTGGAAGATCAGTCTGCTCGGTGGGTTTGTCTGGTGGTTTGTTGTGACGTGTCATCCTAGTTATGAGAGGCTGACATCAACAGTTTGTTGATGTGCTGCTGTGCCCTTGGTAGTAAGAGAAGAATTTTTCTATGAACAGAAAAAATCTTGTTTCCGTTCCCTGTTCCGTCAACACACAATACTTTTTCCTTTTCCCTTGTTAACATATTTGTTCACATTGTACTCATTTGAAATCATGGTAACCCATGCTAGTAACATTTCTTTTCTACACTGTACACAATTCATCTTGCCAAAATCTCTGCACAATATCAGTATTTTTATTATTATATTTTTACCATATCTTTATTCATATATTTTATCCTTGTCATATTGATTACTCATTATTCTATTTTTACTATCTTTATTTTTCCAAACTTCTATTATCAATTCTAAATCTTGTCAACTATAAAAGAGAAGCAATTTCATTCAATAAAATATTATCTTTATCCTTCAATCAGTTTCAATATCTCTTTCTTGTTTTCTTCTCTTTGTGATTTATATTATTTTACAATATAATGTATTGGTTCCTTAGTTTTATAAACGTTGTTTGTTGGTTTTGGTTTTCTTGTTGGTTATTACTTTTCTGTTTTGTTATTTTCTTTTTATATACCTTTCCCTTTCTCTTGCTTTTAACAACAATTCTATTGGTTGTTCTCTCTTTTCATACCTGTCAACAATTGCTGCTTATCATCTTTTACTGTATCTGTCTTCTGCTCTATTATATTATCATTGTATTTTATTTGCCAAGTGATTCATTACAATCTACAACAAACCTAATACATCATGTATCATTTCTTTGATGACACGTGTGGGACTTATATTTGGAGTAAACGTTGACAAGTGATATATTATGACTGTTTTTGAGGTTTGTATGGGTTCGTAGATTGAAATAACTTTTCTTTTCCATAAGAGAGAAAAAGACAAACTCAAAAGAGAATGTAGAATTAAAGATAATAAAATTAATAAAAGAAAAATAAGAGAAAAACAGTATCATTAATCAATCTTGATAGACTTGACTCAATATACTTGGATAATCAAACAAGTAAAATATCAACAGGGTTAAATATTAAGAGAACTTGTTGTCAGAAAATAAGACAAAGAAAAATAAATATTTATTAAATGCAAGTATTGCAATATTTACAGTTTTGCAATTGACTTATTGAATAATTAAATAAATAAAATTCACTATGGCTAAAAAAGTGGTAAAATGTTACCACTTTGGTAGCATAACTGCCATTTTTTACATAATAAAAAATGGCAGATACGAGTCTGTATAGCGCAATTAGAGGCACAGTTGCCACTTTTTTTTAAAAGACCAAGGTTCATTCCTTTTTTTTGGTTTTTTTTAGTTTTTTTTTATTTTTGGTTTTCTTTTATGCCCCCCCCCCTTTTTTTGCTCTACTGTATTCAATACTAGTATATCATTTCGCTTTTTATTTGTCATATTAAATGAATCATTTATTGAATTGAATTAAAATGAATTGTAATGGATTGAATTGAATAAGATTTTGCTTCAATTTATGTTTTATTACATGATAGTAATACTACTTAAAACCCGTCTATTGGAACTTGCAAAAAAGACATGATATTATTTGGCTACTGTAGAGTATACAGTAAAAACCCTTTATCCCAAAAGCATTTTATGTGTTTCGAGTACTTTGATATAGACTAGACGACCTTCTTTAATTCTTACTGGTTTCTATAAATATATCAATGTTAAAGGGAAAATAAATAAATAGACATAATAATATAGTGCTTACCTCTATGTAATACGCTTAATAGCTTCAAAAAAATTTTTTTTGCTCTAAAAATATATATATTAGAAAATATTATTAATATGTAAGCTTCATATGTCATTAAAAAGTGTTAGTATATCTACAAGACAAGTGAAAAAAGCAGTGAATATCACTCAAAATTATTACCAAATAAAACCCAAAAAAAATATTCAAGTCATACAATATAAAGTCTAGTTGAATCTAGTTGAAAACTGAATGAACATTGTTTTGTTAACACGAGATGTATGTTATATCAAGATACTTACATAGAATATAACATCTATCAAGTATAACATAGCAGCACAAAAGTATTATTAGTTTTTTTTTGTTCTTTGAAAAAAAAAAGAATCTATTGTGCTTCATTCAAAAATTAATTATAGCAATGCTGCAGATGTTGTACATTAGTTTTCAATGCTGATGACTATATAGATACCAATCACATAAAAAAGGGCAACACATTTTTATTTAAAGAGAAAGAATAAAAAACAAGAGAAAGAAAGAGAAAAGAAGAAAATAAAAGACAAATATAAAAACCAAACTAAAAATATGCTAAAAAATATTTTAAACCAATCAAAACCTCCTACGATCTTTGGCTTCTCTTATGTGCTGGCTCAACACTCATTTCTGCCAGAGGAGACCTTTATAAAAAAGTAAAAAGTTTATATTAGTTTCGTATTGACAGCACCAAACCAGCAGAAACCATGGTAACTTACAGCACATTCGCCATAATAGACGACTCATCACTATCTGTTTCTGACATATTATCAGAAGACAATAAAGAATCATTTGCATCTTGCTGTGCCTTATAATTTTTTTAAACGTTTATTAAAACATACAAATGAAACATTTTAATTAATAAACTTACAATGTTCTTCTTTACCATTCTTCTTTTTTGCTTCTGGTTGTCACTTTTGAAGCTTCCTCGGAGGAGGCTTTTGACACACCACATGCTCTTGCACTTGTAGATAGCAAAGTCATTATCCTTTGCCATTCTCTCTAATTGCATCATGTAGTATTCCTGGTGCTTTGCCAGGATACCTTTCCATTCTTTACTTAAAGCAGGAAAGTCTATGTCAATGAGATTGTGCTTGATTGTGCAGCTCAACATCTTGAGCTGCAATTGTTTCATAGACAAATCGTTGTCTGAAAGAAGTATCAATTAGGGCAAAAGTTGCCTTTCTGAGGTTTCTTTACAATGATCTTTCCACTCCTGCTCATGAAGCAACTGCAACAACAAATTGTATTTCTGGGCTTTGTTTTTCCCTTTGAAATCGCCACCTGTACCAATTACTCGCTTGCCAAGCTGATCAGGATACTCAGTGAATTGAGACCTTTTCACAGACTTGGCAACACATTCAAGAGCTACCAAAAAGGAAGTTATATACCATCATATTAATAAGGCAAGTAAATATACAGATATATAGTAAATGTATCTTATCACTTTGCTCAATGATGCTTTGTTGCATTATACTAAGATCTTTTGCACTGACAGCTGGGACAAATTGTTTGCTAAACTGATCTTGAAGCATGCGTACCATTTGCTTTATTTTGACAATATCAATTTCAATTTTTCTGACAGAGTTTATGAGTGTGGTATTGATATCAGACATTTTTGAATTGTTATTTTTTAAGAAAGATAAAAAGAATAAAAGTTATACTTCCCATTATATATATATATTACAATGTTTACTCATTTAACTTCTTAAAAAGAAATATAACAGCTTAACTGTAAACATGTTGTTACTATGACATTACTTTTTTAATTTTTGATGCCAGAATATTTTACCAGTTAAAATATTGACATCAGTGTAAATGGACTTTGGAATAGTAACATGATGTTTAAATATGATATAGTTAATTAAGTATTCATTATTGATCTTGTAAAGTAAATGTTATGATAGTTATACTTATATAATACTTGTCGTCATTGTTGATCAAGATGTGTTCAGCTAATATCATCATCATTTTTATTGTTGTGATATCATTGTGAGAAATAAAATAAAAGAAAATAACCAAATTGTCCTGAGATAAAGTGTATATAAAGCTTTCTTTTATGTTGTGCAGATATAACCAGAATCTTTTTTACAGTTTCATTTTATATACTAAATACTTACCAAAGCAACCAATATGTCTTTCTCCAACATCAATCAGCAGAGAGATAGATTATCTACACAAACACACAAATACAATCAATGTGTTCTGTTGTTCAGCACTTACTATCAGCTTCAGAACCATAAGAGAGGTTATGAAAACAACTTGACGTCAGCAAATATCATTTCACAATATATTGCAGAGGATGTTGAAATGCAAAATGATATTAGAAATAATATTATTGACAATAATGAATTAGTTAGCAGTTCAGGTAATAATAATCAGTGTAAAATTATTAATAAGTAATCGGAATACTCATTTAATAATGCATTATAGATTATGCTGTGAACACAATGGAGATTGATGAGGCCATTTTTTACAAGTGTAGTTGTAGTTTCAAGGACAGTGAGAGTGAAGCTCACATTTACAATAGCAGCAGAATTGGTAGCAATACCTTTACAAAGGCCAAGTTGATGAGTATTCATCTCTCTCAATTGGTGCTTCAGCACAGAATTTCCAGGGCAGCTTACAGAGACATCGTCTGATTTGTTAATACATTCATTCAAGATCACAATGAAATTATGTTGGGTAAAATAGAATATATATGTTACCTTACACTTTAATTTCAAATTTATAACATGTAGTGATGTTGTTCCTTTTTTTTAGAACCTGGGGCTAAGATCAGCAATGGCAAAACTGTTGATGCTTTGCTCAAGTCCAAGTCAAGTGTCAAGGGCCATGAGTATGATGTCTGTCCTAATGGTTGCCGATTGTATGGCATTAATGACGATCAGGAATCTTGTGTTGACTGTGGCAAACTGCAATACAAGACTGATACTGAACAAAGTCAAATATCAGCTGCCAGTATGAAGCTCATGTCAGTTAGTGATATGTTTTCTCAAATGCTGGCTGATCCAGCCACAAGAGAACTCCTTTATTACAGGGCTAACAGGGAATCTGTAGCTGGTCAGCTCACCAATATTTTTGATGGTGAAAATTATAAGCAGTTGGTGCAACAAGGCTTGTTCTCAAATCCTGACGATATTGTCATTGGGTTATATACCAATGGTTTTGTTAACCAAAAAAGGGGCAAGAGTTCTTACACTATCGCTCATGCTGTTGTATTCAACCTTGACCCATCAATAAGATAATAAATCAATTAATATATTAATTTCAAAAAAAAGTTACTAATAAAAAGCTTAGATACACAAATAAATACCTCTTGCAGCTGGCAATCTTGCCTGGTCCCAAGAAGTCTACCCACTTGAACTCTTTCCTGATACCAATCATCAGTGAAATAAAAGATCTTGAGGTGTATGACTTGGTAATCAAGAGCAATGGAGTTGAGGTTTGCCATGCCAAGATCCACTTGTTGCTTGCTTCTGCTGACATCCCAGCTGTGGCTGACATGACGCACATTGGCTCACATGCCAGTTTGTTTGGTTGCCAAATCTGCAAAACAAAGGGAAAAGCCCCAGACAACAGATGGCACGGAATGTACTTTGAAGATAGTTCTGCTCCTTTGCGACCTTTGGAAGACTTCAAAACCGGCAATCCAGTAAGTATATAACAGTTTAATTAGATTTTTTCTTGTACTAAATAATTGCTTATAATAGATAAAAAATATATATCAGCCAAGCATCTTTAGTGAACTGTCAACCTTCTCTGAATCTTCTTTCTTCGCACTGAATGAACTTCATTTAGTTGCAAGAGGAATTGGAAAGCACATTTACAACTTGATCACTGTGTCCCTTACCAAGGAGACAAATTTTTTTATACCCGTCCAGATGATACCCTCTCCACCACAGAATGCCCATTTTTCATACCAAGAGCTAGTCTTGTGACAATTGGCAACTGTATCACAAGTTTAAGACCATATATACCAGTATCATTCCAAGGCAGTTTTGATAATGTCTTCTCCAAGATTGATGGCACTCATGCAGTAGATTGGCTTGACTTTCTTCTGTACATTGTTTACACTCTTGTTGTCCCATTCTTACCAAACAGGGCTGTGAAAACTGCGGTATTGTCACTTGTCAAAGGTTGTGCACTGGCATTGCAATGGATGCTGACTTTGGAGTTGCTGAATAAGATGGATGTGTAAGTCATAATGCCTCTAACACTATATCACTATATACAAAACTAATCATAACCTTTTTTTTAAAAATAATAATAACAACAATAGACATCTTAAACACTGGCACTACTATCTATCACAACAAGTCCAGAACAAGACTATATCTCATAGTGTCTTCAGACCAGTACAGCACTATCTTGTGCATATACCATTCATTGTCAAGCAACTAGGTTCACTTCGATGCTACTCCACTCGATCAATGGAGAGAGTAATTGGTGTCTTTTCCAAGCTAATCAAGTCTAAGTGCAAGAGCAGCCGTAATGCTAGTTTTCTTGTGGAACGATTTACATTGCATAACTATATCAACATAGCCATCAGTATCCAGAACGAAATTGATCTTATTCAGCCCAAGCTGTATGGTAGAGAAAGTTATATGAATCTTTCTAATGATCCTAGTGGTGCGCAGTTGTGGGAGCCATTTCATTGATTTGCTCATTTGAACAATGATTTGGTGGAAGGTGTAAGCAACCCTAGTGTGAAGGATGCCTTAACTAGATACTATCAACGAACTTTGAGTTTGATGATTTCCAACATTGGTGATTTTACGATTGTTGTTTCTGGTCGTTTATGGATGAATTCGACTATGTATTCATCTTGCATGTATTGACAAAGAAGAAATGAAAGAAGCTGCAGTAATCATTACGTCATGTTTATCTGTCCTTACAGAAAGTAAGTATATCATTTTTCAATATAAAATCAAAAGTTACTTACATTATATTTATTTCTTTACTTTAGCAATGGTAACATAATTGTTTATAGCTGGCTCATTAGTGCAGTGATATTCTTCTTCCAGCATGAGAATTCACTTGGCTCTCTTTGTTTCCTTACTTTTGTTGAAGTAATAAAGGAACATGACGCGGCTGCCCACGACTCATCTGTATCAATCGTCAAACAGAGGTTACAAAACAGCTCAATAGGTCGCCAAACACAATCTACATATGCAGTAATAACTGTTGATGATATTTGTCATCAAGTTGGCCTTATACAATACCCACCAAATGAAAATCAGTTCTATATAATTGCATCTTATTATGTTTTCAACAATAATATGTGTATTACAAAAGGCAACCTTTCTATTTTATAACTTTTTTTATTTTTTATTTTTTATATGCTCTATATACCCTATATTTTTTTTATTCTCTACATGTTCTACATGCCGTTACGCAATTTAAATTAAAATAAAATTGTTAAGTAAACAAGAAGAGAGGTATATCTTTTTTAAAAAAAGACTTGATTTTAAAAAAAAATAATGGCAGTTATGTTTTCATTTCGTTTACACATTCCATAAAAAATTAATCCAAATAAAACTGGACATCTTTAATATTAAATAAAACATATATTTCAATACTTAAAGTGGTCATTAAAACTTACAAACACTTTCTAGACTATTTGAGACATTGTACAGCAACAAAAAAAAACAGATTTCATACTACTTTTTTAAAATGTTGCTAATGACATTACCATCTTACCAAAAATTGTGAAGAAATTATTGGCTTTTGACCAGAAAAATAGCAGTAATGTGCCTATTTTAGGTACAGTTGCCACTTCTATAGCCATAGTGATTATAAAAAAAATATAATAAAAGTTGTATAATTGACAATCTATTAAATGTGATTTGTTCTTTACTATCATTAAGTACAAATAAAATAAAATAATTATTAAGTCATAATCATAAAGATAATTATGCTTATAAAAATATATAATAAAAATAATATTAATTCCAAGTTGATTCATTCAGTTAAATATAGTAAGAAAATAAGATACAATGTGTAATTGCCTGAAGGCATTGTTGACAGGATGATGCTTTTTTGTTGTACTTATTGGTGTTTTGCTCTACAAATAGAAAAATTGCTTTCTATTCAGCCTTGGCTGCCATTAGAAAATCAAAAAAATAATAATAGAATATAATTTTTCTAGAATTACAAAGAATTTTGCAATGTCACTGCACTGCCGGACAACCAAAATTTTGTTAACAGCTGACCATTTTTACAACACCCCGTGTCAACAGAAATCATGGGGGGCTAGCACAGTTTAAAGATTATTTTTTATTATATCACATAATGCTGGTGATCTATAGATCATATAGCTGTGATCAGAACATAATTGAGAAATCTTTGTGATGATCCAAACACTCGGATGTTGGATTTATCACATATAAAAACATATTCATATTGGGATAGCATAGTAGCTATCATCTTGTCAGTATAAAATATATATAAACAATTAAGTAATTAGCCCAATAATTATTACAGTTAGTATTGTAGATAATATCTTAAAGATTGTTCAGATAATTATATCATACTGCCGGGTAAACTGTGTCAGATCGATATGGAGCTAATTTAGTAGGAAGTCCTAAAGCTCTAGTATAAAAGAGAAAAGGATAGCTAAGAGCTAAAGAAGTATGATTTATGACTTGATGTCATAATTGTAACACCAACACTAATTAAGCAGTAAATACACTCTAATAACCAAATATAGTAAAGGAAGAAAGCCTTAAGAAACTAAGACGTAATGACAAGAGCAGATTGTATTTTCTTATAAAAGAGAACACTTTTTATTTATGAATAAAGACAACTGATATATAGTCTCAAAGTATTTCTATATGTCTCTATTATCAAATATTTTATTTTTCTATTGTTTATACCTGAAATACTACAATCTTATTACATAGAGAAGAAAGGAAAAGAGTAGGAAATTATTTTTGATTATTGCTAATTTTTTGATGAAGACTTAAAAAGAAGAGAACGTGCTTCATCACTATGGGAAAAAGGTGGTCTTTTTTGAATTTGTGACTTCATTTTTGGCCTATAATAATCAAAAAATCACCAAAAATCCAAGTTGAAACAAGAAAATCTTTGTTCTTTGAAATGGTTGATAAAAAGCAAATGAATCGCTTAAAATTAAATCTCAGGAAGGACAAATGTCCATTCTAATTAAACATCTTACATTTTTGGTAAATATATATTGGAATTGAGAAATATTGGATGTCAGAAATAAAAAAAAAAGAAAATATCTAAACTTTCTGCTGCTTGGATAAAATTTGTTAAGACAATTTGAAAAAAAAGAAAAATTTATTACAAAAAAAAAACAAATTATATATCACTTAAGGCACCAAGTGTCAATTTTGGGCCACGTTTAAGGCTAGGCCAAATGATGTAATGGCTACCATTGACATTTGATGGCACCAAGCCAACCAACTCTACAATGTCACTGGCATGAATCACTATAGTCTTCGGCTTTACTACAGATGTAATAGGCAATCCATTTTCCAAATGCACACTATATATGGTTATGAGAGCTAGTGGCCATCTCTTCGAGTTGTGTACATGTTGGAAGAATATAACCACCTTTCCGAAGAAATGCTTATATCCTGGACGATAAGAGCGGGATCTTCTGGAGTTCATGTCCACTTGTAGCTGCACATGAATATGACATGCCTCTCTTGTAGAACTTTGGTTGAATGCAGCGTCAATAACACAACCATTAAGATAGGCCTTGCGGCTTGTCTTTATGGAAGGCTCAAGCATACTAAATTCTTCTCCCTTCAAATCATGAAACGTTTTAAGAAGCAATGAAAGATGAGATCTATCTTCAAAGCTATTGAAAATTGTTAAATTCTTCAAAGACCCCCAGAACTCAATCTCACACTCAGCATTGGCAGGATCACCTCCTTCTGTAACAGGCCACCCATCGGTATATGCACTGTAAACTAGAAGGTTAGCTGGTGGAGTTTTTGTGTTTGCAACGGTTGTCAGTTCTGCTACACGCCGGGATTGCGCCAGTCTGATCATGATGTTTCCAGCATTGACACTGACTTGGGAGTTACTCTTGATGGACCTGAAGTACTCACTAATGGCTCTTTCCACGGATCGTGTGCTATATGCTCTTGGCGGGCCATATAGATCAATCATCTGAGGATAATGCTGAATAATGTGCTGGTTAATTGTGAACACGCCAATGTCAATATCTGCTGTAGAAAGAAGACTCTCTAGGAATAAGTTCCATTCTACAAGATTACTAAGAAAAAAGGTAAAAGTAAATTACTATGAAAAATGAAATAAAATATGGCATTAAACATACCTTCTTATCGAGGTTTGATCCTCTGTTGATAACTCCCAGCTCATGAGTAAATTGCATGTTTGAACCAGGCCAAGTAATACATTTTGGGCAACCAAGTCCTGGACACGCTCTGCATCCAATGTGGGGACAACAAAGAGTAAAAAGTCTGCCCAATCCACAGCTCTAAAGAAACTGGCATTCTTTGTCACGTCTCTCCAGGCACCATGCAACAATGTAGGGATTGTGGATTTTGCGGCTACCATTGCAGCACCAATCTCCCTTTGAGCGGCAAGAGAAAGACATAGAGAATGCTTGATTCCATACTTTCCGCGTACAAGTCCCCATATCTGTTTACTGATTCCGTGGCACAGACCATGCATCTCGTCTAACGCGAAAAAAAACGGGCCAGAGAATGTTTCCATTGAGGCTAATGGTGACTGACCATTGAGCCCCTTTCTGTCTGCACTGCTTGCCAGATTGTAGTTTCTGAAACTCTCCAGTGAGCGCGTCTGGGTTCCAGGCAACATGCGGAAGTACTGGCCATGTTTAGGAGTTTGGTCCACTACGTGACAAATATGACAGCCATTCTTACTCGTGTGGCCAACATGGCATGCCAGCTTTGCCAGAGCTGGAATATTGCCAGTGTCCATGAGGACATGTACCTTTGCCCTGATCGTTGTCGGCGGTGTCTTTACTTCCATGCCTTCTGTCTGGAGCAAACGGAGATCTCTCAGCGTTGGCTCAAGAAAAGACCAGATGTCACTGGGACCAGTGCAACCAGGAAGCATTGCTATTTGGATCATCCTGTTTTTCTCATAACGGATCGTCGGATTCAAGTTCAAGACAGTTGCATGAACAATGGTTACTGATCCAGGTACATTGTGTGGGTTGAACCTGTCCATGGACAACGAAATCGCAATATCGTTTTCACCAGAAAACAGATGCTTCATAGATTGGTATACATGACCATCAAAAACATCTGCTTTCTGCCCATCTTGGCTGGATTGGTGGTTATGACGATAGAGCATTTCAGTCCTGGTCTTGTTATCAGCCAAGCACAAAGCAAGCTGTCTGGCCAAAGGAAGCTGTACGATCGATCTCACAGGAACTCTGGTGTCACTTTCGCTAGTTTGGCCATTTTTGTATCTTGCTTCACCGCATTTTACGCATGCGATATCATTCTTGTTGTTGAACTGCATACAACCTCTGATGCAAATGTCGTATCCGTCTGCTTTGATACCCAAGAAGCGCTCAAGAAGCTTGTTTCCAAGGTGTGGGCTGCATGCTCGGTACGTAATATTGATAGAACAATCAAGGATCTGGTTGAAGTGTTCTACAATCTTTTCATGGGCTCGACGAGAAATTCCGAACTCTTGGATCAACTGCATGAACGCGAGATTCTTTTTATCATCGTTGCTGGGAACAGGAAGAGACTGGCTAAAATCAAAGACTAGCGAGGGTGTGGTGCCTTCAATTTTGTCAATGACATTCTCGCATTCTTCTCCAAAATTGTACTATAGTAAGATAAACAACAATAAGTATGATTATCATAATATATGTATTTATGTATCTCACCATGGACTCATCATCTTCAGTACTGTCAATGATATCCATATCTTCACTACTGCGTGTGTTGATGTTTTCTCTGTTTGTTTATCAAAGTATACAGCTAATTAATATACTTTCTATCGTTTTATGTTTTTGCTTTTGATAAGCTTATCCAAAAGCCAAGTTAGGAACCATTGCTGATGTAAACTGGCTTTGATCAGGAAGAGAGACAGTTTGGGAAACTTCATCATTGGCAAGTAATTCTGCCCTATTTGTCATGCATCGTTCGAGACATCTTTTATATGTTCGACTGTTATTAAAGGTCGACTTGCAAGTACGGCATTGGTAACGAGGGGCTTTTGTAATTTTGGACATGTTTGAGGTAGGTAAAAAAAAAACTTTGTTATATAAGTAAGAATAGAATTAATTACTTTCTGAATGTATAGCTTTATACTTAATTATATAAAGACAATGATGTTATATGCATTCTGAATATATGCTCGGGATCTTAAAGAAGTATCTGTATGTCATCAGTGAAGTTACTAGATCAATGTTTCTTCAGGAGTAACCAATAGATTTGTACAAATAATTTGAAACTAATAATTTGAAGCTAAAAAATTGAAGCTAAAGATTTGAAACTAATAATAGTTTCTGGTAAAAAATTTCTCTTTCTTTCTTTTTCTATAACAAACATGTAACTGATTTTTTTTACAATTATGAACAATACAGACAATACAGTGATTCAGTTGCTTCAAGGAATACAAGCTGCACTTATTTCCCTAAAGAGTGGTCAAGAAGCATTGCTAGGCCATCAAGAAGCATTAGAAAAAAAACAAGATGCAATGCAACTTCAAATGACAAGTTTTTATAATGAATTTAAAGATTGGGAATTTCCAGATAGAACTATTGTAACCTCTACCAGTGTAAGCAAATACTATAACAACTAAAGTCCTTTCAATTAATGTCAAACATAATAGACTCTTACTGGCATCATTCCAAGATCCGTATCAAAAATCAACGATATAACTTTAAAGCATATATACAAGATGATAACAGACGATCTTAGAATAGAATTGACTGAGGAAACCAAGAGAATTGTTAACACATGTCACTGCAAAAGACAACCGATTTAAGTAGCTTAATTTTTGTTTAAATCCTCCAAAAATCAGTGGTTTATGTTCAATTATAGTTCGGTATTTGTTACAAAAATTGGTTCATTTAGTTAACCAAATGATGAGATTATAGATACTAAAATCAATAGATAAATTGAGAGTTATAATTCCCCCTTTTCTTGAAATGTTATAATTGTCTGTAATTCTGGTTATATATTCACCCATAACTTCAAACCGTACCTAAATCCTACTTGTTATAGAATTGGCTTTGAACTCTCTACCTCTTAAAAAATTTTATTTGCTTTAATTACATGATATTATTGGATAGACCTCACTAAAATCAACCTAGAATCAGTCTGAAATCTGACAGGAACCAGCATTCAAATGAATGATTGTAAAAAAAAACTTAAATAGATCTTGTTGACATCATCAAGAGATGACGCATTTGAAATAGAATCTCATGGAAAAAATGGTTTTTATTGATTTTTGAATGGTTGGAAAATATATTTAGCTATTTAATATGGACCACTAATACTTCTTTAAAAGTGTGTATCCGAATAGTACGACTTGTATACATGTTATACTTTCATTTATTGGACGGCTTGAATACATTGGATGACCTAACTTATACTATACTTCCCTACCTTATCGGTTTCATGTATTCGGCGCGTTTTTTGGTTTTACACTTCTTTAACTGAAAATGAAATCCTTGGTATTTTCTTGGAGAATATGTTTGTTTGGAACTACATTAGCTTAGAGCAAAAAAAGATACAGAAGTATTAATACAGGTTTCTTTATGAAATAAAATGAAATAACATACTTACTAGATCATTTATGGGGGTTCATAACAAATCTTGCGATAGAATAAAAATCCGTTTGATTGATATTTTCTTTTAAATAAAAAGCAAGAAATAAAATAAACAACTTTATTAATATGTACGCTTTGATTGTAAAGACACTTGAATTACTTACATATTATAGACACGCGTTTGCAAAAGGGGGCAAACCAGTATGACTTGAAAAAAAGGCGTGACATATTTATCTGAGAAGAAGAATTGATAAGTTACATTATTTAAGTTGAGTTATATATATATTACCTTTTCATAGACTGACAATACCAGAAAGTATATAGTGTCAAGAGCAAAATATCTTTTATTACAAAATGGATAGAAGCCCTATCATTTTAAAAATAAAAAATATTTAGTCAGCAAGGTGTTTCATTTTAGTTAGGAGATTGTTTATTACCTGCACTGTTTTGAATGCTTGTTGAGTGTATTGTTTATCTAATATATATTAAGATGATTCTAAAAGCCAAAAGTATTAATAAAAGTTGAGATCTTAAGAGTAAGCTTACCAAGACATATAAAAAGAGACAAAATGAGAAGAGCAGGTTAAAGAAAGAGAAAATAAAAAAGAGGGGCGCGGTTATTCTATTAAATACGAATTTGGGGTTTTTTTTAAAAATAAATAAATCAAAAAATAATTTTTGTCTGTAACTTAGAATTGAAAGAAAACGCAGTTGCACTATGCCAGCAGCTAATACATATGAAAAACAGAGTATAGTATAAAATCATATTATTCAAATACTAATACATAATATAAGAATAAAACATGGATTGAAAATTAAATTAAAGAAACACATAAAATACTCACAACAAGAGTGGAAACATTCAAAGCTGTTCTTGTTACGTAATAGATCATGGTGTTCTCTGAGAAAGAATAAAACTTAAAGCCCAAATTAAACATAATATAAATAGACCCTTTGGATTTAAAAAAAAACAAGCTATTCTTATTATTCACAATGTCAAGAAATCTCAATAACAATTCAGTTAACAATGATTTTGGTGAAGAACCTTCTGTGGGAAGGTAGATTAAAACCAGGCAGTCTTCAATTTTCTTATATTAATTTTATTTTCGTTTTTTATAAAAATCAAAAAAAAGCCCACCAAGAAATACCAATGATATAAGGACGATAATGTTGCAACACTCACAGGGAACAGTGAGCAATCAAAGACCACTAGCACTAAAGAGAGCTCAGTTGAATCTTGAAGGTGATTCGTCGGGTAGAACTCGTAACATCCATGATGTGTACGAGAAACTTGATACCATGAATGGTGTCTTAAACACTGTTTTGAAGAACACATCTTCTGAGAAAGCTGAAACCACTGCTAGTAATGCAGTTGAGCAAGACATGTCGCCTGGACGTCAACCAACATTGGATGTAAGTAATCATAATATGTTTTTATGTAGATAGAATTTAATATACATTCATATTATAGCAATTGTTGCGCGATTATTTGAGTGAAGAGAAATTGTATGACCAATACAATACCAATGAAAATAAAAACAGTGAGGGAAACAGACTCGTTCTGAAGTCTGTTACCGATTACCTTCGTCGTCAAGAAGAGGGGAAAAAGGTGGACTTGCCAACTCTTCGAACTAAGATTGTGCGGCACATTGGCAACAGAAAGTTGCAAGAAAAAAAAACAGGAGAAAAGAAGCAGGAAGAGAATCGACGGGCCTGTCTTTGTCAGTGACGTGTAAAGGTAAAAAACACACGCACACAATATACTAGATGTGATATTAAATTAGAAATATTATATATTTATATATAGTCGTGTGAAAGAAGATAATCTGCCTTGAAAGCCAATCGGGCACACTTTGTGAACAGCTTTGGAGAGAATGTTGACAGTATTCTCCATGCTGATTACATGTCAGACCTTGAGAGTGATGACGAAAGAGAAGAAGAGGAACAGGATTCGTCCTCAGAAAAGAGTTTTTTTTGGAGATTCCGCCCAAGCTGGAGAAGCGAAGAGGTATAGTACAAAAAACTATTTTTTTGGATGGTGTGTAATAATACTTACATTGACATATAGGGAGATAGGTTCGTTGATGAACTTGATGCGGATTATGAGGCAGCTCATGATAAGAAAAATAATACCCATCCATTCGAGCATAAATTTAAAGGAATAAGAGATAAGCAGCTTAGTAAGACCAAGGCAAACAAGCTGCCATCATGGTCAAAGAAACAATAAGACAATAAATCAAACATTTTCTAATAAATTGATAAAAGAGTGCAAAGTGGTATTTTATTAATATTATTTAAGCTTCTATTTTTTGGGGTAAAGGGATTACTAAACGTTTAAATTCACTAGTTATAGTAAACCTATATTTAGCAATTGCGATTGGTGAATATAAACGATGTACTGGAATAATACATTCATAATTAAGTACAGAAGAAGGTTCATTCCAGAGCTCAATGCCTTCATTTAACATTGGCTGGTAACTCCCCGAAGAATAACTAGAGTACCACTCAACAAACGCAAAAGTATGGGTGATGACAGTTTCGTTGATAGTTATCAAATGTTGAAATAAATACAGTATACGGCCAGGAAACGCTGCTTTATCTTCACTGTTATTCTCAAGATAATAGGCGCGGAAATAAGATCCAGAAGAGTATTCCTGTCCAAGAAGAGATATCCGTTTCATTTTCTCAATTCGGTTATTGACAAAAATCTGGTTAGACTCGCAGTTTGAATAATGGCCAAAAAGATCGTGACTGCCATACGCGTGTCTGTAAAACTCCAGTAAACATTCATAATGTCCCTTGCACATTGTAATCCTTTGGTTGAGTTTAATCGGAAACACTGAAGGGGGCAACGGCTCACAACCCAAAGCAGAATGACGAGGGTTTAACGAATATTCAACAAAGTCAGACAGAGAAAAGGTACTGGCAGTAGAAGATGGATGCAATGCTGCTAATTGATCTTGACTATTTGAAATGCGATGCAGAAAGTCAATTGCGAACTGGGGGAGATGGTTGACGAAAGATTGTATGAAGCTGCCAATGTATGTTCTCTCCAAAAATCTCTTCATCATTGTTGATTCGAAGCCGCCTTTTTGATTTGTTTTGATATTCTTCAACAAACCATTGTATCTCTTGAAACTGAATAACCAGAAAGCATAAATTGGCCCAAAGTCATGAACACACTCGCCAAGATGAAGATGTAGATGCATATTCGGTGTCACGGCCGATTTTCCATACAGTGTCTGAAATCTTGTACAAAACAATTGGAGTTTACTGTGGGCTTCGTCTATTTCTTTGTCATTGATTGAAGGTTTTGTGAGTAAGCGGCATGCGTCAACAAACAAAATCCAGTTTTCGAGATTCTTGGCTGGGAGCACATGCTTCAGAACAAATGGAGAGTATATGACGCACCACGACTTCCACTTGTCAGCTTTCATGAATGAAAACCCATCGGCAATCTTCTTTGTTATACGCGCATATCCACAAGGTACAACAATACCATTGGCAAGCTCTTGCATAGTTAACTGATTCTTTTCATTGATGTAGTTACACTCGCGCCATATCTGAATCATTCGCTTTGCAGTTCCAAGATAGAGGTTATGCATCGGGTCTATAACTGTAAAGTGGACTGGGTCAAAGTAAGATAACCGATGAAGCTCTGACCACCGAGTGCTGTTTTCTTTTTCTAGGCGTGTTCACTCAGTATTGTTCAATGCATTTGCCCAGCTGACAACGTGCTCCAGATTCATTGTCTTCGTGCGTCTCACCCAATTGCTATACTTGAATCCAGAGTAGTCAAGCTTGCTGGTCTTCTTTATAGTTGTGAATTGTCATTGACATTTGTGACAGGCGCATGTGCTCATGTGGCCAGTAAATCCAGAGGTTTTGCGAGCGGCAGGGATATCACAGGCAACACACATCAATGCAGCACGAGCAACAATCTTTCTATTTTGTGAGTCTGTCATTTCTACACCAATGTACATCTCCAACAATTCGTCAACAAGCGGCTTCAAGTAATGATTCATGCTGTCAGTGCTTGCTTCCTTCGGCCCAGGCATCATACCAACAAGAATGACATTTTCAGACTTAAGGCGTTCACTCCGTGGGAGATTGTTGATAGAGAGATATATCGCACCACTGGAATGTGTTCGTCCATCAAATGGCTGAAACCAATCGATATTCAGAGTCAACATTAAAGATCGGCTATCATCAACAAACCGTCTGCCATTGATGTCTTTAATATCACTCCAAACTGCACCATCGAAAATGTCAAGTTTGGTGTTTTCAATTATTTGACGACTTCTCCACAAATTGATCTTGGACACGAAATCTGGCTTGGAGAATTTTTGTTGCAAGGCGTACTTCAGAGAGTTGAATGGATATATCATTGCTGGAAGAGAACGATTTCCGGTTGACACTTTAAAGAGATTGTTGTTGCAAATGGCGGATTGAGAGAATTTCTTAAATGTACAGACTCTTTGACTTGTTTCCGGAGGATAAATCGAATGACATTGTGAGCATGCAATGTATACTGTCATTCTGTCTGTTGCCATGTTAAATCCTGTCTTATGCTTCAAGCTATTGATCGTCAGTGGAAGGGCGCCAGACATATCACAGAGAGACAGTAGAGTATTACAAAATTCAATGAGAATCGATTCACCGCTTTCCACCAAAAAGATCAAGTGAAATATGACAATGAATACTGCAACAAAGCGGATATACAAGGGCATGTTATCAAAAGACGAAGGACGAACTATGAAGACAAAGGTTAAGTTAGTTTAAATTAATATATTGATTAATTGTCTATACCGTATTAATTCATACCTGATTCTACTATCGAGGTCCCACTGGTCTCATCAAAGTTTTCTTCTTGTTCAAAATCAAAACTGGTATCACCTTCTTCAATCTCATCGCCATCAACCACAAATGCTCCTGTAATTGTATCTTTGACAGTAAAGATGGACTCTTCTTGGGACAAAGGTAAGTCAACTGGAAAGGAATAATTGTTATAAAGATGTAGAAATAAAAATATAATTACAATTATAATCATATAAAAAATAAAAAATAAAAAAAATATATATCAGTTTCAATTATTATTTTGTTCATTTATTTTATTTTATTTTCTTACCTTCTTGATCAAATTCAATGTTTTGTTCTTCATTTTTGTCTTCATATTCGCCTTCGCCTTCGTTCTTGTAATCATAATCATTGTCATTGTCACTGTCAATACTATCTACTTCCATGTCGTCAAAATGTTCTTCAGGAACATCTATTTTATGAATTAATTTATATTAATTTTACATGTACAGCTCAAGTTATTCTTGTTATTTACCCATTGCATCGTCTTTGGCAACAGGCACTATATGTTTCTCATAGTGTCGTTGTGCATTTTGTCTTTTCTGTTTCTTTCCACAGCTATCCAACTTTGTACAGTCTGGACATTTGCAGATAACATAACTGTCTTTCTTTTGATTATTGGACATGTCGATTGTTTTAAATTATAAAAAAAATTATATAGATTTTAAGAGATCTTGATCAAGGTCTTTATATACCAAAAAAAAAATTATAAATAGATAAAATACTGCTCCATGCCATGACTATAGTATGCCAAGTAATTCTTTGATACATCTACCGCACATATCATTATAATTATACTCATATATTGTTAAGTCATTAACCAAGTCAAATACTGTGCACATTACTAAAAGTGTACGCAATTTTTTTTAAAAGTCTTTTTTTAGAATTATAATATTTGATATGACGATGATTCGACCATGACGAAAAATAATCCAAAAATGGAACATTCGCCTCTCACAACATGTGAAATAAAAAAATCTGATATTTTAGTTCCATATATCAAAGGGAAAAATCACGCAAAAATATTGCCACAGTAAAAATGAAATCACAACCTTTTGTCTCGTTCCCTTGGAATATATGGATTAAATATTTGTTTTTATATTCACATTTATAATACATAAAAAATATTTAAATGATTTATTTTGAAATAGAAAAAGTGAAACCTTAAGAATATATATAATTTTTATTAAATATTATATTAACTTTTGTATAAGTACTTTTTCAATGTAATTTAGAATTATATCAAAGAAGTGTATAATATAAAAAAAAACCCCAATTTTGTAATTTTATGGTCAAAAAAATGATGGTAGTGTGATTTTACAGCTAAAAAAGAGCGATCTGAAATCACAACAGAAAAAAATAGAAATTATTTGAAAAAATTAAAAATCGAAAATTGTAGTAAAATTTTTGCAGGTTTTCAGGAACTAAAATCAGCAGTCTTTTGCAGTGTGTACCAAGGTCATATGTGATCAACTGGCAGCTCTTCCATCTGTTCAGGATCTTGGAACAAACCCTGACTGGTCATTGCTTCCTCAAGAGGATAAAAACAGGCTGTGTATCAATCATTCCATCATACTCAGAGACAATGGAATCGATTTTACCAGATGCCACAGAAACTGGGCATCAATTGCAAGGGTTAGCCAGCTCTGAGGAGGGTGTAAGAAGCGAGAATACTCTGGTAAGTTCATATCTGGTAGGTACAATAAATTGTGTAATTAATGTGAGAATATGTAATAATCTGAAGGAATTTTAGCCAGTACGATTCATGAATAAAATATTATTTCTATTATAACAACCAATAAAAACATTTTTAAATAATGATCTTCTATGAAATAATTTTTTTTTGCCCAATTAAAACTGTGAATGAATCAGAATATATATATGAGAACCAATTGAGAGAATGCTTTTGTTTAAATGACCAATACTATCAATGTGCATACTGCAATAAAGTTTATATTATCCAATTAAAAGTAGCAGTATAATGAAAGTATTTTATGAGTGACAATACAAAGATTCTTTTTTTCCATCTATACCAATAAGAAAGCTCTTTTTTATTTTCTTTCTACCAATAGAACGAGAAGAATAATACATAAATTTAAATATCGGGATATGAATAAAACCTAACATCCATCAGTCAATGGAGATCTAATTATATTTCCAAAAATAGGGATGGTCTTTTTGCTGGTTTTACCAAAACTGCCGCCCAAAAGACCACCTAAAATACCACCTAAAAGACCAGCAAAAAGACCACTTTTTTTCCCGTAGTGCATTAAGCTCATGACAGGCATCATAAATTGCATCAGAAAAGGGCATCAGAACCAAACCAAACCAGACGAAAACAGCATAAAGCTCAATGGGACAGGAGACAGAAGAACCAATGGCTTGCGGAGACAGGAAGGACAGTAGGACGACGGCTGCACTCAGGCATTAGCGCCTATAATACAACACCATGACAGCAAGAGCAAAGGAGGGAACCAGGTGTACAGACCCAGATAAATGTGTAGCTTCCAGGGGTTGAACTCGCGATCTTTTTATAAAACGTACAGATTTTTATTTACTGCATCTAGTAAGCAACTGCGGGGGGCTAGCACAAATGGTAGTGCGTCAGACTCCAGATCTGAAGGTTGGGCGTTCGAGTCGCTCGTCCCTCATTTTTCCTCATTTTTGTTGTGGTGTGTTGTTTTATTGTTTTTCATCTGGGTTGTTATTTCAATGCTATTGTCGTTCCTGATCTGGGATGGTCTTCCTTTTACTATAGCAAAGTCAAAAGGTCAAACCCACTGGGGATCGGAGAGTATATGTAAAATCGAAGAGAGAATAAAAGGTGCTTTTTATTGATAGGAATTGAATTGTCTTATATAGTTTTCTAAACTAATACTGCGCATTATCTGCAGTAAACTATTATACTCTATTTAATTACAAGAGAAGTCCTTTTACTGCGGTTGATGCTCAGAAGATGTTACTGTGGTTAATCTTTACAAGACATTACTGCGGTTCGTTATCTATGAGGTATCTTTGACATACAGAACTGCTGCGGTCAATTATCCCAATTTCTCAGATTCATCAAAATAATGTCCAACACTATTGTCGTGCTTAATTTTTGTGTCAGAGTTGAAATCAGTGATCAAAATCGGAAGTTACAAGCAACCAGTAACAGTTGACTTTTTAGGATAAAAGATCTTGACTTTGCCAATTGGTTTTTTGTCTATGTTTTAGATGTTGGAGATGAGGAATATACTTGTGGAGATATTACTGGACAACAAGCATCTAAGACATATTATCGCAGCTATTCTTTTAGCCAGAAAACAACAATTGTTTTGTATAAATAGTCAAGAATTACATTTAATAAAAATCATCTTTATTCTTATCTAAAAACTATTCTTAAAAACTTAATGATCCCCAGTAGTATTAATTCTGCGACTTAGTTACAAGTGCCAGAAAAGAAATACCAGATCAAGACTTGACATTTGTGATACAAGTTCTAGTGACTTGTTATTACAAAAGAAGCAGGAATTAGAATGATTATTTATCAGTTTGTAATTTTAGAAATTTGTAATCAGTTTATAATAATTTTTAATATTGTTAAGTCTTGATCTGGTTTTCTTTTCTGACACTTGTAGCTAAGTCGCAGAATCAATAGCACTGGGGATCGTCAAGTTTTTAAGAATAGTTTTTTTGGTAAGAATCATGATGCTTTTTATTAAATATATTTCTTGACTATTTATACAAAATGATAATTGATTTCTGGCTAAAAGAATAGCTATGATAATATGTCTTAGATGTCTGTTGTCCAGTAATATCTTCTATAAGTATATTCACCATCTTAAACATCTAAAACATATATAAAAACTAATTAGCAAAGTCAAGCTCTTTTATTCTCAAAAGTTAACTCTTACTGGTTGCTTATAACTACCGATTTTGTTTACTGATGTCAACTCTGACAATATTACTAGACACTACCACTGCAAAAGGAGGGTGAATTTGGTTGAATTTTATTTTTTTGAATTTTGACAAAATTTGGAAAAATATTTCAAACACCATCATTTTTCAATATATTTTTTTCTTGAGATGTGAATTCGCAATTTTTTCTGATTATATTAAATAAACACAGATACAAATATAAATATTTATTAATTAGACAATCAATTGCACAATTGTCTTAAAAAATATATGTTTCGATTAACTTGGCAGAAAAATAAAAAATAAAAATAAAATATTAAATGTTAAATGTATTATTTAATTATTTTTCTAGAAGGAAAAACTTGTTGTTACAGATGCACCTAATTTAGACTCAATAATATTTTTATTGCATCACAAAAAATATCAATTTTTATTAGAATATAATAATGTATGATATATGACTTATTTTTAATAAGAAAGTATATCAAAAAAAAATTGAAAAAAAGAGCAAGAATTGATGTCATAAAAAAATACAAAAAAAAGAAAATCCAAAAAAGGCCACTTGCCAAAATGAGCAAGAATTGATGTCATATTAAAAAAACGCCAAAGAGAAAAACTACGCCATTATATCAGTGATTATTAAATTGAAGCCCCCATTAATAATCAGGCACACTTTTTTTAAGAAAAGATTGCTGTATCAAAATCCATTTGTAATTTTTACTAATAGGGACAGTAAGCTCAATGCAGTCAATGACATAGTAAACAAGATATATCAACTCATTATTAATGACAAAAATAAAAGGCATATAAAAGATAAAAACAAAATATAGTATACACTTCTTTATTATTTTATTGTTATTAATATTATTCTTACTGTTATGAATTCTACAACTAAAACCTATACTGTTATGTGTACATGTTTATCATGTACCAAAAATGCAATTGGCGGAATTTTGCAAAATGCACAGACCTTTAAGTGTCATAACAATGCTGATAAGTTATTAGACATTGGCCCAAAAAATTGAGGTAAATGACATTTGAGTAGTATGCACATTACTGGATAAATTGTAATCTGATATTCTTTTTTTGTTAATTGTCAGTTAATACAGAAGTTGTCAAAGAAGAGACAGACATTGAGATAGGAGATATATCTGATATATCAATTGACTGTGAGTATAAAATGTATTTTTAATAAATCATAATTTAGATAGCTAATAGTCTGTTTTTACTATAGATGAAGACAATTATTCTATTGTATCAGCCGAAACTACTGTACAGAGTGTATCTTTTTTGAGAGAAGACAAGATTTTTTAATTCAAAGAGTCTGATGTTGAGGCAACATCATTGGCTTCTGACAATGACGATTCTGATTCAAGTGATGAGTCTGAAGATGAGAGCAAAGTTGAGGTTGCCAGTGTTAAAAATTTTGAAGACATGGTTGCTTCTGGTATGCATATATTTAAAAAAGAAATATACATAAATTGTGTTACAAATAATTAACAGAAATACTTGCCTTTGTAGTTGCTTCTTTGAAAATTCATAAAATGTATCAAACAAGCCAATTCATGGCTCTATTTGACGTTATCTTTCAGGTGTTTTACTTGGTCCAAGCAGGTGGAACTGCTATGCTGAAATTCTTCCGCCATTTTCTTGTTGCCTTTGATAAGAATACTGATCTCACACTCACCGTTGATGTGTTAAAGACTATGACCAGATTCAATTTTATGACACAAAGCATTGTCAAATACACCATCTGCAATAAGTGTTTTGCAATTTACTTACCAGGCAATCACCAACCAAATTGCACATTCGAAAAATACACAACTACACCACCAGCATACTGCGTAAACCCTCTTTTCTTTGACCCAGAAGTTGATCACCCCATCCCTCTCATGGTTTTTCTGTATAACTTCCTCAAGAATTCCATTGCACAGCATTTTGCCAAACCTGGGTTTAAGTGTCAAATCGTTCAATGGAAATCAAGGGAGACAATTAACAGTACCTTGTTAGACATATATGATGGTGCAATGTGGAGTGAGCTCCTTGACGAAGACAATGAGCCTTTTGTTAATCATGACCATTCCTTGATGCTGACATTGAATGTGAATTGGTTTCAACCATTTGAAGACTGTACACATGCAAGTGGGGCCTTGTATCTGTCAATGAACAACCTGCCCATGGAAGAAAGAATGAAGCCGGAGAACATTATCCTTGTTGGTGTCATGCCTGGTCCAAAGGAAGCAAAGATCGACCAGATGAACAACTTTCTGGAACCTCTGGTAGACGAGCTGGTAGAGTTATACGGCAGTATAACTGTAAAGACTGCCACATTCCCCAATGGTACTGTTGTCCGCGCTGCTCTTATATATGTTGCTTGCAACATATCTGCTGCAAGAAAAACTGCTGGATTTACAGGGCATGCAAGCACTAATGCCTGTCATAAATGCGAGCGTCACTTCTCTGTGATTGCTAGATCAAGTAAGATCGATTACTCTGGGTTTGACAATGAAAGCTGGGTGCCAAGAACAAAGGAGATGAATGCCATATACGCCGATATGTGGGCTTGTGCAGAATCAAATGCAGAAAGAGCAGATTTTGAGAAGCAAAATGGCATGCGGTTTTCCGAGTCGCATCATTTGCATTACTTTGATCCCGTTTGGTGCATAATTGTTGATCCCATGCACAATTTGTTTCTTGGGACAGCAAAGCATATGATCAGTGTTTGGAAAGACCTTGGCTATCTCCCTGCTGCTGTTCTTGTCCGCATGCAACGCCTTGCTGATGATATTATTGTTCCTTCTGGGTATACTGTTTTGTCTGCAAAAATCGAATCGGGCTTCCCATATATAAAGGTAGACGAGTGGCAATCATGGTGTCTCATATATTTGCTGATAATACTCAAAGACGCTTTGCCTGAAAAAGACTTCAAAAACTAGACTCTCTTTGTCAAGGCATGCCAAAAGTTGACTGGTCCATTAGTCACATACTCAGAAATTGACAGTGCACACCAGCTCCTTGGAGAATTTGGAAAAGAATGCAAGATTCTTTATGGAAAGAGTAGCATCACGCCAAATATGCATTTGCATATGCACTTGCATGAGTCGATGCTTGACTTTGGTCCAGTGTATGCATTCTGGTTGTATAGCTTTGAGAGATACAACAGCAAGTTGAAGAACATAAAGACAAACTGCCGAAATGGTTTTGAGGTTACATTCATGAGAGTATTTCTGGAAAAGACATTTATCAGCACTTTTCTACATGCATATTCCACCAACCTTTTGCCACCAATGATACAGTTTCTTGAGAGCATTGCCCAAGTTACATTGGTATCTGCTCTCTCGTCCCTCCCTTGCCTGGAGAATGGTCATCCACCCATACTAGCATTCAACCTTCCAATGTTTCTGCAAGCTGCCACAAATCCATGATACAATGTCACCGGAAGTGAGACCTTGCCCCCAACCACTTTGCCAATCAAACTGCAGCCTTTGACTATGATGAAGGATGATCACTATCAGTGGTTATTTGAATTCTATGTCAAGGCTTACCAGAGTACAAGTGTTTCCTTCTGTGTGGTAGGGAAAATCCCAATTGGTGAGGATGTGTTTGTGAACAATTGGATTCAAAAGGTGAAGAAGATTCCGTTGCTGGGGCAAGAATACTGCAGCAGTGAAAAGAAGAAGTGCGAGTCTTTTGTGAGGGTTTTGTTTCTTGGGAGAACAAATGACAATGTATCTGAATTCCCTGATCAAATAGAGTACACTGGAAAAATGACCTGACATATGTATGTGTAAAGACGTAGTTACTCAGGTGTCAAGACGGGGTTTAAGATTGAGTCCAGATACATATCATCATATAACAAGTTCATCTTAGCACCATGTGCCATGACCAGCTATACACACTGGAAAAATAGGGTAATTTCATCTATGGCGTAGGGTACTATTATTTGTGGAGTGGTAGCTTAAATTTCCATCACTTTTGTCTTTTTTATTTTCGACGGCGATGATAATGCTCGGTCTGTTTTATTGGATAAAAAAACGAGTTTACTCTTTTTTGTAAAAAATGTCTGCGAGATTTCTTTTTGGGACTTGTAGCCATGTCGCAGAGTCAATAGTTGTAGGAAACTTAAACCAAATGATATCTTTTGAGTGAGATAATAAAGCTTTTTATTGTTGTAATATTTATTTATAAGTATGATGAGGTTAATGGTCGTGATATTACTACAAATATTTTTGTTGTATATGCTCTACAGCCAATAAAATGTACATGACGACATGTTTTAACAAAAGCGTGTATTATTGTATTTTAGAATGAGGCAATCAATTACTGTTTAGAGAACTGCCCATTTTAACAACCGGAATAAACTATGTCATTTTGGAAGCTGGTATAATTTGGAAAGATATATATTAAATTGTGTTCCTGAACAATTTTCTATTCTTGTCAATTCTAAAGACTTAAAAAATAAAACACACGCACACAATATGTCAAACAACAACAACAATTCAGAATGCAAGTGCTCTAAATGCTCTTCCAATTGCATGGGATTTGTTTTGGTGTCTACCCAAACACTCAGAAGACATGCACAACAGGATATCGTGAGACAATATCAGTCAGGATCTTCTTGTAAGTTCAAATTTAAGAAAATTATTATTGAGACAATTTTAATTAAATATTTATTTTCATATAATATAGCCTCAGTTATAGAAGTAATGTCGAATGACAATGACATGGAGATTGACTTTGAATACAATGTTGATGCCGAAGATCAAGTTGAAGGTATGCATAGTATTTTTATTAAAGTTTTATAATCATTTATAATATCTAATAATTTGATTCTTTTTTACCTAACAAAACAGCCGAAGACTTACCTCTTTTTGGCATTGATTCCTTGTTTGATTCTGAAAGCGAAGATGAGGGTGTCATTGAAGCAACCATTTTGGATATTTCTGACAATGAATCTGATGATGTTAGAGGTTAGTACAAAAAGCACATATAAATCAATAAAGTCAACAAGTATTGATTTTTTTTCAAATAGAGCACTTTTCTTCATCCAATATGCCAGTCGATCCTACTCATGCTTTCATTGCTTCTTTTGCTGCCTTCTTCATATCCAAATATGTTGTCAATTCTGGTGGTGCTGTTCTGTTAAAGTTTCTTAACGAAGTATTGGCACACTTTGGACAGTCTTTCCGTCTTCCCCTCAGTATAAGCGGTGTCAACTCTATGACCGGTCTCAGCGATGTGACTCGAGGTGTCCAGCGGTTTGTTGCATGTGGCGATTGTAACAAAGTATACGAAGAGTCCGATGTTGTTCCAGAGTGCTGTAATTTCGAGAGACTCTCTGGTAGAGAATGTGGAAACGCTCTTTTCTTTGCAACATCAAGAGCCTTGACTATCCCCAAAAAGATCTACATGTATAACTCCATAATCAAAACATTGTCTATCCTTTTTTGCCGCCCTGGATTCGAAGACACCATCAACCATTGGAGAATCAGAGTGCAAGTTCCAGGCATGATGTTTGACATTTACGACAGTACGAAGTGGAACAGTCTGAAGGATAGCAATGGTTTACCGTTTGTGAATCATGAGCGCTCCATAATGCTTACCATGAACATCGATTGGTTTCAACCTTTCGATGGGGTCACTTACTCCTGTGGTGCGATATACCTTTGCATCAACAACTTGCCAAGATCGGAACGGTACAAGAAGGAGAATGTTGTTCTCGTTGGTCTCATGCCAGGGCCCAAGGAAGCAAAGACAAGTGAGATCAATCACTACCTCCGACCCCTTGTCGCGGAACTCAACCAGTTGTATGGCGGTGTGGTGATGCCTACCGTACAGTGCCCATCTGGTGCTCTTGTCCGTGCTGCCCTTCTTCTTGTTGCCTGCGACATTCCTGCTGCCCGTAAGACTTGTGGGTTCACCTCTCATTCAAGCACATGTGCATGCAATAAGTGCAACCGACAGTTCCCTCGCCTTCCAGACTCCAATGCTGTGAACTACTCTGGGTTCGTGTTTTCTGAGTGGGTGCCTCGCACTGATGCCGAAAACCGCCGTGATGCTGAGTTGTGGAGAATGGCCAGCAGTGATGCACAGAGAAAGAGATTGGAGAGGGAAAATGGTGTCTGATGGTCAGAATTGCATGACCTGGTTTACTTTAACCTCGTGGAGTGCACTGTCATCGATCCGATGCACAACCTGTACCTCGGAACAGCAAAGAGGATAATGGAGAAATGGAGATCTTCAGGTCTCATCACAGATGCACACTTGGCCGAAATGCAGTTGGATGCTGACAAGCTTGTACTGCCAGAGGACTACACGCCATTAGGGACAAAGATCGGGCGTGGCTTCCCATTCATGAAGGCCGACGAGTGGAAGTCTTGGTGCTTGGTGTACTCTCCTGTTCTCCTGCGTGGTCGTCTACCTGAAGCTCATCTCGGTAACTGGACAACGTTTGTCAATGCATGCCAGTACCTCTCAATGCCAAGCATATCCATGGCTCACCTTGATGAAGCCCATCAATCTTTGGAGGCTTTCTGCAGAGAGTGCGAGAAGTTGTATAAAGCCCCATTCCTTTCGCCAAACATGCATCTCCATCTTCATCTGCGAGAGACTGTACTGAACTTTGGCCCGGTTTATGGCTATTGGCTTTTTAGTTTCGAAAGATGCAATGGTATCTTGAAAAACTATGCGACAAATAGAAAAGACGGGTTTGAGGGAACCTATATGAAGAAGTATCTTGAAGAAGCATACCAGGGAGATCTTATTTGCCAAACTTTGCCAATAATTCGACCTGAGCATTCGGCGATCATCCTTGAGCTCACTGCATCCACTGCCAATTCCATAGCCACTTCCACTTCCACTGCCACCTCAATCCAATTCGATATCAATGCTTTTCTTGATTCTCCTGAGATCAACTTTGATATCGTCAAGGGAAACGAGCCTTTGCCCCCTTCCGCACTTTCTTTAGCTCTAAAGGGGGAGATTTCCATGGATGAATCCGAGTATGAGCATTTGTTGGAATACTATCGCGAGACATACGATGATCAAACTCTTGTTCATTACCGTCAGGCTGGTCATTCCGATAATTTTGTTAACAATCGGATACAGAAGTTTGAATCAATCAATCTTCTTGGGCAAATCTACAAGAGCAAAACGAAGAATCAGCATGGGTCGTTCATGCAAGCCTTGTTTGAGACAAGTGATGGTAGAAGTACCAAGCCATACGCGGGCCAAATTCAGTACCTCTTTGTCAATACTGCTGTAAACTCGTTTGCTGGTCATGCGAGCCAGCATGTATTTGCATATGTATGATGGTACAAGGAAGTTTTACTTCAGCCCAGAGCAGGAGAAGGAGTTGAGGTGAATGAGGTGGGGTTCGAAGATGACAGCATGAACAGCATTCTCCCAGTGCATAGAATCTGCTATCCAGTCGCAGTAGGCGAGCACCTTGGTCTAGAAGGCGAAGTTCAGATGTGTGTAGTTCCTTTGCCACGAAAAATATATATTTAGATTCAAATACAAAAATAAAACACGTATAAAAAAGAAATATTAATTAATACAGACTAATATATATAGCTGCACGTTTATTTTTTATTATTTCTATAAATTTTTGTTTGTACTTGGCATGCTATACATACATCTGTATACATCATGCTAATCCGTAAACATAAACAAGTAGAAAAAAGACTCTAAAATAGTTGGCAAGAAAAAAATGATTTATTTTGAAAAGCACCAATCTGGTAAAGTGACTGCCAAATTCTCGGGAATGCTCACTTCTTTCTCATAAGGGATGCGCTTTTTCAAGCTTTCTGAATTTTTCTTCAAACGGATAACAGTAAGTTCATCAATAGTACTAATAAACGTCTGGAGCTGGTTTAAAGAATAAATAGTATTAATAAAGTATTATTATTTTCTTTAAAACATAAATAGATGTTTAACATTACCTCATCAGTTCTCCAGCTGGGACGATATGCCCGCACTTTGTTATCTCCATCCGACTCGCCATCAGACATCACGTCAATAGAAAGAATATTTCCGCAATCATATCGATTCATGCCCTCATGAATAGCCTCTGTGTATGTCTGTTACGTGATAATACGACGGTCAAGAAGCTACCAAAGAGTATTGTATTAAAACATTAAATCAATAGTAAATTAACTTTATTTTAAAACTTACGGTCTTCTTTCTGTTGCGTCTTCTTCCAGCTTTATTTCTAACCATAATCTTCTCTGCTGAGGTCCGGAAGACTCGCACTTGATTTTGGTAGTGATTCTTTATTATATTCATAATGACACTCTTTGACACATTTGTGCAACATCTTTGAGGTCTCAGGTACTTGAAGAGAGCCAGTGCAAGTGTCTTGTTGTACTTGTTGCCATACGTGCCAGTCATTGACCATGCTGATCTATTATTATTCTCAGCAACTTTGAGCGGGTCTGTGCTAACAAAGTTCGGTTTCTTGATGTAACTATTGATAAGTTGCTATAAAAACAGTATTAGATATATTAATCAGTAATGTTATTATTATCAATTTACTTACAGAAATCAAGGGATGATGTTTCGCTCCAAGGTCAAGATCATCATCCATGGAAGAAGAAGAATCCGCTGGTACAGCAGAAGGCATCACGGAATTTTGGCTGGTCATTGCCTTTTTTATTTCAGCATTTTCAGTCATGAGCTGAAGGACCGAGTTCTTCAAAAATTCATTTGTCTTGTTGGACAAATCCAGGCCATTCTTCAAATGAGTTATTGCATCAGTCACTCCTTTTGCATTTTCTTGCAAGGATTGCATCGACACATTGTTGGCTGCCAACAAGGTAAGGACGTGATCCATTGGGGTCACAGCGACTTGAACTTCAGGGGCTGTGTCAACTGCTACTTCTGGAGTTGGTGTATCAATTGGAGCAACAACACCTGCAATTGTGCTATTAAGAACAGCATTCATGCGTAGGTTGGGTCGGCGGGGAGCAGTAGGAATACGCTTTGTCATTTTCTGTTAATAAAATAAATATTAATAATTTTCAACTAATATTGTACAATTCACTACACTTGTTATATCATATTTAAAATTCACATACTAGTAAAGAGGATAAGTGGTGCAGATTAACTCTCTACCTTTCATTTGATATTTAAGCACATCTCCCAACCGCTTGATCCACATTTAGACAACTTCTTTTCTAACTCAATGAGGCACAAAGTAGTATTTCAAGATGACGGTGGTCATCTTCTTTTGGAGTATTACTTTTTACAGCCCGCATTTTGTCAGGGTCAAACTGGATTTTAAGACAAGTCTTTTTTTTTTCCTTTTTTTTTCTTTTAACAACATTTATTATTGATATTTTCTTTGTTTCTCTTTTGCTTATGTTTTTACAATTTCACTTACAATTTTCTTTCTTTCTTTTATAGCTCGATACCAAATATGTGTCTCTTTGTTTGACTATACTCTGTCTGATATATCAAGGTAAGATATCATTATCTTACAGATCTTTGTTACTCATCATATTGTTTGTCTAGCCATTGCTACTCATTTCCATTGAGTCTCATCATCTCTTAATCGAACATGATGGTAAGTTTTTTTCTTAAAAAAAATTCAAATTATTCTTTTGTCTTCCTCATAGATATATATTTATTTTTATTATGATTTATTAGTTATGTCTAATATTATGCACGAAGACGTATAATCAGTAATATTTGGTAAGTTAACTACAATATATTTAATAAATACGCCTTTACTACGCACAATATTAATAATTATTCATTTTTAGAATGTATCTCTATTCAAAGACTACTGGTATTGTCTTGATAATTCTGAAGAACATGTTTATATCAATTTTATGTCAAGTCTTCTCCGCCTTGTAAGTATTTATGAAGAAATTTCAATTTAAATCATTTACTAATTCTTCTTTTCTATTAATCATTTTTTAATAGCATTCCCGCTATTAAAGTATGTATTCCATGTCTACTCCCGGAAGGCTTTAAATTATATATAGCGAGCAAGAAGTATTAGCAATTATAATAGCTATAGTATCAAAACTGTCGCGAAATTAGGATTTTTATCTAGAAAAGATTTTCCTATCAAATAAAACAAAATTGAACAAAAAATGTATAACCCAATGTTTTTCCAAAAAATAAATAAATAAAAGTAAAATAAATAAACAAACCAAAGAGGCTTGTTTATAAAAATCTACCCATGCTTTGTTTCTCTTTTCCATTGTAAAAAAACCTAGTTTCATTGCTTTTGTGTGTATAAAAAACCTAGTTTCATCACTTTGAGCACGTATAAAAAACCAACTATCATCATTTCTTTATATTGTAAAAAACCTACAATCATCTCTTTGATAGTTTTTAAAGCATTTCTGCAGCCAATAAAAAAACCCGGTAAAAATAATAATATGGGACGCTAGCTCTTTATAGACCTCAAAATATAACACATAAAGAGGTAGACTCGATAGGAGTAAAGCGTAACTACAATATTTATTCAGTTTCCATAGTTTGCGGACTGACAATCGTTCTACATTGGGTTTTCGTGTACCCGTTGTTATGATGATACGCATCAGCACCATAGATGATATCGTACCATTGCTCAAAATGCTATATCACAAAAATTGTGATGATATCGGCTCAATCATCTACATTTTTGGTACATTTGATCCAGATGAAATTACCCTATTTTTCCAGTGACACATGTGTGGGGTCAAATAAAAATGACGGGAATATAGTTCTTTAGCACTTTTGGTGTGTTGATCTGACTTGGGATATTGAAAAGAGTTTTTTGAAACCAAGGTTTTATTTTTATATGTTTTATATGGAGCTTTAAAGGTGAATAATATATGTGTTTTCGATCTTGACACAGTAATGTAGTTCAACATTACATCTCTTTGTTATCTTTTATATCTAATTAAATTCAATACTTGAGCAATTCTTTGGATTCTGAACCATAGCATAGTTCAATCGTTTTTATTTTAATTTCAGAAATTGTTTTATTGGTAAAAGTTTATAATAGTATTTATTTGGAAAGAGCAGAATGTTTCTAGAACTATAACAATCTTATAGTATTGATTTATTGAATATCCGTTATTGCTTCTACTGGTCTGTTTGATACTGTTTGAATAGAATAATTATCTACAGAAAAGAAATACCTGAAAATATAAAAAGAAAGCAGACTGTTTATTGAAATACAACAGTCTTTAAGAAGCATAGACAAATTATTAGCTATGTGTGCTAGATACTACATTTAATATAGTATGCTTTTACATTTTGTGTACACTTTTATACTCACATTGTAAATATTGGAAAAGAGCGAGCAAAAAATAGATGTTGATATTGATAATCCATGGCATTCCTTATGATATCTTTCACCATAAAAACAACAAAAAACATTAATTTTTGTGAATCGAATAAAATAATAAATAATTTACATACCAGTAGCAAGAATATATATTAACAGAGATAGATTGTTTTTGTAAACACTTGATAGAACTCTAGTGAAAAATAATAATATTTTATGTTAACATATTATAATATTAATATAACTAAAATAAAAAATAAAGTAGTGATTCTTACCATTTAATGTCATTTCCAACTGTATAATGTAAGGGAAATCAAAGACGGGATCAACAGTGTTCATCTATAATAAGACTTCATTTTAGTAAGATGCATGTCAAAATAATATATATATATACTACCTTGATGTTTTTAACCAAATTCATTTGTAGCAGTTATTCTTGATGATCAAGTCTGTAATAAAAAAAACAAGTCAGAAGGATTTTTATAGATGTCAATTTCGCAAAATATAATATTGACCTTTGTTAATCTGGACAGCGATTGTGAAATGAATGCATTTAAATGAGAGCAAACGAGTATCTATTATAATAATAAAAGAATGTATTAATTTTTATTGTTTATAAAAAAGTATTTAATAAAGAAGTATGTTACCAAAAAAAGCCACTAATATAATAATGACAAACGTTGGAAAAGAGGAAAGGAGCAGAAAAGAAGAAAGAAAAAGATGTAAATTTTTTTTCTGCGTTTGAAACAAAATACCAAAAAGCTTATCCAATAAACAATAGCAAAAAAAAACTGAAAAGAGGTGATCAATTGAGGTCAAAAAATGTATCAAGGCCGATTTGCATCTCAGTGTTTCAAGAAGTTGTCTTTGAAGTGTTCCTGAAGCATCACTACCGCCTATAAATACTTAATATTTCTACTTGTAATTCAATGTCACTCACTTTTGATTATATCATCTCAACAAATCTACGTTGCGAATTTATTGTAATTTACATAACAAAATAGATGGATTGTCTCTTACAAAAGAGAATAAAAATGAAAAAGAACTAATATTAACAATTGAAAATATTATAATGTATTACAGATAATGCCTACTCCCAACCACAGACTCGCTCCTTCTCTTGCTAGCACTAATGCCCAGTTGCTACAAGCTTTGAATGCGATGAAAGAAGAGATGAAGGCCATGAAGGATAAGATCACATTGATGGATACAAGAATCGGTGTAGTAATCACTGGTAACATAACCGTCATTAATGATATTGATGCCTTGTCTGCCCTCCCAGCACCTGTGCATGTGCCCACAAGTGTTGCTCCCACATCTGCTGCCCTTCCCACCACCAAATCAGGTGATACTAATGCTGTATTTGTAAGTATAAAGATACAAAAAACATTTGCCAATCTTGTTGCTAATTAAAATATGATAGGGATACATTCATGATTATATGTGGAACCCAAAGCTAAAATCAAGAGACCAAGCAGAAATCCAAGCAAATGCCATAAAACCAAAGTGGGCAGTTGATGTTCGTTTTGATTGCTCTCCAAATAGAAAGTTAGTCGAACAACTCTTGTATTACTTGGAAAAGAAGTTTGCTGGCACTGATATGAGGACACGCGACCTTTGTAAGTGTATATACACAAACTTCTGCAGTAGACATTGCCAGCAAAGGGAACTTCTGGAAACAAGACAAGCCTTGAATACTAATTCAAGAAGATCTGGCTGTGAAACTGATGTAAACTATATTTTCAATTTATGCTAAAGAATAACAATTAGAATATTAATTTTATTGTCTTTTTCCTTTAGAACTACACTCATTGTCGCCTTGCTTATGATGCTTAAAAGGCTGACATTGATCTCAAGATAGGTTGAAACTGCTCTGGACTGATCCAAAAGTTGGTCATGTCTGAAGGCGAATCAGACGATGATATGTCCCCCTCTCAGCCAAGAAATGAGATTCGTGTTGCTCGCCCAAGTTGGAGAAGTGACAAGGTAAAACCTAACTTTTTTTTTGAATGATGCCAGGCTGATTAGTAATATATGTTTATTACTTAGCTTAACAACTTCATTACGGAGGTTGACTCGTTTGTTATAAAGCAATTGGGTGCAAACTCCCACCAACTGCTTAAGAGAGTTTATGGTAGAACAATGGAATCAACAGTCCCAATTGATTTAGATTCTGCTCTACCTCAATGGGCTCTTAGAAATAGGTCATAAATAAAACTTGTTTTTTGTTGTTTTTTTTTCTTTTACTCTCGAAATTTCTTAACACAAATGTATTGTTTGCAACATATATAATAAGACTACATTAGCTTATGTATTGAAATTTTTTATTAAAAAAGAAATGTATTAAATATTAATTGTATTATTTGTGCGGTAAAGCGTTGACAAGTCTTTTCTTATTATTTGTGCTGGTTTTATAATCACATACTGCAACAACTGATGATATCCAATGTACTGGAAAGATGCATTCAAAATCACATGCAATAAATTCTGCATTGCAGATGTTGACACTTTCCAACTCTCTTGAACAGTCATGCTCAATCTGGAACCACTTAATAAATGCAAATATGTGTTTATCTTGATAAACGGTACGTGTTTGGAGCTTTGTGTTGTCTACTGGTGGAGTGAAAGAGTGAAAGAAAAGGTACTGAATTTGGCCAGTGTATGCCAATCGATTATTGCCTTGACTTCCAAGGAACAGAGATTGCATAAATGAACCGCGACCAGAAGCATCATTGTGAAGTTTTATAGAATAAAATCAACAGTAAAAAGATTGAGACGTATATAAGAATACTTTGAGACTGTATATAGGTTGTCTTTATTAAAGAATATAAAGTTGTCCTTTTTATATCAAAACACGATCTGCTTTGTCAGTCACATCTTAATTTCTTAAGTCTGAGTTCATTTAGATATTAGAGAGCTGGTACTGCTATGTTTATAATTTAATCTAATTGCAGTGTCCTCATATTAACTCAGTGCTTACTGAGCTGTCATAATTACAGTACTTACTGTAATTAATTATTGGTCTTATTGATTTACCATAAGTAAAATAAATAAATTATTCATTTGTTCTTGTAATGATAGCTGTTTTACTTTAATAATAGGAATATGTTCTTAGATGTAATAAATCCAACAACCAAGTGTCTGGATCACCACAATCATTACAGCCTTTGTACATCTGGCCAAGCAAATTGATTGATCTCAACTTTGTGATCTAATTGTCAACAAAGGAGAAGGAAGAGAACGGAAATTGGTAACTTTCAAGATCAGGAATGTGATATGTGACTTTATAATAATCAAGCAAATGAGAATAGTCGACATTGCTCATTGCTGATGAGGGCTTGATGTGAAGAGGAAACGTAAAGGAAGGAAGAGGTTCATTGCCCAGGACTGGAAGAGAAGGGTTTTGAGTATGCTTGGATGAAGACTGCTAATCTGAACAGCCGTTGTGGGAAAGTTATCTTGTTTTTTAAACTGGATGGTTGAGCAGTGGCAGTAAGCTTGGCAAGAAGTGGAAGAAAGGGGACTTGGCTCGGACATTGGAGAACAGCATTGACATAGTCACCCTTGAAAGTATCTTGGACAAAACTCTGCATATACGTAGTCTCAAAAGAATCTTTTCTGTTTGTGCTTACGTTCTTTAACAAACCGTTATATTGCTCAAACCCAAAGAGCCAATAGCCATACACAGGTCCAAAATCACAAATAGTCTTGCAAAGATGGAGGTGTAGATGCATATTGCAGGTGAGGACATTAGCGGTGTAAATACGTTTGCATTCATTACAGAATTCTTGAAGAAACTGATGGGCATCATTGAGGTCAGAGAATGTGATACTTGGCTTCACTATATTACGGCATGCATTGACAAAACTGATCCAGTTGTTAAACATCTCAGTAGGCAGAACAGCCTTCAACAAGATAGGGGAGTATACCAGAACCCAATACTTCCATTCATCTGCTTTCATGTGTCCAAACCCCTTTCCAATCTTTGATCCCAGTACCATGTAATCATTTGGCACCACCATTTTATCTGCCATCTTCTGCATCATAACAAAATCCTTTTTGGTGATTTTTCTCTCCTCAATCCACCAATCCATCATTCTCTTTGGCGTTCCCAGGAAAAGATTATGCATGGGATCAATGATTGTTCTACATACTAGATCAAAGTATCCAAGGTGATGCAACTGCAACCATCAAACACCATTTTTGACTTCCATCTGATGCCTTTCTGAGGGCGTACTGGCACTCTTCCACTCCTCAGCATGCAATCTGTTCTGCAAACCGTTTCGAAATTGCCATGTCGAGTACTGGGTGTTGCTGAAGTCGACTTTAGTAGATGTAGGCAACCTGGGGAACTGCGTGACACATTTTGGATATGCGCATATGCTGTTGTGTGCCGTAAACCCACTGGTTTTTCTTGTGGTGGGAATGTTGCATGCAACCATGAGCAACACTGCTCGGACACAGACACCAGCTGGGCACTCAAAAGTTGGGATGGTTATCTCCTCAAACAACTTCAACAACTCATCAACCATTGGCTTGAGATAATGGTTGATCTTATCAGTCTTGGGTTCCTTAGGACCAGGCATCATACCAACAAGAATGATATTCTTGGGTTTAAACCTCTCCTCACGAGGCAAGTTGTTGATAGCAAGGTAAATAGCACCGGAGGAATGGTTGACACCTTTGAAAGGCTGGAACCAGTCAATGTTCAAAGTCAACAATAAGGAACGAGGTTCAGCAACAAATGATACACCATCTTTATTTTTCAGCTCCTTCCACATGGCGCCATCATAAACATCACATAGTGTGTCCATGACCTTAAGCTCCTTGTTCCATTGTCTGATTTTTTGCTCAAAACAAGGACAAGGAAAGAAAATCTGCAACGAACGCTTGACAGAATTGTATATATACAATTGCTTGGCTACCATGGCACCAGAAGGTGAGATCTTCATTAATGTACAGCTGCATGTTGATCTAGCACCATGCTTTGTGAAGTCGCGATTGGTGGGGAGAGGCACATCTTGCTCGTAAACCTTATGGCAGTCTTGGTATACAACAAGCTTCTTGATGCTCTTAGCGAAGTTAGAAAACCTGGTCATTGCTTGCAGGCCAGGAAGACTTGATGGCAGTTGAAAATCTTCACTGTAAATCTTCAATAACTGATTGACAAATTCAATCAACACAGCAGCACCTTTGTTGACAACATAACGCAAAGCAAACAGGACAGTAAAGGTGGCAATGAACTGATGAACAGGGTTTGCAGGCATTTTGGGAGCAGCAAAAAAGTCTATTGTGAAAGTGTCAAAAACAAATTAGGACTCATTTTTTAATGTTTTTTTTTTAGCTTTTTGTTCTCTTTTCTTTTGAAAAGAAAATAGCCTATTCAATACTGACCTTTGTCAACGAGCTCTTCAAAGTCTGTTTTGGCATCTTCTTCTTCAGAGCTGTCATTGCTTTCAGAGTCATTGCCATTGACTTCACTGATTTCATCATCAACCGAGACATTGTCCGCCATTATGGCAGCATTCAAATCGGTTGAGTCAGTCTGGTCGTCTATTTTTTTCATGGATTCAGATTGACAGGTTGGGATAGATACAAATGTAGTTTAGTTTAGTTTATTGTTTTTACTGGTTTTCAAATGTTTTTTTTCTTACACTGAGTATCAACGTCCATCATTTCTTCTTCTTGCACAGCTGTGTTTCATTAAAAAAAAATATAAAAAAAATGTAAAACATAAAAAAAATATTATGCAGTAAATAAAAATCAGCCCTAAAAAAAACATACAGTTTGCAAATCTTTCAGCTGCATCAGATCTCTCAACTCTCTCGAGTTTTTCTTTTACAATATGACACTCAGCAGTTCTGCCTGATACCAAAGAGTATCCTAAGGAGTTTCTGCTGCATAGAGTGCAACGGCAAACAATATTACGGTGCTGGGTAATTGAAGGCATTTTAAGTGTTTTGTGTGTTTTTGAGTTTTTATAAATAAAAAAGGGAACAAGTGTAACATGTACTTTATTTACAGCGACTTTATAGTCGAAAAAAAATAATAATTTATCTTAATATTTTGTTAACCAATGAAACAAAGTAAAACTACATCTTTGACCTGAACTTCAAAAAGCACACTGAGTGGAAAAAAATCACTCTTTCTGCACATGTGTCTACCAACCTGGCCACAGTGTTAATTAGGGTGGTTTTTCCAGTGGTATTTATTTACTTATATCATCAAGATCGGTGAAGTTAAAAGAGTGTCAACGTTTGCATTCATCAAATGGTTTTCCGCCTACCAGTCCAGTCATTACCAGCCGTTAGTCAAACAAGGCCTAGAGTTGTGGGAGAAGGGGTACATGGAAGAGAGTTCTTCATGCATTGTTCTAGTGCATCGTCTGCATTCATGCTTCGCATTGACTATGCATAAAATGCAAAGTGGGACGCAAAAACGCCTTGTCATTCCACTGCCTAGAAAAGTAGTCACATAAAAATAAATAAATAAATACAGTGCTATATAATATAAATATAAATAATTATAATACAAGTTTTTTTGACTGTAAAAAGGTTTATCTTTATTTATCTCTTTATTTTTATTAAGTTTTAATATTACTTCTTTATTAAGTATTTAAAAGAGCAATAGTAAATTATATTACCAGTTTTTTTTTAACTATTAACAAATAGTAAAGACCATTATTTATTTCTCTTGCTTTTATCAATAATATAAAAGACAAAATACTTGTATATTTAATGCCCAACATTTATTATTTTTTTAGCCTTTATTACATATTCTTGCTAATATTGATATTATAATTTCCAATAAAAAAAACGAGGATAAAACAATCAGGGTTATATAATTAAATAATTACTTTGTATATATATTTTTTCTATTAATTGGCTTTAAAATAAAATAAAATAAAATAAAATAATAATTTATTATTTTGATTTTTGATTTTGTCTTTTTCTTTTTCCTTTTATTTATATATTAATTGCTTCTCATCTTGACAATACTGCCTGATTATATTTTACCACTTCACCCCACATCATTCAACACAATCAATAAAAATCATTAAAGTACTATATTCACTTTGTAAACAAAATAACGATTTATTGATGGCATGTGTGAATCCAAGCAGCAACACGTGCCTTTTTCTCATTTGATAACTCAGTGTTTCTCAAAATAATTGGATAGACAGAATTGCCAATGACGTCTGGTCCCTTGTTAGCAAGTCTCTGTTTCTTCAAAACAGTAAAGTATTCATCCACCTGCATTATAATATAAATACTTTTGAGTTAGAAGTATTAAAAAAAATAACTTTTACCATGAGAGCCTTACCAAGGGATGTCTATTTCTAGGAGTATATCTAGTTTTATTTTTCTCCTCATCTGACTCAATATCAGACAACATGTCATAGTCCAGAAGGTCAACGACAGTCTTACCAAACTTAGACTCAAGGTTTGCCTTGTCAGCTAAATGAATTGCCTTGTAGTCTGCAAGAATCTGAAAAAAAGTTAAAATAGTTTACACAAAAACTGTTGACTATACTTACATTTCTCTTTCTGGACCGGCGTCGAGAAATCTGATTTTGTCGAGCTATCTTTTCTGGCAAAGCTTTTACCCTTTGAAGCATATACAAAATATGTCTTCAGGTTTTCTCTTCCACAACTGCAGACGAAACAGACTTTACTTCAGCTTGCTGATGTGTGTAGCTCTGCACTACATCAGCAATGGGACGGTTGGATGTTGAGAAGGCGCCCTCATTGACCGTTACTGACATTGTTGCCAGAACTGCTCGTGTTTGAGAACGGATCAATCTCTGCAAAATATAATGTAAGTAACTTTGCAATATTCTATTACTAGTATATATCCTACCAAAACTGTTGGAAGGCGGCACTTTATATATTCTCCTGTAGTAAGAGTCTGACCGATGGGACTATGGTTCGAATTGTTATTCTGGCCATTGGTTGCTCCCATGTTGTGGTAAACCTTCTCCAGAAGTGAATGAGATTCATTCAGTCGGGTGCTCATGGTGGACAAAGTGGACAGGACAGTACCATCTAGCTCTGTGCTAACTGTCAAGCTGGGAAGAATTTCCCGTTGTCTTGTGCTTGCTGCTGTCCCAGTGGTTTGTTGAACAGACTTTTTTGTAGTCGTCTTTTTCGTTTTTTTGGATTGCTGCGTATTAGAAGACATGAATTGAGATATTTAAGGCTAATGAAAGTAATGGAAACAATGTGAATACTTTAATAATTAGAGTTGGGTTTCTTTAAAATAATAAAATAAATCAAAACATATGTAAAGGTAGAAAGTAAGGCACCAAAAGATTATTTTTCTGATGATGCTCTTTATAGCATTTTGATCTCTATATTATACTTTTCTTTATAAGCCGACTTGGAAAGGCATTTGTAATAGCTTACATCCATTACAAAGATGTGAGAGATTATGGTTTAGTACGTAATGTCTTGTCTCAATTGGGATGGGTTGAATGACTTTCAATTTGCTCCATTGATTCTATCAGTTTCTCAGGGTCAACGGTCATAAAATTATAATTTTGAATTTCCCCGTTTTTTTTTTAATTTTTTCTTTCTTCTTCTTTACTTCTTTCTTAATGTCTAACATGGTAAGCATCAACTCACATCAAAGTTTCAAGACCTAATCATCTTGTTGTTTTTATTCTAGCATGATACACTATGCTTTAAACCACCAAGTCCTTCTTAACTGCCTCAAAAGTAATGATAAAAAGGTAATAAAAATATACTTGAATATTTATTCACAATTTATGTATCAATTATTCTGCTTAGATTTTTCTGGCCCGTTAACAAAGACATATACCTTGGGAGGGTTTACAAAATGGTATGTTGTATAAATATTAACGTACACCTTCAAGATACAACTTGTATTTATTATTTTTCTTATGTATACTATACACTTTATAGTCACTGGTCTTTATCTTGGTCCTCTTTTTTTGATTATATACCGACTCTTATTCTCTACAGACAGACAAGTAAGTAAATAATCATTCTACTTCTTTATATGTAATTCTAATGAAAAGAAATTATTTTATAGATAATATCTCCATTTCCCGCATGCTGTCTCTTCTATTGTATTGAATAATTGGTAAGCAAAAAATAGTCTGATACTCTTTATTTCATTCTAATAAAAGATTATATTTTATAGACAATGTCATTGTATTTTCTGTTTGTCAACTCTTCTGTTTTCTGAACTGTCTGGTAAGCAAACCATAGTCTTATTTACTTTGCATCGTACTAACAAAATTTATTATTTTTATAGACAATAATACTATAATTGAGACATTTAACTAAAACATTGATATATATATCTTTATGTCAAAGACATCTATCTGTTCTCGTGTTTAACTTTATTGTAAGTACATTCATATTTTTTAAATAATCTGTTGCTCTCAAATAAATATACGTAGAACATTCTTTCTAATCCATTCTATAATTATCTTTTATAAAAGTAAACAAACAAGCCAAGAAGGCGTGCCGCAGCAAGCAATGGAATACAGTAGGGGTCAATTGCACCAGGGGTGGACCAATAGATATACGAAAGGAATAATACAATATCTACTAAAATAAATGACGGCATCATGAATGTGATGTTTCTACCCAATTGCAACAGGAGATGATTAGTGATGTAGACGAATAGAAATAGCTAGAAACAATAAGAAATTTTTTTCAAACCAATAAAAACCTTTAAAATGATCCATAAACCTCTAAATCTTGACTAAATCTTGACCAAATCTCTTCTTTAACAACCCATATATAGTAATAAAAAGATGTTGAATGTTATGCACTGTATTTAAAAAAAACCCAAAACCAATATAAAATGAAAAATCTGCAGTCTGACAAAAGTGTGTCTATATTTTCATGACCAAAATATATCATATATAAGTATATAACACTTTTTCTTTTTGCGTTCCTAAAATTCAGTATACTAATTGTATTCATTTAGCTCACAAATTTTAAAAAATTGGCATCATAAATTCCAATTGAATTCATGCTGAATTTTATTCATTCAGACAGTATTTGGTCAAGATTTAGTATACTGAATTGGCCCTCCTTTTGCAGTGTACTTGAGTGTAGTCAAAGATGAATAATCATTTCAAAAACTATATAAGGTAACCCAAATCAAATAATAAAAATCATCTTTTTATCCTCTCTCTTATTTGCTTACTTTTGTGTTATTAAAGCTTGACTAATTCGACTACATTTACAGTGAATTGAAAGATAGCCTATATCAGGAACTGTCAAGTCTCAACTGGGTGTATCTTTCTATTATTTTAACTTGTATAAGTTTTGGTAATAGATTACCACCAACTAGGACATTGCAAATAAATAGGAACAGATAGAAATATAGAGAATTGAATCCTTTTTATTGATATAAATCTTGGAGTATTTATATAGATTTCTTAAAAGTGAAACTATCTAATCTCATTATTTTACCCAAGACATATTGGTTTTACATTTATGGATGGCAATATAATATGTCTTGATTAACAAAAAGGAGAACCAATCTATATAACATTGAGGGCACATGTTAAAAGAAATAACCAATTAGATACCTGACTAAAGACTTTCTATCTATGATGTCAACTCTGACAGAACAACACATTGGAAGAACTGTCAGAGTTGACATTGGTGAACAAAATCGGTAGTTATAAGCAACCAGTAAGAGTTGACTTTTTAGGATAAAAGATCTTGACTTTGCTAATTGGTCTTTCATATATGATTTAGATGTTTAAAATGCTATTCTTTTAGTCAGAAATCAATTATTATTTTGTATAAATAGTCAAGAAATATATTTAATAAAAAACATCTTGATTCTATCTAAAAACTATTCATAAACTTGACGATCTCCAGTGGTCTTGATTCTGCAACTTAGTTACAAGTGCCAGAAAAGAAATACCGGATCGAGACTTAGCAGAACAATCCAGATCAAAAACGACAATAATGTCCTTCCTGATCTGGGATGGTCTTCCTTTTACTATAGCAAAGTCAAAAGGTCAAACCCACTGGGAATCGGAGAGTATATGTAAAATCGAAGAGAGGATAAAAGATACTTTTTATTGATAGGAATTGAATTGTCTTATATAGTTTTCTAAACTAATACTGCGCATTATCCGCAGTAAACTATTATACTCTATTTAATTACAAGAGAAGTCCTTTTACTGCGGTTGATGCTCAGAAGATGTTACTGTGGTTAATCTTTACAAGACATTACTGCAGTTCGTTATCTATGAGGTATCTTTGACACACAGAACTGCTGCGGTCAATTATCCCGATTTCTCGGATTCATCAAAATAATATCTGACAATAACACAAAAAATTCATATCACGCATAGCAAAACTCTCCGACCGGGAATTGAACCCGGGTCTCCCGCGTGACAGGCGGGGATACTCACCACTATACTATCGAAGATTTATGTTGTGTCACGTGTGTTGCAAAAAACTAAGCCGTTGATTAGTTTCTGGTGAGGGATACCGGACGGTGGATTCCTTCGGTGATTTGGTCTGGCAGTGAGCCATGACGGGCGGTACCGGACTCGTGGGCATTGACGTCGATGGTGAGTCGACCGAGTGACATGTCTCAAGGGACAAGAGTGGTCCCCCCAGGTTTCTTAGGAAATCTTGCTCCTGATACCTCTATACCCAAATTCCTTAATATAATCCTGTTTCTTAAAATTAAAATACCCATCTACATCGTCACCTCAGAAACACCTGTCACCCACTAAAAACATTATACCTCTTTCCCCTAATTTTATACACTTCTTTATTGCCAACATTTATTTTACACTATTTTTTATTACATTTTATTAGATTCTATTATTATACTATTATTATATTTTTTTACTTTACTTTACTATATAGTTATTATATAATTACTTTACTTCTATTCTACCTCACTATATTTTTACTTTATCTTTATTCAATTATTATATTTTTACTATACTTTTATTTTACTCTCTATAATTTTCTATTCTACTTCTACTATTAACACCAGTTACATGTAGTAAAAATTTTCACTTGACTTTCTTTTTCTCAAAAAATTATTTTAACTAAAACTTTTTATTTATAAAAGGAACAATCTTTTCAATCAATAAAATCATCATTCTATCCTTGATCTTATTTATTTTTGTCTGTTATTATCATTATTTTTCATTCATACACAGTGTCCTTGTTCTTTGGAGTGTTGTCTATCAATTTTGATATATTTCGTTTCTCTGTTTTCTCTTTTCTGTCTTTCTCAGACTTTGTCATTATCACAATTTCCATTTTAATCTTCTCCCTATTTTTTCCTACCTGTCTGTCACCAATTTTTACCTGTAAAATTACCCATTCTCTTCTATTCTTATTGTATTTTTTTTCTTATATTTTATCATTCATATTACATTCATATGCCAAGTGACACTGTTACAATTCACAACAAACAAACACATTACGCGTCAATTGTTGTCACGTGTGTTGTAGACAAATTAGGCGTTTGGCCATGTCATGGTATCTAATACTGAAAGGTCAGTCTGCTTGGTAGGTTTGTCCAGCGGTTTGTCATAATGTGTCATCCCAGTTATGAGAGGCTGACGTCAATGGTTTGTTGATGTGGTGCTGTGCCCTCAGTAGTAAGAGGAGAATTTTTCTATGCACAGGAAAAACCTCGTTTCTGTTCCCTGTTCTTTCTACACACAATACTTTTTCTTTTCTCTTGTTAACATATTCGTCTATATTGTATCTATTCGAAATCATGGTCCCCTATGCTAGTAACATTCCTCTTCTACAATACACATAATTCATCTTGCCAACATCTTCATGCAATATCAGTACCTTTATTATTATATTTTTACTGTATTTTTATTCATATATTTTATCCTTGCCGTATCGATTATTCATCATTCTATTTTTACTATCTTTATTTTTCTAAACTTCTATTATCAACTTAAAATCCTGTTGACTATAAAAAGAGAAGCAAACTCAACTCAATAAATCATTCAATTCAGTTTCAGTATCTTTTTCTTGTTTTCTTCTCTTTGTAGTCTATACCATCTTGTGACATGACATATTGGTTCTTTGGTTTTAGAAAGGTTGTTTGTCAGTTTTGGTCTCCTCGTCAATTATTATTTTTCTGTTTTGTCATTTTCTTTTCATATACCTTTCTCTCCCTTTCAATTTTAATAACGATTCTATTGATTGTTCTCTCTTTTCTTACCTGTCAACTATTACTACTTGCTGCCTTTTGCTGTATCCATCTTCTGTTCTATTTTATTATCACTGTATTTTATTTGTCAAGTGATCCATTACAATTTACAATAAATCTAACACATCACACTGGATAAATAGGGTAATTTCATCTGGATCAAATGTACCAAAAATGTAGATGATTGAGCCGATATCATCGCAATTTTTGTGATATATCATTTTGAGCAATGATACAATATCATCTATGGTGCTGATGTGGTATTTCAGATACGAAACAATAGAAAAATAAAATATTTCATAATAGAGACGTAAAGAAATACTTTGAGACTGTATATAAGTTGTCTTTATTCATAAATAAAAAGTGTCCCTTTTTATAAGAAAATACAATCTGCTCTTGTCATTACGTCTTAGTTTCTTAAGGCTTTCTTCCTTTACTATATTTGGTTATTAGAGTGTATTTACTGCTTAACTAGTGTTGGTGTTACAATTATGACATCAAGTCATAAATTGTACTTCTTTAGCTCTTAGCTATTCTTTTCTCTTTTATACTAGAGCTTTAGGACTTCCTACTAAATTAGCTCCATATCAATCTGACACAGTTTACCCGGCAGTATGATATAATTATCTTAACAATCTTTAAGATATTATCTACAGTACTAACTGTAATAATTATTGGGCTGATTACTTAATCATTTATATAAATTTTATACTGACAAGATGATAGCTATTACGCTATCCCAATATGAATATGTTTGTTGTAAATGAGTATTGACTACTGCTGTAATTGAAAATAAGTCTGAAGGAAATAATATAAGGCCTCAGCTATTCCAGTCAAAGGTGTCTACCGATTACTTTATTATTTAACACACAGGTTTAGCATGCATGATAGTGATTATATTTCATATGATGATATCACCATAATATGGGATATATCAGTGGATTATTATAAGCATAATTATAACTCATAAACACATTTACTTTCGATGTTAATACTTCATTGGGACTACACACATTTATATAATTGATCATATATTAATTATCCCAAGATCACGTTGCTCTGATTAAGGCTCAGATAGGATCGATTACCTGACCCCAGTCATATAATTTTCCCAATCCAAAACAATATAAATAGCAGTAATAGTTCAGTGTAGGAACCTGGTCAAACTTTGATACAAAATCTTTCTCAATAAACAAAACCTACACAAGTTCTCACGAATCTTCGTTCCTAATTTCAAATCTTGAATTCTTCCTCTTAAAAACTTCTTCAACTTCAACCACCACAACAATGTTCTTATATGTGATAAATCCAACATCCGAGTGTCTGGATTACCACAGCTGATGCATATCATCATAACAAGGAGTACATGAAAACCCAATGTAGAATGATTGTCAGTCTGCAAACTATGGAAACTAAATAAATATTGTAGTTACGCTTTACTTCTATCGAGTCTATCTCTTTATGTGTTATATTTTAAGGTCTATAAAGAGCTAGCGTCCCATATTATTATTTTTACCGGGTTTTTTTATTGACTGCAGAAATGCTTTAAAAACTATAAAAGAGATAATTGTAGGTTTTTTACAATATAAAGAAATGATGATAGTTGGTTTTTTATACATGCTCAAAGTAATGAAACTAGGTTTTTTATACACACAAAAGCAATGAAACTAGGTTTTTTTACAATAGAAAAGAGAAATAAAGCATGGGTAGATTTTTATAAACAAGCCTTTTTGGTTTGTTTATTTATTTTACTTTTATTTATTTATCTTTTGGAAAAACATTGAGTTATACATTTTTTGTTCAATTTTGTTTTATTTGATAGGAAAATCTTTTCTAGATAAAAATCCTAATTTCGCGACAGTTTTGATACTATAGCTATTATAATTGCTAATACTTCTTGCTCGCTATATATAATTTAAAGCCTTTCAGGAGTAGACATGGAATACATACTTTAATAGCAGGAATGCTATTAAAAAATGATTAATAGAAAAGAAGAATTAGTAAATGATTTAAATTGAAATTTCTTCATAAATACTTACAAGGCGGAGAAGACTTGACATAAAATTGATATAAACATGTTCTTCAGAATTATCAAGACAATACCAGTAGTCTTTGAATAGAGATACATTCTAAAAATGAATAATTATTAATATTGCACGTAGTAAAGACATATTTATTAAATATATTGTAGTTAACTTACCAAATATTACTGATTATATGTCTTCCTGCATAATATCAGACATAACTAATAAATTGTAATAGAAATATATATATATTTATGAGGAAGACAAAAGAATAATTTGAATTTTTTAAGAAAAAAACTTACTATCATATTCGATTAAGAGATGATGAGACTCAATAGAAATGAGTAGCAATGGCTAGACAAACAATATGATGAGTAACAAAGATCTGTAAGAGAATGATATCTTGTCTTGATATATCAGACATAGTATAGCCAAACAAAGAGTCACATATTTGGTATTGAGCTACGCTAATATTAGGGGGACAACATTTTCAGGATGGGGCACTACCTTTTTGATAGGAAACATTGTTTTGATTTTACCAGACCACAAATTGTGACTTGCTGTCCAGTATCAAATAATTATATCTGGTCTCTAAGGATTCATACTTATCATAATAAAGATACTTTTATACAAGGCAGGATAATAGCTTTTTCTACGCTTCTTTCCTCTATGTAATTATGTTTTTTTCTTCTCCACTCATGCGTATTAGCTCACTAAATTGCTCCCAAACTTTGTGCATTCATCAAACTGTCTCCAGGCATATATCTCTCCTTCTTTAGGAGGCACGACCTGTTTTTGGGCAAAATGATAATAAAAAATCTTCTCATATAAAAAAATAACTTTGACTAAATATAAAAGCATTGTTTTATATATATAACTCTATACTTAAAGTTTTATACTATATGTAATAAATTAACTGATATATATATAGAATAATAAAAAACTATCTAACATATTACTTCAAGACATTATATCCTAATAGAAAATGTCATGCCCTACTCTGGAAACATCATGCCCTACCCTGGAAACGTTGTGCCCTACCCTGAAAATGTCGTGCCCCTCCCTTATATGTCTGAGTTTATATTTTAGTCAAAATGGCATTCCCCACCTGGAAACATCATCCCCCAAAAGTCACAACTTTTCATATCTTGCCTATTGAAAAAATACCTTATAAAATTTGAAATTTCTTTACTAAATACTTTATTAGGCTTATAATATCCTTTAATGTAATAAACATTACCTTTTGTTAATATTTATTTAAGATAAACACTAATAAAAACTGCTAAATCTTCTTCAGAAAAGAAAAACAAAGTCGCAAAAATGTCTGAGAATACATATAGTATTAATTAATCTTGCATATAAAAAAGTATATCTAATAATTATAGAATAAATGTAGTTTACATTAAAAAAAATATATATTAGATAAAGTGGCAGCTACTTAGAGTCATAATTAATAGTTAAACACTAATAAGTTTACTTCTTACTATAATTATGATATAATATTATAAGGCAAAGAAGCAAAAATAGAATCAACTTATTATACAAAAATAGTAACTAAAATTGAGTATTTGTAAGATATAAGATATATTTGGCTCCCGTTAACAAATCACATACCTGTGACTGCTAATGAGTCATATTTTTATGATTTAACTTGAGATATAAATCATATGTTTTTATTTTGTGTGATTTAAGTGGAAAAGATTATAATCCATATAATTTACATTTTTTTCAAAAACTTTCATAATGGATATAAAGATAATGAAGCCTTTTATGCCTAAGAAAGTTTGCATAGAAGTTAAGCGAATATATATTTACAAAATTCATGTTTTTATTTATTCTGTAAAAACTCTTTCTATCATTTCCTTACAACATGTATATGAGATATTTTATCAAAAATACAAAAAAATGAAAAATATTCATATAAGACCAAAAAAAGTTTTTAATTACATATATTCAGATAACATATAAATCCAGTAAAAGTTTCATAGAAAACAAATGAGAAAAAAGTGATTCTACAAGCAAATACAATATTTTATTTTATTGAAAAAAAGCAAATTTTTGAGATATTTCGTTAGTTTTCTCATGATCGACCCTTTCAATTCAACTAAAAATCCTAGAACCCATACATATATTTATACACTACTTGGATCCAAAGTTATAGAGAGCCAAGACTTGAATTGATGAAATAAATAGATGAAAATGCATAATATAACATATTCAAAGATAGTTTGGCTCTATCTGTGTAACATCACCTCACATTTATGCTTTTTAATTCGCTGGATATATGTGTAACTCGTAGGGTAAAGTACTTCCCACAAATGATTTCTATGAAAAAACAGAGTGGAGAGTCATTTAACCCACAAGTGATAGATAGCTTATGTTGACGCAAAGAAACAGATTGATAAGATTTATAAAGGTAAAAAAAAGATTGTCTAGCTAATAAAATATAAGAGTAAATGAGTATATAAATAATAAGTCATCTAGCTAATGAAGTATAAAGAAAAATATAATAAAAATAAAAGAAAAAAAGAAGAAAAAAAGATTATGTTATAGTGAGATCAACATGTTCCTCTTGATTGAAAAGAAAAGAAAACATTGCATTTCTACAATTATACTTATTGAACTCTTTAAACTTGTTCCAGTAAGTATCAAAGTTGTTGAGAATCTGGTTTCTGACATAACCCAAAAAGAATAACTCAGGAATAATTGACCATTTCCTTGAGACATTGCAGGAGAGGTGTACTGTTGTCCAGTGGTTATTGTTAACATGATTGAAAATCAGAGATTGTTGATGTTTTTATATGTTTTTGGGAAGGGTGAAGGGAAGGAACGATACGGAAGGGGTGCTGGGGTTGTCTGAGTAGACGCAGACTGGTTGCTTATAGGTGTCCACAGCTAGTTGAGCACAGTCGGGTGTGCTAAACCACATACTTGCATCTAAACACGCTGGGATGAAGTTGGAGTTAGAGTTGGGGTTGGTGATACAGAGATCAGAACCATGCTTTATAATGTCTTCTAATTGCTTGACATCGGTTCCAAACGTGCTGGCATAAATGCTGCTGTATTTTGGAAGGGTAGCAAGCATATATCTTTTCACAAGAGGGAACTTTTCTTGATCTTTATAGATCAAATGGGCAAGGACCCAAAAGCCACACCATCCATCAGCAGTAGGATTAAACCCACCCTTAACGTCATCAACTATCTCATGAGAGACAGGAAAACTGGGCTGGAATTTAACCCTCTTGCCAACAGAGGTGTGATAGTCATATTGGTAATCTTCTTGAGCTGTAGCGGGTCTTTTAAACCCTATTTCTTTTGTGGCATCGACTAAAGAGCATATAAGTATACAACAATATTTCTCTTTATGGATTCAATTACACTGAAAAATGAGAAAGAATATTACCTGGGTCGAGAGGCTCTTTTTTAATTTGTTTTATTTTGTTTTTGGTAGCATCGACTAAAAAATGTATGTAAATATATGACAAAATTCTTTTTCATAAACTCAATTATATGTAAAATAAAAAAGCATCTTACTTAGGTTGAGAGGCTCTTTTTTGCTTTTGTTTTGTTTTTTGTTGTTTTTTGTTTTTTGTGCAGCTGCAGGCTTTCCATCTCTTGTTCTAGCTCTTAACCTAACCATTGCCTTAAGGCCAGCCTAGTATTTCAAGATACATATTAGTACTTTGTTATGTTATATTTTTTTATCTTATATGACCAGATGAAACACTGATCTTCCTCCAGTTTGCCTGACCAAAGTCTTTGGGAAGGTATTTGGGACGTGCATCACCCTTTCTTCTACCAGGATATTTAATTTTTTCTGGGGCTTGAAAGTTAATCAAAGGGTGTCCAGTTTTGCCTTCGAATTCAGAAGTAACCTTCTTGATCTTTTGAAGGAGGTTGGTCACTTGCTGGCTGCCCCCACAAGAGCGAAACAGAGTCTCAAGCTTTACAATCTCTTGCATCCACTCTTCTGGCCTCCCGGCAATTACATGCACTGTACAACTTTCTTCGAAAGATGTCTCTTTTAGAACAGGGTTTATGATTCATCTTTCAGGAACATCATCAAGGGTGAGCTCCCTTCCAGCTGGCAGCAAGTGTCTGCAGGGCAAGCCGAACTCAAACCTGTTTTTGCAATAACAAAATTGATTGTCTCTATTGATCAAGCGAAGTTCTTGATCAATAACAAGCAATGCTCTCTTAGAGACTTTCATAAAAAGCCTGGAAAGCTGCTTGTTGCGGCCAACCAAGACATCAACAGTTGTCAATTCCCTGATTTTTATAGTATTGAAGTCTCTTTCAAGCCTGTCTACATAGGAGTTGACAGCTTCAAATGTAAGCCCCAAAGACGAAATTGCTGATACCCCTCTTTTCAAAGCTTGGTGTGCACTCTCGACTCTCTGGGTAGTTGTATACCCAAAATGCATTTGCTGGCTGGTCAGGTATCCTGCCCACTTCTCCTGGCACTTTATCCATCTTTTGGCAAAGTAAACCGATGCATCTACCTTGGACCCTCCTTCGTCTACTTCGCAACTAGAAGATACTGCATTGAACTTCATCAACGCAACCTCGAAATCCCTTCTGGTACTGCTGTGAATCATGGAGTTCACATTCTCCATAAGGACCTCTTTCTCTGCAACTGACTTGAGTTTTCCAGCGAAGGCTTTCTCAACACTATTCAACATATGCCAGTAGCATAGCAATTTGACATTTTTTGGGAATACAATGTCAAGTGCATTCATTAAGGTCATACATTTGTCTGTTACAAATAGAGAACTGCTTTTCTTATTCTCAAAAACAAGTGCCTTGAGCTGCTCAAGGAACCAAACGTAGGTCTCCTGTTTCTCATTCGAAACCCAGGCGAAGGCAATGGGAAACGATTTAAGAGTGTCTCTCCTGAGGTTATGAACACCTTCCATGCATACAAGAGGCATTTCCAAATTATTAGTTGAGTAGGTGGCATCGACAGCCATGACTTCTGGGAAGTGACGGGCTCTTTCTAGCATCTTTGGGTGTGAGAAAAATACTCTTTCAAGAGATCCATATTTGCCGGTGTCATAGCATACAAGATATCTCTTAGCTTCCATGGTTTTAATGAGTTCAGTACCTGCATCCTGAGAAGTGGAAGCAGTAGCACGAGCAAAAGCAGCCTTGATATTGTTGATGCCATTCACATACAATTTATGGCTGACATTATCCTCTTCATTGATCGCCTTTTGGATCTCACAAGTCTTGGTTTTGGTCTCAACAAGCTTCATAATTTCCCTAGTATCATCGACAGTAACCTTTGACAAACGACCTTTCAAGATAGATTCCAGGCAGTCATCATCAAGAGGGTGCTTGTGGTAGCCTTCAATCTCATTGGTGGCTTTCAAAAGAAGATATCCTTTAGCAGCCTTTTTGTATGATATTTTCAAGAGATAGGGGCATCTAGTCTTTCTACTAGACGGAATTCTCTTGCATTCACTGTCTTCAATATTCTGTGTGTTCTTATAATGACTGCCCTTGGCACACTTCAAATACATTCGAGTTGGTTTACTATCTCTAGTTACAAGTGCAAAATTGTTGGCAAGTACATATTCCTGCATCTTTGAAATTGCCATTGTCATGTCACTGTAACCATTAACTAGTGAGACAGGAAGAGATTGTTGGACAGGATAATGTTCCTTTCCATTGAAAAAGCAGATTTCTTTATTGATAGGATTCATATTGAAGTGATTTTTAGAGAATACTTATTAACATCATGCTTTCTAATTGCTAATCTGCAATGAGCAAGGTAATCTCTTTACTATCTCCAAGAAAAAATAATATTTTTAAGTGCAATTGATTAGTAGCTCTTACAAGATGAGTATAGAATAGAAAAAAAGGTTTTATATTTAAATATTGAGTTAAGAATTTCAGGACACATCGTTTTGCTCTGAAGGATTGGAGAAAATACCTCAAACCTCAGACAAGTAGTCACAACGAATTAGTCCGGCAAAAAAAAGGTAGTGCCCCATCTTGAAAATGTCGTCCCTGTAAGATTGCTGATTGAGCTATAAAAGAAAGAAAAAATTATAAGTGAAATTGTAAAAACATAAGCAAAAGAGAAACAAAGAAAATATCAATAATAGATGTCGTTAAAAGAAAAAAAAGAAAAAAAAAGTCTTGTCTTAAAATCCAGTTTGATCCTGACAAAATGCGGGCTGTAAAAAGTAATACTCCAAAAGAAGATGACTACTGTCATCTTGAAATACTACTTTGTGTCTCATTGAGTTAGAAAAGAAGTTGTCTAAATGTGGATCAAGTGGTTGGGAGATGTGCTTAATTATCAAATGAAAGGTAGAGAGTTAATCTGCACTGCTTATCCTCTTTACTAGTATGTGAATTTTAAATATGATATAACAAGTGTAGTGAATTATACAATATTAGTTGAAAATTATTAATATTTATTTTATTAACAGAAAATGACAAAGCGTATTCCTACTGCTCCCCGCCAACCCAACCTATGCATGAATGCTGTTCTTAATAGCACAATTGCAGGTGTTCACTGCAAAAACACCTTAAAATAATTGAATTCCACTTACCTGGAATTATCGATAATAGTAGCCAAAAAATTACAACCCAGGTCATTTTCTGTGTTTAGCAGTGAGAATATATTTAAAGACATATCATTGGCCTAATATATATCAGAGTCCCTGAGAGTATTTTTTCAAAATAATAAAGACAATTATAATAAGCAACGGCTGTTACACACTTCCTTTATTATTAAAAAAAAATTAAGTGAAAAAATGTTTTCCATTGCCAATCCCGATGAAGTTCATTGCAAATGCACAAGATGCAATTGCAATCCTCTTGGATACACCATAACAGATAAAAGAACTGCCAAGCGTCATGCCCAGAATGATAATGACAGGAATATAGATAAAACCATTAATGGTAAATTAAGTTATCAATTTTTCATTTATTTATATGATGTATTCTAATCCATTAGAACAAATAGTTTTGACAGCCGAAGTAAACACTGGTGAAGCTGATATGGACGTAGATCAAATTGAAGAACATATTGAATGTAATAGTATTTTATTTTTTATACCCAATGCGCACTCTATTTAAACTCGGTACCAATAGATGATAATTACTCTGATGGTGCACCCTCACCAGAGCAGTATGTCAATACCCACTTACCTCTTTTGGTGGAAGAATCTCTTTTTGAAACAGAGGAGTATACCTCAGAGTATGAGTCTGAATATGAGTCGTCGGATGAATTTGAGCAAGAAGAACAGAACAGAGAGCAAGAACAGGGTAAATATTAAAAATAAACTATGATTGAAGAAAAAAGGTTTGAATTAAAGAAACAAAAAATTAATATTATTTTATGATAACTTACAGAGTCTACAGAAAACCTTCCAGAGAATATTTGGCATCAAGTAATTGCGGTTTTCACTGTGATATTTATTTCTAGCTTCATTGTGGATGAAGGCGCAGTAATTTTGATTACATTCATAAATACAATCCTTGGACATTATGGAGAGGATTTCCGACTTCCCACAAGCATTCCGGGTTTGAGGAAAATGACAGGCACTGGAAAAATAAGGACAATTAACATATTGTCCAGGTAGTCGGATCATAGTGGATATGTCAGGATTTTTTTTCATCTCAGCAGTTTTTTTTCATCAAGTTGGGGGTGTAGTTTTGATGTATTCTATTGGCTTAAATAAAAATAAAATAAAAATAAAATAAAAAATACGTTTTGGTTTACTATAAAACCATATCAAATGAAATATTTGTAGCACTCTTGTTTCCTTTTTTATTTTATAATTCAAAATACATACACTATGTTTCCTTCTATTCAAATGCACAACACTGATTGCCACTGCACCAGATGCAATAATAATGATCAAGGAGTTTCCCGAGTATCGAGACGTACTGCTCAGCGTCATAATAAAAGAGCTAGATTTGAAGGTACTGAGATATTCAAGAGTTGTATAATTTATTCAGTGCTGTTATCTGTCTACCGAGTAATAATCGCTTTTATTTTTATTTTTTATCATTTTAAAAAACATAGCTGAAAAGAGAAGCATGGAAGTAGATACTGAAAGTAAGACATTTTTTATATGAAACGCAGAAGAAAAACTAATAATAAACTATTATATTCCATATTTGTAGTAATCCCGACGTATCAATCCGATTCTGTGGAAGCAATGGACGGTCAGGCCAACTCACCTATTTCGGATGCCATCTCAACATTTGACAATGACGTCTTTGTTGGTAATGACTACAATGGTGATGAGTCTGACACAACCGATGACAATGACAGTGATGACAATGGCGAAGAAGACACTGCCAAGATTTATGTTGAAGAGTTTAACAATGAGGGTCAGTTTTAAATACATAAAAAAAAACTAAAAAAAAATGTGTGTTAATTTTTTTTTTTAAAAAAAAAGACCCTTTTGCTGCTTCTGGTATGCCCGAGAATCCAGTGCACAGATTTATTGCTCTTTTTACAGTACTGTTTGCATCTTGTTACGTGGTCAATAAGGGTTCTGTTGTCTTGATTGAGTTCATCAACGAGCTCTTGAAGATTTATGGACAAGATTTCCAACTTCCCGAAAGTCTGGCTGGGCTACATAAAATGACTGGCTTTTCATCTATCACCAAAGGCATCAAGCGATTTGTGTCATGTCCAAACTGCCATTGCATCTATGAAGAAAACATGTCCGTACCTCCCCATTGTGTTTTCACAAATGTTGGTGCACGCTCTCCTTGTGGTTGTAAGTTGATGAAAGAGTCAACTTCAGGTGCACTGGTATCAAAGCGAGCATACTTGTACCAGTCCCTCAAGCAAGCTTTGTCTGTTCTTTTCCTTCGTTCTGGTTTTGAAGAGCAAATCCATCACTGGAACACGGAGCTTAAGATTGTTGATACTATGTGCGATGTATACGATGGAGCAATGTGGAAAGAGCTGAAGGATGCAAGTGGTGTCTCGTTTGTTGCTTGTCCTCGCTCATTGATGTTGACACTCAACATAGACTGGTTCCAGCCGTTTGATGGAGTTAGTTACTCTTCTAGTGCAATTTACTTGGTTGTAAATAATCTGCCTCGAGAGGTACGGTTCAAGCCTGAGAACACAATTCTGGTTGGTTTGATGCCTGGTCCCAAGGAGCCAAGATGCGAGGAGATAAATAACTATCTCAAGCCCATGGTAGACGAGATGAAGCAGTTGTGTGTTGGAATGTGAGTCCCAACCTACGAGTGCCCTTCTGGTGCTAATGTCCGTGCTGCCTTGCTGATGGTTGCGTGTGACATCCCTGCTGCCAGGAAAACAAGTGGATTTACAGCCCACAATAGTACATGTGCGTGTTACAAGTGTACAACCCAGTTCCCCAGATTGCCCAACACAAATCAGATGGACTTCAGTGGATTCGATTATTTGCTTTGGAATATTCGTAGCGGTGTAGAGAACAGGTTGCATGCTGAGGAGTGGAAGAGTGCGAGTACACCCTCAGAAAGGCACCAGCTGGAGGTCGAATATGGTGTTCGATGGTCACAGTTGCAACGCCTTGGATACTTTGATCTAGTACGTGGAACGATCATTGATCCCATGCATAATTTATTCCTGGGGACGCCCAAGAGAATGATGGACTGGTGGGCCGATAAGAAAACGATTGGAGCCAAAGAGTTTGCTGCCATGGAAAAAATCGCAGAGACAATGGTCCTTCCGAGGGATTATACAAAGCTGACATCGAAGATTGGAAAAGGCTTTCCTTACATGAAAGCCGACGACTGGAAATCCTGGGTACTGGTGTATTCTCCTGTTCTGCTGCATGGTGTTCTACCATTTGAAATGTACAACAACTGGATGAATTTCGTCCGTGCATGCTGCTATCTTATCAAACCAAGCATCACATTTGATGAAGTGAACAGCGCCCACGACTATCTGGAAATGTTTTGCAAAAAGGCTACCAAACTCTACACTCCCACCATCCTCACCTGCAACATGCACCTGCACCTCCACCTTCACGAGACCATTCGTGATTTTGGACCCATGTACGGTTACTGGCTCTTTGGGTTTGAGAGATACAATGGCCTGTTGAAGCATATAAAGACAAATGGAAAAGATAGTTTTGAGGCAACATATATGAGAAGTTTTGTTCAAAACGCATTCAAGGGTGACTATGCCAATGCTGTTCTGAAAAGTTCTAGCCACGTCCCCTTTTTCAACATTCTCTCAAAGCTTTCTCCGAAATTCACACCTACCACCACAGTCATTACTCTCTCCTCCCATCCATTCCGATTGCAATCATTCTTACTAGCATCGTCCAACCCACATCTTCCTCCAAAGGGTAACGAACCTCTCCCTCCTTTGACTTTTTTTCTTCAGCTAAAAAAATCATCACTGATGGATGAAACCGACTATGCCCATCTGCTTCAGCACTACAAAACATCCTATGATCTTCCCGACCTTGTCAGTTACCAATATGCCACGCTCACAAACTCCTTTGTTGACAATGAAATCACAAAGTTGAAGTTCATTGACTTACTTGGTCAACAGTACCGTGGTAAAAACGGTTCAGCTAGTTGTGGTTCTCTTGTCCGCGTAATGTTTGTTGGTAGTGACGGTAGAAATACCCTAGCCTATGCTGGACAAATACAGTATCTCTTCACACACTCCTTTACACACCCTTCTAACAGCAATCTCCACCTGACTCGCATGGTTCATGATCATCAACATGTATTCGCATATATCAAGTGGTTTAATACTTCCTCTGATAGATCGCGTGAGGATGACGGTCTTGAGTTTTGTCTCCCCACCTTCTCCCCCGATAGTCGCCATTGCATTTTACCTGTGCACCGCATCTTTTTAGAGATTGCTACAGCCAGGATTACTACAAGTAGAAATGTTAGTAAGATGTTAGTAATTGCTTTGCCAAAAAAGCTTTATGCTTAAAATAAAAAAAAACCCCCACTTGAATTTCCTTTTCTTATACAAAAAAAAACAGAACAAATTCCCTATATATATTGATAGTATTGTGTATGTAAAAAGTAATACGTAGATAAAAAGAGAGAAACATTTTTTTTTATTTAGAGCCCGTCTCTAAGAGCCCACCGAGGAAAATTGGGGCTAATGTTATCTGGGACTGCTGAGTTGGACACACTAGTAGTGATCCTACGGATCCTTTGATTAGCAGTTGACCCCATGGCCTGGACAGCATAAGTGTCAACAAGTGCAATGAAATGGTTGCATTGAAATACATTCGTTAATAATTCACTCAATATAATAATACACCAATACAAACGTATTACTTCAAATTAATCTACCTCATCGCTTCTCCAGCCTGGTTGTACAATATGAATGACATGTTTTATGCCATCCTCGTCCATTTCATTGGCAGACTCTCCATCTGACATTACTGCTTTTTGGAGAGTGTTGGCACAGTCTCTGAGCATTACAAGATCAATTGCCTCCTTATTGTCTTTGTAGGCCAGTACACGGCGACACTCATTCTAGTAATAAGTTTTGTTAATTTGTTATTTTTATTTTTAATTTTCAACTATAAACTATATATATTAGCATAATACTCACATCATCTGCATGGGCTGCTCTTCGTGTAAGAGCATTTGTTTCCACTATCTCATCATCAGACATTCTCTCATGACGGGTTCTACTAGTGAAGTTGGTGTGCAACCTCTTTCGGAGGTCACTCCATCTCATACTAGAGGAACCAAACCTGCGCTCAAGGTTAGAAAGAAGTCTCTCGGCTATCTCCCTGGTGGGAGATTTGTTGAAAGCAACATTTGTATCCCATCTGGGCTTGAGGTTGTTGGCCAGGATATTTTCTGGCGTTCTCAAGCTAAGCTTGGGTTTCCACATAAGGTTGTGAATATGAGCCTGATAAATAAATCATGAGAAAATGAATTGATAAAATATTTTATAATATGTTACTCACATAAACTGCATTAGATTCTTCATGGGTAGGCTCATGGTTGGAGATGACAACAGGTGAAGCAACAGTGAGTTCGGCTCTCACAGGAGCAGCAAGGGGAGTTCTGGCCAAACTATCTATGGCACTGATGGTGTTGGTGCTGGTGATGGCAAGAACGCCAATTCTGCCATTCATGTTGACCAGAGTTTGCTCAACATTGCCGATCTGTCCTTTTACGGTAGACATATAAGCTCTCACAGTAGAAAGTATTTCCATAAGCTGCTGATTGGTAATCTCAACAGGACGAAGGGCAATTGCGCGTTCACGTCTTGTGTTAGTCATTGTCTACAGAATATAATAAAATGAAAGGTTATAATGATTAGTTTCAGATTATATTATTATTATTGCTGTCATTCTACAATTAAATTTATGTAAATTTAATTAAAAATAAATCGTATCAAGTTTACATACTTGAATTGTTAGAACAAGTGTATTGATTTGGGAGTATAAGTGTAGTAAGTAGCAAGAGAGTAAGAGCAAGGGAAAGTGTATTATATGAAAGGTATGATTATTATACATATTCAAAATATATTTGATATACGAGTCTCTATTAATACTTCTTGTAATGACTGGGATGTAAATCGGTTTTCATATTGCTTTGGGACTTGATGAAATCATTTTAGTCTTTTGTTTTAAACACACTTTTTTCTTTTTTTTTTAAGATTTTTTTTTTTACTTTTTTTATTCGTTTTTTGTTATTTCCCTCTTTTCTCTCTCTTTTCAATTCTTGTTATATTTGCAAATTTTTCTGGTAAGATTGTTTTTGGTTCAAAATACTTCTTTACAAAGAACAAAAGAATTAATTTTTTTGTCTGTCATAGGTATTCTCTCTGTTTCTCTCTCTTCACTCTTTACACTCGCAAGATTTTATGGTAAGGCACTTTCTTTGTTTTAAAAGAAATATATACTTCTTTATGTATAACTAAAAAATAACAATATATTTTAATGTCATAGAAACTCACTCTTCGTCTCATTCTGATGCGCCATCTTCACAACAGTCATCCGGATTAGCCAGGGTTAGTAAATATACTTTATGTCATCGTTCCATACAATCATTCTGACTTTTTTCTTTCTTTAATATAGGCCACATCGCCAAAAATACTCTCTACAATCAAACACGGATATTGACACAGTAATATTCTATTTTATTTTAATCTATTTCTTTTTAATATTTATCTAACTGAATATAATTTCTATTATAGATAAACATCCCTCTTACGAACGTGCCATTCCTCAAGAACTTCCATCCCATGCTACCGTCATTGCCATGGTAAGCCTTTTATTTACTTCTATAAATACAATAATATTATTTATACTGTATATTAATGTATATTCTCTACTAGAGACGATATTACCACTTTACAGATAATATCTTGGTCTGCAAAGAAATCTTTTGCCTTTGGTATGTAAATCAATCATTCTATCACGCAATTCACAAAAATTAATTCTTTCCTATCGTTTTATAGTCAAAGAAATCATAATCCCGTGCTTTACTGTAAATGTTTTATTTCTTTGTCCATTTGTACTGGGTACTTCCAATGTAAGTATTAATTAGTCCATAAAATTTGCAGTATAAAACACGCACGCACTCCCATCACTAATGTTTTATCTATTCTCAAAGAGTACTGCTCTTACCCCTAAAAAAAGGTAACGAGCACCTCATTTTCTTCAGGTATTTGTTTTTTGTAGAAAATTTTTCATCCCAAATATAACAAGCTTGCCGAGCAAGAAGTAGCTGAGGATATAGAATAGCTTTATTAGATTTGAAACCTAGAAACATTCTATTCTTTCCAATAAAAATAAAAGCGTAAACCATTACCAACCTAACAAGAACAGGAAACCAAATAAATAAAGAACATATTACTGGTCCATAATTTTAAAGACGTGTTTTTATGCTGTTGATGATTGGAGGTTTTAAAGAACTGTCAGTATAGGTGGTTAGTAAAGGTGGTCAGTAAAGGTGAGGTGTAGTACAGATAAACCATTGGAGCAATATACATGATGTAATCTGTCTTTGACCTTTCCTGTTCTGTGTCAAGAATACCGAGATAAATCCGTAGTTTTAAATATTTTTATTTATTTATTAAGCATAACGAGTATATCAAAAGTGCTACCAAACCTTACTTGCGGAACCCCCCATCTACATATACTGTAGTGTTTGTAAGTCTCGCACATACAGTGCTAGATGACCTTAAAACCTAGTGGAAAAAAATATCAACTATGATATATCACGTTATTCCAGTACCGTTTGCCCATATATACATATCAGTATTTTTCTACTTTTTTCCAGTGAGGATACAATGACTTGACAAACGGCATATCAAAATATGTAGCATGCAGTAATTGTCACACATTGTACGATTACAGCAACAACACACATACATCCTGCAATTTCAAAAGAGTTGGTAGTAAGATGCATTGTAAGAATGATCTGTACAAGTCTAGTATGAAGAACGCCATGATTCCAAAGTGCACATTTGTTTATAACTCGTTGACAACTACCTTGAAAAAAATGTTTACACGTCCTTCTTTTGAAAGTATGATCAACAGATGGAATCGTGAACCAAAAGTTGATGGTACTTTATTCAATGTATATGATGGAAAGATGTGGAACGAATTAGTGGATGAGGATGGTGTCCAGTTTGTTTCGAAGGAACGATCATTACTATTGACACTGAACATTGATTGGTTTCAACCATTTGATGGAGTAACATATTCTTGTGGTGCGATATACCTGACAATTAACAATCTGCCGAGAGAAGAGCGGAACAAGGCAGAAAATGTCATTCTTGTTGGATTGATGTCTGGACCTAAAGAAGCAAGCACTGACGAGATCAATAACTATTTGCGTCCTCTTGTTGATGAACTTATGCTATTGTATAAAGGTATCACAATTGATACATATAACTGCTCAGGTGCTCTGGTGCATGCTGCTCTGTTGATGGTTGCATGCGACATCCCTGCTGCAAGAAAGACGTGTGGGTTTACATCTCACAACAGCACATGTGCATGCTACAAATGCAATTGTCAGTTTGCTCGTGTTGATGGGACCACTGCTGTAAACTATTTTGGGCTTAAGTTTTCGGAATGGGTAGGCCGCACAAAAGAAGAAAATCGCAGACATGCAAACCTGTGGAAGAATGCAAAGACATTGACGGAGAGAAAGCGATTGGAGATTGAGAATGGTGTTCGTTGGTCTGAGCTTCATCGACTTGTGTACTTTGAGCCAGTGCGTGCAACCATTATCAATCCCATGCACAACCTTTTTCTCGGGACTGCAAAACGAATGATGGATATTTGGATTGCAAACAATTTGCTTGATGACAAAGATTTTGTAGAGATGCAGGAAGAGGCTAATAGAATGGTACTCCCTGTAGGGTATACGACTCTGAAGATAAAGATTGGAAAGAAATTTCCATTTATGAAGGCAGATGAGTGGAAATCATGGTGCCTGATATACTCTCCTGTTCTGCTTAAGACACGCCTGCGAGATGATCTGCTTGGCAATTGGATCCATTTTGTCAATGCATGCAGAGAATTGACGAAGCCAAGTATCACCAAAAATGGGATCAAAAAAGCTCACGAAAGTTTGGAGGAGTTCTGTGTTGGTTGTGAAGACTTTTATAAACCAGATGTATTCACGCAAAACATGCATCTCCATCTCCATCTAAAAGAAATGATTGAGGACTTTGGGCCAATTTATGGATTTTGGCTATTTAGCTTTGAGCGCTATAATGGTGTATTGAAAGGGTTTGAGACAAACCAGAAGAGTGGGTTCGAGAATACCTACATGAAAAGGTTTCTTGAGAGTTCTTACAATGGTGACTTTTGTCAAGCGCATCTCAGAAATGTTATCAGCCCTTTACTCCTCTCTCTCTTTCTCAAGCTGTCTGGTCGTAAAATCTATAATCCTGCACTTTCGCCACATCCTTTGATACCATCATTCTTTCACTTGCCAACGTTCCTACAATCTGCTGAAAAGCCTTCAAAGCAAACATTTGGCAACGAACCTCTACCTCTTTCCGCTCTACCATTGTGTTTGAAGCCACCAACAACAATGAGAAAATCCGAGTATGATTGTCTGCTTGATTTCTATAAAATTGAGTATGATGATGATTCTCTTTGCAGTGCCAAGACAACAATCAGGAATTGTTGGTTTGTGAATGACCGAATCCAGAAGATTTCGTCCATCAATCTTCTTGGACAAGTTTACACAGGTGGAGAAGGCTTGGTCGTGAGAGGATTGCATATACAAGCGAAATTTATTGAAAAAAGTGGAGACTCTGAGGAAAGATATGCTGGTCGTATTAAGTACTTGTTCTTGCACGATTTTACACCAAACCTCACGCACACCAACCTTTCCCCTTGTCACAACCCCCAACACGTATTTGCCTTCGTTGAGTGGTACAAAATTCCTCGCCATCAACCTAGAATCAAGCAGGGCATCGAGTTGTATGAGCCAGAATTTCTGAAGTATGACTACGACAACATTCTGCCTGTCCACCGCATCTTGTCGCCAATTGCAATTGGAAGTCATGTGTCTGGTAGTGGTGCGGCAAAAGTCGTTGTTATTCCTCTGCCAAGAAAGCTGTACGCTTAATAAAATACTCTATCTTTTTTTTAAAATAATAATAATAATATATAACATAGTTCATAGACATAAAAAGAGATGTAATAAAGAGTGCAACTAAAAAGACAGAAATTTTATTATATGCGTTTTGACCACGTAGGCATTTTTGTGACCAAGCCACGAGGAATTGTCTTGTGTACTAACACATGACTCCGCGACTTCAACTGCATTGCTCTTTTTCCCAAGTCATCTCTGGCGAGCTCATCAAGAAAGTTAAACATGGTATTCAACTATAAATGTATATATACATCAGGAATCAAACAACAGAAAAACCATTTTATATAAAACATTACCTCATCACTACGCCAATCAGGACGAGATGCAACAACAGAAGTATCGGTTTCTGTCTCATCACCAGACATTGCATCTCTGTAAAAAACGCCATTATAATCCTGATTAAACTTTTCAGTGACGGCATCCTTATGCTTTGTGTACGTTCTTTTTCTCCTTTTATTAAGCTACAATATATATAATATTTTAAGTATACTTGTCAAAATTGAATTATTATAAATAGAAATGCTTACAGCAGTCTTTCTATTTCCTCTTCTGTTTGAGGTAGTGTTTGTCTGTCTGTCTTCTTCAGTAAGCTTACTAGCAGCCAAGCGATTGTAATAGCTGTTTACAATTATACCACATAGCTCTTTTGGTGGTACCATGGCTGCTACAGGTTGACGACGAATGTAAAGCATCAAATCACTTGCAAGATTCTTGTTAAACTCGTCAGACAAACCAACATTGACATCCCAAGTTGGTTTATCATCATTCTCTCTGATCAACTCCAAATCATCTGTCTTAAGATTAATATCTCTTACCGCCCCCGAATAATACTCTATTAAAGGTATATTGATGTTAGATTTAAAGGGAGATTGTTTTTATAATTTTAGTATTTGAGCTTACTGAGATCTTTGGGTGTCTTGAGCTGCTTATGATGTCCTGAGGATCCATATCAGAATCCAGAACGGCTTGCATGCCAGTCGATTGAGCACCCACCTGGCATTGTACTGTTCAAATAGTCAGTCTATTGGAAAACAATATAGTTTGTGTTTAATTACCTTTCAATTCACTAACATCGGAACTAACAGCTGTCATTTTGTCATTGAGTGTAGCGAGAAGACTGACTACATCATTAAACTCTGACACTGGAATTGACATATTTTCTGGTCTAGGAGCAATCATTGGATTTGACGATTCTATATGCCCAGTGTTGACTGCGTTGATCAATGGCCTAGATGTTGATCCATTGGTACGTGCGTTCTGGTTGATGTTAGTTCTTGAAGCCATTATCTGTATTTTTATATAATAAAATAATAAGTTTCTGGTATATATTACTTGATATTTCTATTTTAATAAATTTTTAAGAGAGTACTTTACACGTAAAGAATTGTAGAGTAATTGAGTAATTAAACAATTATGTTAATGATTAAGCGAGCAAGTTGAGCAAGTGTATGAGTGTGTAAATACTTCTTTATTTAAATGATCGAGGAGATCGAAATATATTATTTTGAAAAAAATTGAGCTAGAAAACAACTTCTTTAGGTATATAGTAAGTAACAATTGTTTTATGAAACATATAAAGCTATAATTAGTAGACAATTTTTTTTTCAAAGTAAGAGAAACAGTCTAATAACTTTTTCAGGGTCTACGGCTTTTTCAAACACTGTTTTTTATTTTCCCACCTTTTTCTGTTTTTCTCTACTCTTTAATAATATTAATAAAAATAACACTCTTTTAATCCTACTATGTTTCACTTTAGGCACCCTTAATATATACATATGATGCAGGTGTCTTTCATTATACAAGAGGTACTTTACTATTAAATATATCATTATTTTACTAACTATAAATTACTTTAAATAGCCATTACATATATTTCTCTGATATAACTGGTGCAGACAAAAAAAAACACAAAAACATATTGGTGGCATGTACGTATATATCTATATCAACATCTTCTTCCCAGTATTAAAAACAATATCTAACATCTACTTTAAATATAGCTCACCTTTGATTTACATATGGTCAGTAAAAACAAATCATTTAAAGAATATAAGGGTACGTGTTATTCATTTTATTATTGTGTTGTTTTTATTTTGTTTTGTTTTTTTATATCAGCATTCTCACTCTCCTTTTTTATAGTTGAAATGGTTCTTCACATTCTTATATGACCGGTACTCAAGGACAAGACATGTTCCTTTAGTAAATATGTATGTATATGTTTTATATTCCTTTCTTTGTAATATATACTTGAATGACGCATCGGCTCATAGCTTTTGATAATATAAATCTGTGTTTTATTCCATTATTAACAAATTATTCTAACAGTATGTAAGTATCTTTCTACTCCCTTTAATTAAATAGCTTCAGTAAGCATATATACTCACTATCCGAGTTTATTAATTCAAAAAATTCCGAAACAAAATTTATAAGAAATACAATATAACAGATTAGTGTATTTAATAGTAATACTATATAGAATTCTTATTATTGCCAAAAAAAAAGGCTTTTTTTATCCAAAATAAAAACAAATAAAAAACCATTTTTCAAAACAAAACAATATCCAATTGAGTAACTCGTGCTTAGCATTTGCACCTATGAGAATTTTTTCTTCAATTCATTTAGCCAATAAACATTAAAGAAGTGCCCTGTTATTACGCCTGTTATTACAAAAACAAGGCCTACATCAAATTACAGGTGTAATCAGCGGTAGATAATACATTGTTCTGCATTTGGAATAGTCTATATAATTGATCCCCGAGAACAGTTGATACACAGACATTATACCTAAACTCCCAGTTTTTATTTTTGGAATAAGATAATATTCAATTATTTTTGACACTTTATTCAATAACTTGTCAACTATGATTTCCTTAATATTTACGAGTAATTCATTTTTATGTGACAAAATATCCTGATAATCAAAACCTATTATTATAATAATTCCCAATGGTTTTTGCAGTGGTTGTTGCTCCAATTGATACATCAACGCCAGAAGTAGCAGTTGACACAGCCCCTGAATTTCAAGTCGCTGTGACCCCAATGGATCACGTCCTTACCTTGTTGGCAGCCAACAATGTGTCGATGCAATCCTTGCAAGAAAATGCAAAAGGAGTGACTGATGCAATAACTTATTTGAAGAATGATCTGGATTTGTCCAACAAGACAAATGAATTTTTGAAGAACTCAGTCCTTCAGCTAATGACTGAAAATGCCGAAATAAAAAAGTCAATGACCAGCCAAAATTCCGTGATGCCTTCTGCTGTACCAGCAGATTCTTCTTCTTCTATGGATGATGATCTTGACCTTGGAGTGAAACATCATCCCTTGATTTCTGTAAGTAAATTGATAATAATAACATTACTGATTAATATATCTAATACTATTTTTATAGCAACTTATCAATAGATACATCAAGAAACCGAACTTTGTTAGCACAGACCTGCTCAAAGTTGCTGAGAATAATAATAGATCAGCATGGTCAATGACTGGCACGTATGGCAATAAGTATAACAAGACACTTGCACTGGCTCTCTTCAAGTACCTGAGACCTTAAAGATGTTGCACAAATGTGTCAAAGAGTGTCATTATGAATATAATAAAGAATCACTACCAAAATCAAGTGCGAGTCTTCTGGACCTCAACAGAGAAGATTATAGCTAGAAATAAAGCTGGAAGAAGACGCAACAGAAAGAAGACCGTAAGTTTTAAAATAAAGTTAATTTACTATTGATTTAATGCTTTAATACAATATTCTTTGGTAGCTTCTTGACCGTTGTATTATCACGTACCAGACATACACAGAGGCTATTCATGACGGGCAAGAATCGATATGATTGCGGAAATATTCTTTCTATTGATGTGATATCTGATGGTGAGTTGGATGGAAATAACAAAGTGCGGGCATATCATTCCAGCTGGAGAACTGATGAGGTAATGTTAAACATCTATTTATGTTTTAAAGAAAATAATAATACTTTATTAATACTATTTATTCTTTAAACCAGCTCCAGACGTTTATTAGTACTATTGATGAACTTACTGTTATCCATTTGAAGAAAATTTCAGAAAGCTTGAAAAAGTACATCCCTTATGAGAAAGAAGTGAGCATTTCCGAGAATTTGGCAGTCACTTTACCAGATTGGTGCTTTTCAAAATAAATCATTTTTTTCTTGCCAACTATTTTAGAGTCTATTTTCTACTTGTTTATGTTTATGGATTAGCATGATGTATACAGATGTATGTATAGCATGCCAAGTACAAACAAAAATTTATACAAATAATAAAAAATAAACGTGCAGCTATATATATTAGTCTGTATTAATTAATATTTCTTTTTTATATGTGTTTTATTTTTGTATTTGAATCTAAATATATATTTTTCGTGGCAAAGGAACTACACACATCTGAACTTTGCCTTCTAGACCAAGGGGCTCGCCTACTGCGACTGGATAGCAGATTCTATGCACTGGGAGAATGCTGTTCATGCTGTCATCTTCGAACCCCACCTCATTCACCTCAACTCCTTCTCCTGCTCTGGGCTGAAGTAAAACTTCCTTGTACCATCATACATATGCAAATACATGCTGGCTCGCATGACCAGCAAACAAGTTTACAGCAGTATTGACAAAGAGGTACTGAATTTGACCTGTGTACGGCTTGGTACTTCTACCATCACTTGTCTCAAACAAGGCTTGCATGAACGACCTGCGCTGATTCTTCGTTTTACTCTTGTAGATTTGCCCAAGAATATTGATTGATTCAAACTTCTGTATCCGATTGTTAATAAAATTATCGGAATGACCAGCCTGACAATAGTGAACAAGAGTTTGATCATTGTATGTCTCGCAATAGTATTCTAACAAATGCTCATACTCAGATTCATTCATAGGAATCTCCCCCTTTAGAGCTAAAGGAAGTGCGGAAGGGGGCAAAGGCTCGTTTCCCTTGACAATATCAAAGTTGATCTCAGGAGAATCAAGTGTTGTGAATGAGTATTGATTACTGCTAAATCTGAGAGTAAGACTGAAGGATAAAATAATATCCTCAGCTATTCCAGTCAAACGGATCTCCCTTTATGATATTATCTAATACACAGATCATCATACATATAATTGATTATTTATTATTATCACCATGACATGGGATATAAAAATACATATACATTATATATATGGCATCATTATATTTCATCTACATATTTCTTTTATTATACAAATACTTAATTGAGAGACTACAATTACAACTATTTAATATTATGAAACATTACCCAAGTATCTGGGTTGGAATACTAAAATATTACCAATATCATAAATGCTCTTCTTTACCAAAACTCTTGGACTGATCTGACTGGAGAAGTATCATATCAATTGGTCTTTCCAGATCTTTCCAGAAGAACAATACTCCTGGAAGATGACTCATCATGATAAAGATTACTTAAGCACACACTGAATTACAAATTAGAAAAACATATAAATATCAGTAGATAATTCCATGTAGAAAAACGATTGAATTTGATCATTCTTTACTTTTCTTTTGAAATAAACAACCTACACAAGTTCTCACAAATTCTTTTGTCTATATTATATTTTGCTTTATTTTCTCCTCACAACATCAAGAAAAGCATTGATATCGAATTGGATTGAGGTGGCAGTGGAAGTGGAAGTGGCTATGAAATTAGCAGTGAATGCAGTGAGCTCAAGGATGATTGTCAAATGCTCAGGTCAAATTATTGGCAAAGTTTGGCGAATAAGATCTCTCTGGTATGCTTCTTCAAGATACTTCTTCATATAGGTTCCCTCAAATCCGTCTTTTCTATTTTTTGCATAGTTTTTTAAGATATCATTGCATCTTTCGAAACTAAAAAGCCAATAGCCATAAACCAGGCCAAAGTTCAGTACAGTCTCTCACAGATGAAGATGGAGATGCATGTTTGGCAAAAGGAACAGGGCTTTATACAACTTCTCGCACTCTCTGCAGAAAGCCTCCAAATATTGATGGGCTTCATCAAGGTGAGCCATGGATATGCTTGGCATTGAAAGGTACTGGCATGCATTAACAAACGTTGTCCAGTTACCAAGATGAGCTTCAGGTAGACGACCACGCAGGAGAACAGGAGAGTACACCAAGCACCAAGACTTCTGTTGTGGTGGTTGAAGTTGAAGAAGTTTTTAAGAGGAAGAATTGAAGATTTGAGATTAGGAACGAAGATTCATGAGAACTTGTATAGGCTTTGTTTATTGAGAAAGGATTTTGTATCAAAGTTTGATCAGGTTTCTACACTGAACTACTACTGCTATTTATATTGTTTTGGATTGGGAAAATTATATAACTGGGGTCAGGTAATCAATCCTATCTGAGCCTTAATCAGAGCAATGTGATCTTGGGATAATTAATGTATGATTAATTATATAAATGTGTGTAGTCCCAATGAAGTATTAACATCAAAAGTAAATGTGTTTATGAGTTATAATTATGCTTATAATAATCCACTGATATATCCCATATTATGAGGATATCATCATATGAAATATAATCACTATCATGCACACTAAACCTGTGTGTTAAATAATAAAGTAATCGGTAGACACCTTTGACTGGAATAGCTGAGGCCTTATATTATTTTCTTCAGACTTATTCTCAATTACAGCAGTAGTCAATACTCATTTACAACAACTTCCACTTGTCGGCCTTCATGAATGGGAAGCCACGCCTGATCTTTGTCCCTAATGGCGTGTAGTCCTCTGGCAGTACAAGCTTGTCAGCATCCAACTGTATTTCGGCCAAGTGTGCATCTGTGATGAGACCTGAAAATCTCTATTTCTCCATTATCCTCTTTGCTGTTCTGAGGTACAGGTTGTGCATCGGATTGATGACAGTGCACTCCACGAGGTTAAAATAAATCAGGTCATGCAATTCTAACCATTAGACATCATTTTCCTTCTCCAATCTCTTTCTCTGTGCATCACTGCTGGCCATTCTCCACAACTCGGCATCAGTGCAAGGCACCCACTCAGAAAACACAAACCCAGAGTAGTTCACAGCATTGGAGTCTGGAAGGCAAGGGAACTGTTGGTTGCACTTATTGCATGCACATGTGCTTGAATGAGAGGTGAACCCACAAGTCTTACAGACAGCAAAAATGTCGTAGACAACAAGAAGAAGGGCAGCACGGACAAGAGCACCAGATGGGCACTGTATGGTAGGCATCACTACACTGCCATACAACTAGTTGAGTTCCGCAACAAGGGGATGGAGGTAGTGATTGATCTCACTTGACTTTGCTTCCTTGGGCCCTGGCATAAGACCAATGAGAACAACATTCTCCTTCTTGTACCGTTCCAATCTTGGCAGGTTGTTGATGCAAAGATATATTGCACCACAAGAGTAAGTGACCCCATTGAAAGGTTGAAACCAATCAATGTTCATGGTAAGCATTATGGAGCACTCATGATTCACAAATGGTAAACCATTGCTATCCTTCAGACTGTTCCACTTTGTACTATTGTAAATGTCAAACATCATGCCTGGAACTTGCACTCTGATTCTTCAATGGTTAATGGTGTCTTCGAATCCAGGGCAGCAAAAAAGGATAGACAATGTTTTGATTATGGAGTTATACATGTAAATCTTTTTGGGGATAGTCAAGGCTCTTGATGTTGCAAAAAAAAGAGTATTTCCACATTCTCTACCAGAGAGTCACTCGAAATTACAGCACTCTGGAACAACATTGGACTCTTTGTATACTTTGTTACAATTGCCACATGCAACAAACCGCTGGATACCTTGAGTCATGTCACTGAGACCAGTCATAGAGTTGACACTGTTTATACTGAGGGGAAGACGGAAAGACTATCCAAAGTGTGCCAATACTTTGTTAAGAAACTTCAATAGAACAGCACCACCAGAATTGACAACATATTTGGATATGAAGAAGGCAGCAAAAGAAGCAATGAAAGCATGAGTAGGATCGACTGGCATATTGGATAAAGAAAAGTGCTCTATTTGAAAAAAATCAATACTTGTTGACTTTATTGATTTATATATGCTTCTTGTACTAATCTCTAACATCATCAGATTTATCGTCAGAAATATCCAAAATGGTTGCTTTAATGACACTCTTATCTTTGCTTTCAGAATCAAACAAGGAATCAATGTCAAAAAGAGGTAAGACTTCAGATGTTTTGTTAGGTAAAAAAAGTCAAATTATTAGATATTATAAATGATTATAAAACTTTAATAAAAATACTATGCATACCTTCAACTTAATCTTCGGTATCAATATTGTCTTCAAAGTCAATCTCTATGTCATTGTTATTCGACATTACTTCTACAACTGAGGCTATATTATATGAAAATAAATATTTAATTAAAATTGTCTCAATAATAATTTTTTTAAATTTGAACTTACAAGAAGATTCTGACTGATATTGTCTCACAGTATCCTGTTGTGCATGTCTTCTGAGTGTTTGAGTAGACACCAAAACAAATCTCATGCTATTAGAAAAGTATTTAGAGCACTTGCATTCTGAATTATTATTGTTGTTTGACATATTGTGTGTATGTTTTATTTTTTAAGTCTTTAGAATTGACAAGAATAGAAAATTGTTCAGGAACACAATTTAATATATATCTTTCCAAATTACATCAGCTTCCAAAATGACATAGTTTATTCCAATTGTTAAAATGGGCAGTTCTCTAAACAGTAATTGATTGCCTCATTCTAAAATACAATAATATACACTTTGTTAAAACATGTCGTCATGTACATTTTATTAGCTGTAGAGCATATACAACAAAAATATTTGTAGTAATATCATAAATATTAATCTTATCATACTTATAAATAAATACTACACAATAAAAAGCTTTATTATCTCACTCAAAAGATATCATTTGGTTTAAGTTCCCTACAACTATTGACTGTAACATGGCTACAAGTCCCAAAAAGAAATCTCGCAGACATTTTTTACAAAAAAAAGTAAACTCGTTTTATTATCCAATAAAACAGACCGAGCATTATCATTGCCGTCCAAAATAAAAAAGACAAAAGTGATGGAAATTTAAGCTACCACTCCACAAATAATAGTACCTTATGCCATAGATAAAATTACCCTATTTTTCTAGTGATGTGTAGTTGCCTGAAGTTATTGTTGACAGAATAATGCCTTTTCGTTGTACTTATTGGTGTTTTGCTCTACAAATAGAAAAATTGCTTTCTATTCAGCCTCGGCCACCATCGGAAAATCAAAAAATAATAATAATAGAATATAATTTTCTAGAATTACAAAGAATTCTGCAACATAAATACACTGCCAGACAACCGAAATTTAATTGTCGCTGATTGTGTTTACTACATTTCGTGTCAAAAGTAACGTAGCCCGGCTAGCTCAATCGGTAGAGCGTGAGACTCTTAATCTCAAGGTTGGGGGTTCGACCCCCCCGTTGGGCTTATTATACATTTTTAATAATTTTTTTGTTATGATTTGCTTTGTTTATTTGTCAAGTCTCGATCTGGTATTTCTTTTCTGGCACTTGTAACTAAGTCACAGAATCAATACCACTGGGGATCGTCAAGTTTATGAATAGTTTTTAGATAAGAATAAAGATGCTTTTTATTAAATATATTTCTTGACTATTTATACAAAATGATAATTGATTTCTGGCTAAAAGAATAGCTACGATAATATGTCTTAGATACCTGTTGTCCAGTAATATTTTCTACAAGTATATTCACCATCTTAAACATCTAAAACATATATAAAAGACCAATTGGCAAAAGTCAACTCTTACTGGTTGCTTATAACTACCCATTTTGTTCACCGATATCAACTGAAAAATGCACAACAACATAACAATACAAAAACAAAAAAATCACTTTATACAGTACATATATGTGCTCCCTGCCAGGATCGAACTGGCGACCTTCAGATTATGAGACTAACGCGCTGCCAACTGCGCTAAGGAAGCACCTGTTGCTTGTCAGGTTTGTTGGTAGTAAACACCACATCAAACCGTTTCTGGTGACGGATACGGGACAGTGAGTGTCTTCAGTGGTTTGGTCTGGTGGTAAGCCATGATGGGTGATACCAGACTCGTGGACGTTGATGTCAATGGTGAGTTGACCAAGTGATGTGTCTTGAGGGACAGAAGTGGTCCCCCCAGGTTTCTTGGGAAATCTTGTTTTTGATACCCCTTATACCCAAACCCCCAATTTTATTCCATTCCTTAAATAATTACACTGGAAAAGAGGTGCGGTTTTCTTATGTGTAAAACTGTAATTAATTATGTGAAAAGACCAGGTTTTACGATGCAATCAGATAGTTTTTACAAGTGTATGAAGCTGGCTTACTCATAGGTGGTAAGACCAACTTTTGAACATAGGAAAAGGTCAGAACAGCAGAATAGTAGGATGTGTTTGCATTTTCTGTATATGGGTTTTTACCACATGCACTAAAACGGCAACTCAGAATTACGTTTTGTTGTAATATATCCTACCGCTTTCCGATTAAAAGAACAATAAATGAAAGATCGATTATACGGATATGCCAGTTTTTACATTGTTTAATTTATGGATATGTCAGTTTTACAGGTTTTGTTGTATTTGAATTTATTTTATCCAATCTTAGACACTTCTTCTTATACTGTTTGCTTCCATACACTTCTCCAATCTTTAATTTATTTATAATAATTATTGGTTTATTTTGTTTTTATTAGAAAGAAAAGAATATTCTTAGGTTTATAGTACAGTGGTTATATTTAATATTCAGGAACGTTCTGGCTAGTGTTCTATCCTTCATACAATTTGAAATGGCCAATGTTCTGATAAAACAAGTATTCTCCAAACAATATCTCTCAGAGAAAAGCCCAGTTGTGTGTTGCTTGCTTGTAAATGATTGTTCTATGAAATTAGAAAAGTGTTAGCTGTTTGAACAAGAAATTGTAGATATTAAGAATATATATATGTAATTATGCTTACAATATAATAGCTTACCAGAGACAAAAAGAAAAGGCGTCATGAATGCGAACCATAGTACTTAATATACTTTATTTGGCTATAAAAATGCTGAAAAAAATTATTTTTTGTGAACTGTGTGTTAGAATATTTTATTTACCTACCCAAAGCAAAAGGATTTATTTGCAGACCAAGAGAGTACATAGGAGATGCTAATATTGTCTTCAGTAAATGATATACATTAATATACAAAATAAATAATATTGTTATATGTACAAAAAAAATTACCATGTCAATAACACTCGTATGAAATGAAAGTTCTTGATTCGCGATGTGCTCATGAGAGGGAGGTTCATCTATAATAGAAATTATGTTAAGCCATGTGCTTATTAAAAAGAGATAGATTGAAATAAAATAAAATATTACCGTGTTCATAACCGTGTTTAATAGTAGAGAGTAATTTTGGCAATATGGCCTATACAAAAGAAAGGAAAAAGTCAGGATAATTTTATAGGATGACAGCATAAAGTATATTTACTAACCTTAGCTAATCTGGATGGACATTGTGAAGGGGATGCATCAGAAGGTAACAAAACGCGAGTGTCTGTAGTAATAGAAAACAATTATTATCATTTTAGTTATATATATATATATATATATATATATAATATTAAAGAATAAGATATCTTACCAAGAAAATCTGTAAATATAATAAATGTTGGAAAGAGTGAAAAGAGAGAAAACTTGTAAATGAAAAAAAAAACAAAAAGAACAAAAGACCAAAGGGCCAAAAGGCCGAAAGACAGAAATCATATATTGGATTGAGTTGAAAAAAGCATGTTCAAAGCCGATTTGCACCCCGTTAATTCCAGGAAGTATTAATAGAGATACGCGTATTAAAGAAATCCTGAGTATTTACAGCAACAAGTATAATATAATAAATGAGTTCTTGCTTTTACTTTTACCATCTTTCCATTAACTACACTTTATTCTTTCGCTTAACACCTAACTTCTTTTGTATGTTAATAACACTCTATATATACAATGAATAGATATAGAAAACAAATATAATTAACAATCAACTCATGTATAACATTTTATTAGATAGCTTTCAGACCATGGTTAACAATCGTCAGTCAATTGCCCCAGCTCCATCCCCGGAATATACTGAGCTTTTAAGAAGGCTCACCGCTATGGAGGAAAGTCTCAAGACCATGGATTCAAACATTGACATTGTCATCAAGGGGAACAAAGATTCATTGGAAATACTTGATAGTGTTGCCGATGTCTCTGGAGAACTTCTTGCAGTTATTGCTCCTACCACTATACCTGCTTCTGCTTCTGTCCCTTTTGCAGCTTCTTCCGTTGGTTCTACTCTGGATTGGTATACAACACCTTCTGAGACTTTTTTTGGTATCTCTTCTGCTGCTCCTTCTGCTGCTTCTTCTGTTGCTCCTTCTGTTGGTCTAGTGGTTCTTACTGGTGCAAACGCTGGTGAACTTAGTAAACAGGATCGCACTAGAGTTTTAGTAAGTGTTGAGATGTACAGTAGCTCATCAACATAATATCTCACACTAAGTATAGGCTCTTATCCGAGGAGAGTTGAAGAAACACAACTTCAAATCAAATAAGCCGGAACTAGTTGCAGCTAACGACAGCAAGTGCAGTTGGGATGTTAATATTGATTACAGACTTCCACCCAACAGACAGCTGATGCATGACCTTCATGCATACCTGGCTCCAAAGGTTGTTGGGACTAGTGTTTGACAGGCCGATATTAGCGATTGTATCTACACAAACTTTTGTGGAACAAGACGCCGAGTCAAGGAATCCTATGAAGCGCGCAAAAAGACAAATTCTTGGTCAAGAAAAGCAGGTCAAGAGACCAATGTATGTTAGAAGTATATTTTGATTGCAAATTAAATGTATTCATATTAATACATTTATAAACTAGCATTTTGACCATTGCGAGCTGACCTACCATACATTCAAGACTGAAATTGATATGAAGGTGGGTAAGAGCTGCGACGGACTCTTACAGAAAGAAGCAATGTCTGAGGGCGAATCTGAAGACGATATGCCTGGAGTCTCAAGCAACCGTGCGATTCGTACAGTGCATCCAAGTTGGAGAAGCGATGAGGTAATTTCTTTTGTTTACATTATTGTATATAGCTTTTTTTTGTTTTTTTATGGATTTAAATGAAACAGAACTTTGATTAATCACTTATTTGTATTTAGTACAATCACTTTCTTGCAGTTGTTGATGATTTTATGCATAATCGCATGGACTTCAATTCGCGTCAGATGTTGAAGAGGTCCTTCGGTAGAGATGCTGTTTTAGCAGTCCCACCTAGATTGACGTCCCTTCTCCCTCACTGGGTTTTTAGAGATGAGTTTCAATAAATTTTGTTTTCTTATCCTCTACATCCTCCACATCCTCCATCTGACAATGATAAACATACCAACAAATACAAACACTATGATTATTCTTTTCTGTGTGCCTTTAAAAAAGGGAGTTATAATTTTATTATTTTTTAAATGTATTGTTTTTTTGGCAAAGGAATGACCAGCATCTTTTTTACTTTTCTGCGTGTTGTGTGCTCAGCAGTTGCTACTTCTAACATAATTCTATGCACTGGCAATACACATTGGAAATCGTCAGGAGAAAATGTTGGAAAGCAGGTTTCAACGTGTTTGTACTCTCGCGATTTATCATTTTCGGGTGTGTACCATTTGATAAATGCAAAAGTATGTTGAGAATTGTGAAGAAGTTGTGTTGGGCGGCGATGGGTGCGGAGCAAGGGAGTAAGGGATGAAGAGATGGGTGGAGGAGTGAAAGAATGGGTGAAAATGTACTGTATTTGACCCGTGTATGCGATGATATGCTCACCAGTACTTCCAATGAACTTTGCTTGTACAAGAGAGCCACGACTTCCAGATTCACCTTTACCCTTGTAGACCTGCCCAAGGATGTTGATGTATTTCAACAGGGTGATTGTATTGTCGACAAAGTATGGTGATTCCGACGCTTGTTGAAAGTGAACTAATTGTTCATTGTTGTACGCAACTTTGTAGTATTGTAAGAGATGAACATAGTGAATGTCACTCATTGTAGTAGCGGATTTTAATGATAGAGGGAATGTGGAAGGAGGGAGAGGTTTGTTACCTTTTACAAGTACATTTGGATCTTCAGAAGCCTTGACAAATGACTGTATGCGGAAGGTACATTGATGGATGGATGAAATGGTGGCGGGTGTAAAGGAAGAAATGAGTTTGGTAAGGAGAGGAAATGCAGATGTCTGGTGGGTACTCTGAAGGAAACTTTTGACAAGATCGTCTTTGTGCACATCTTCAATAAATCTCTTCATAAATGTTTCTTTAAACCCAATCTTTCTGTTTGTCTTCAAATTTTTTAACAACTCATTAAATCGCTCAAACCCAAATAGCCAATAACCGTACACTGGTCCAAAATCACAAATTGTATTTTGAAGATGGAGGTGTAGGTGCATATTACAGGTGAGGATTTTGGCGTTGTACAGCTCGTCATATCTGGTGCAAAAAGTTTGAAGAAACTGATGGGTAGTGTTGACTTCATTGAACGTGATTGTTGGCTTGATCAACAGGCAGCGTACATCAACAAAGTTAATCCAGTTTTTGAATCTATCTTTTGCAAGAACATCTTTCAACAGAACTGGCAAGTATATGAGCACCCATTACTTCAACTTGTCTGCCTTCATATACAAAAACTGCTTTCCTATTTTCGAGTTCAAAGAGGTGTATCCACCAGGCACAATCATCGTTTCTGCAGTCTTCTGCATTGCCGCAAAATCGCCATCTTGAATGTCTTCGTCTTTGATCCAACAATCCATCAATCTTTTAGGCATTCCCAGGAATAAATTATGCATGGGATCGATGATCATTCCACGTACTAGATCAAGGTATCCAAGGCAATGCAACTGCAACCATTGAACACCATTTTCGACCTCCAGCCAATGCCTTTATGAGGGGGTACTAGCACTTTCCCACTCCTCAGCATGCAACCTGTTCTCTACACCATCACGAAGCACCCACTGAGAGAAGTCAAACCCACAAAAGTCAACATTGACACCGTTTTCCAAGTGAGGGAAATGTCTGTTGCACTTGTAACATGCGCATGTACTGTTGTGCGAGGTGAAACCACTTGTCTTTCTTGCTGCCGGATGTCACAGGCCACCATCATCAATGTGGCACGGACGCGGACACCACTAGGACACTTGAAAGTTGGGATTGCCAGTCCCTCATACAATCTTATCAGATCATCTACCATAGGCCGGAGATAATGGTTTATCTCTTCAGATTTGGGTTCCTTCGGGCCAGGCATCAATCCTACAAGAAGTGTGTTCTCTGGCTTGTATCTTTCATTGCGAGGCAGATTGTTTACTACCAGGTATATGGCACCAGTCGAGTGCGTGACGTTATCAAAAGGTTGAAACCAGTTGATGTTGAGAGTCAACATTAATGAATGCGAATCCTTTGTGAATTGCACGCCATCTTTGTCTTTGAGCTCCTTCCACATGGCACCGTCGTATATGTCACACATCGTATCCACCATCTTCAGCTCGTGATTCCAATGTCTAATTTTATCCTCGAATCCTGGACGAAGAAAAAACATTCGTAAAGTATTAATGACGGACTGGTACAAGTATGAACGCTTGGCCACCAAAGCACCCAATGCTGATGTTTTCGTCAATTGGCAGTTGCAAGATGAGCGTGCACCAAGCTTTACGAAATTGCAATGAGATGGGACAGATGCACTTTCTTCGTACACCTTGTGACAATCCTGACACACAACAAATTTCTTTATGCCTTTGGTCATGGCTGAGAAAACTGTCATGCGCTGAGGACCAGGAAGGCTCAAGGGCAGTTGGAAATCCTGCTCATAAATTGTCAAAAGCTTGTTGATGAACTCGATCAAGACAACGGCGCCCTTGTCAACCACATAGCGGGAAGCGAACATCACCACAAAAGTAGCAATGAACCTGTGCACTGGGTTCTGGGGCATATTGGGGGTGGCAAAAGGGTCTATTATAAAAAAAAATTAACGCTTTTTTTTTAAAAAATTTTTAACACTAACTGACCTTCACTATTCAATCCATTGTCATCAAGCTCAATAACATCGTCTTTGCTTTCGTCTTCACTGATTTCATTGCTGTTGCTTCCACTGTCATTATTATTGCCATTGCTGATCGCGTCATTAGTAACGGAAACGTCTTCAGTGTCAGACATTGAAGCTCCTTCCCAAACAGGTGAGTTTGTCTGAGTGTACGATTCTTCCAGGGCTCCGGGTTGATGGGTTAAGATAGCTACATTTAGAATATAACACTTGGTTAATATCTAACGATATCTGAATTAAATAAACCTTACGTTCATCATCGACCTCCATCATATTTCTTTGGGTAGACATGTCTATTACAACACGTTATTTCATGGATTATAATACAATTAAATAAATTCAAATATTGTACCCCTTTCACATCTTATGGCATTTAGTCTTGCCCTTTTGTTATGATGTTGAGCAGTTCTTCTGGCAACAAAACTATAGCCGAGATCGTTCTGACTACATCCAGCACAATGGCACTTTTCGTTGTAGAGTTCAGGAATTGTGGACATAATGTTTATTTATTTTTACTTTGAAGTGTTAAGAGAAAAAGGAAACAAGTACAACGTTTACTAAATTTACTATGTCTTTATAATGAAATGTTATGTCTATAATAATAATAATAAATAATATTTTTGCCTGTTGTATCCGAGCCAATAGAAAACCAGAAAACAGTGTTTTCATCTTGAACACACAAAAAAAGCTGAGATGAAAAAATACCCCAGATTTTCTATTGTTATAATTTAACTTTGTACATGGTAATTCCCGTATGTTTTTCTAGTGAGAGAAGGAAGTTGGCCCAATCTACAGCCTTGAAGTATCCACTGTACTTGGATATGTTTCTTCAAGAGCCATGAAATGCTGTTAGAACTGTTTTTCTTGTTGCTGTCATTGCCACTCCGATTTCCTTGAGTACATTGGCAGGAAGAAACAGAGATTGTTTAATCTCATACTTTCCACCAATAAGCCCCCAGACCTGTTTGCCTATTCCATGGCAAAGGCCATGCATCTCGTCAAGGGCAAAAAAGAGCAGGCCTGTGAATGATGCCAGTCAAGAAAAAGGAGATTGTCTTACAAGACCCTTGCTGGACAAACTTGCTGGATCAAAGTTTTGGAAACTTTCCAAAGTGCGCATAGTAGTGTCTGGTAAAGATCTAAAATATTGGCCATGGCCAGGAGTTTGGCCCACAACATTACAGATTCAACAGCCACTTTTGCTCATATGACCAGCATGACATGCCAGCCTCGCCACTGCCAGAATATCACCAGTTACAACAAGAACATGGACCTTTGCATGGATGGTGAGAGTTGGGGTTATGACAACCATTCCTTCCTCTTGGAGTACCTTGAGATCTGCCAAGGTTGGCTTCAAAAATGACCAGAAGTCAAGTGGTGTGGAAGGACCTGGAATCATTGCAATTTGTAGCATCCGGCTTTTCTAATAACAGACCATTGGAGAAAGATTAAGAACTGTGGCATGCAGAATAGTAATCGAATTGGGGATGTTATGAGGTGCAAAGCCATCGACAGACAAAGAAATTGCAACATTGTTTTCACTAGAGAAAATGTGTTTGATTGATTGATATGCATGCCCATCAAAGATGTCTGCCTTGCTGCATCTGCCTTTTGCTCGTGATTGTGATGGTATAGCATCTCATGTCTGGTACCATTGTTGGCCAAAGAAAGGGCAATTTGCCTGGCCAAAGGAATCTGGACCATGGTTTTCTTGGCAATGAGTATACTGTCCTTATCAGTTTTGTCACTTTTGTAGTGAGCTTCACCACAATGCTTGCAAGCAACCTCCTCTGTATCATTAAACATCATATATCTATTTTGGCAGACGTCGTATACTGTTTTCTCTATGCTAGAAAAACGCTTCAAGAGCTTCTTGCCCAGGTATGATATACACACTCTGTATGTTATCTCAGTTGACATCCCTAGAATGCTGTTGAGATGCACAGCAAGCTTCTCATGAGCTTGACAGGAAATGTCAAAGTCATTGATGATTTTCATAAACTCCAAGTTCTTTGCATTATTGTTGCTCGGGACAGAAGAAGGCTGGCTAAAATCGAAAACCAATGGAGAGGTGCTACTTTCAATTTCACTATCACATTTGATATCACACTTTAATAACGTAAAATCAAATTAGTACAATGCATTTGTATATGCATATATATATCTTACCATGGGATCATTGAGGTCAGTGTTGTTATTACCATCAGTACTTTCATGACTAATTGTGCTTGTATTTTCTCTGTTTATTTGAAGCATTGATATTTTTAACACATAGTTTGCCTTTTTTAACTTTTGTTTTTCTCAAACTCACTTAAGCATCAAGCCTGGAATCGCAGCTGAAACAGACTGGCTAGGCATCGAAAGCAAAGGAGTTGCAGACAAGTGTGCATTTCTCATATTTTCCAACTGATTTTTCAGGCATAAGGTTAAGCACTTCTCAGCCATTTTCATATTACTATAGGTTTTTTTTGCAAGAACCGCATTTATGAGGGAGAGTTTTTTAATTGACGACATTTTTAAGTAGGTAATTGAGTAACTTTGATAAGAATAGAGATACTTATCTTCTCAATACACATCTTTATACTTAATCCATTAAAGGTGACAATGATATAGATAATTTGAATTCCCTTACGGGGCTCGTAAAGATAATAACACGTGGTATGTAGTTATTGCAGCTATTATAATAAAAACAATAAACTTCGTTAAACCAATAGATATACCAAAATAAATCTGATAGTAATTAGAAAAAAAAATTTCTTCCTCTTTTTCCCTTTTTTTCACAACAAACCCATATTTCTGATTTTTTTAATACAATAAATAATACAGATTATACAATTCTCCAGATACTTCAGGGCATGCAAGAAACACTTTTTGCATTGCAAAAAGGTCAGGAAGAACTTCAGATTGGACAAGACGCACTCAAGAAAGGTCAAGAAGTACTCCGGGATGAACAAGCATTGCTTAGGCAGGAGATTGCCAATGTTTGTAAAGATATGAATGGCCAAGAAAGCCCAGAGCCGACAATAGTACATAACATAAGAAATAATAAAAGGAAGCAAAGTATACAGGCTAACATAAGATAATACAGAATCTCAGTAGAGCAATTCCAAGACCAGTACCAAATATCAAAGATATAACTTTGGTACATATCTACAGAATGATGAGCCACGATCTTGGGGTTGAGCTGGATAAAGGAAACAAGGCAATCCTTTACACTTGTACAGGTTTTGTCTGCGATGAGCTGGTCACTCTTCCTTCTGTGCAAGCTCTGGGACAATATCCAAACTGGAGTGCAATTTCTCAAGAGGACAAGAACTGGGCGTGCACCAGACATGCCTGTCTACTTAGAAACAATGGTATAGACTTTACTAGATGCCACAAAAACTGGGCATCTGTTGCAAAGGTTAGCCAATTATAGAAAAACTGTAAAAAGCGACAGTAGATTATAAGTCTGTGCCTGATAGGTATCATATAATAAAATATTAACTATCAATAGAGTCTAGTGAATAAAATTATATTTAGTCAGTATAATCTATATATAATAAGTCATTTTTTGTTTTGAAAACCAATAAACTATTTTGTGTTTTGACAACCAATAAACCATGTTTTGTAAAATTTATTTCTATTCCAACAACCAATAAAATACTCATTTATAAGAATATTTGATGAAAAATATGTTTTTAATCCAATTAAAATTATTAATAATCCAAGCTCTATATAAATGAAAACCAATCAAGTGAATATGAATTGTAAAGTGACCAATGGTTTTAGATATAAGGTTAAGATGGAAATTTTAATACCCAATAAAAGAGAATTATAAACCAAGGCTTTCGTATATAAGCACCAATAAAAAGTCAAATATAGATTATAAAAATGTGTATTGGTAACTAAATAAAACTTCACATTTGTTAATGAGCAGTGTTCACTATGAATGAAATTAGTGTGACTGCCACTAATGGTAGTGAATATGCCACTAATTTATTTTAATTAACCAATCAAATTAGTTCTAGAGTTTGGTAAAAATATTAAAAAAGTTGAAAAAGATAAAGTTGTATTTAAGAGCAGATTAACATAATAGAAATGTCTTTTTTTTACATTTATATCATATAGAGAGTATAGCAATTTGATTTATTTATTTTTTATTTGAAATTGTAAAACTTTTTTTTGTCTCATTGTCAAGATTGTTGTATTTTGACAATACCACTAATCAATATGACAGATCAACTATCTTTTCCACTAATTTATCAAAAGTGCGGGATTTAAATTGATTTTTTTTTATATTTTATTTTGCTCAAATTTTTACTTTGCATTAATTTTTTTCTTTCTACATAAATGAACATCATCTTGAAATTATTTTTTAAGATGATAGTAAATCTCTATAACTACTTTATACATCTAATTTACATGACTTGCTCTCTATTTTATTTTCACCTGTTTTAATTTGCTAAAATAAAAGTATATTTTAATTATTGAAAAAACAAAAAGTTACTTTTTATTGCTTGTGAGAGGAGTAAGACATATTCCTGTTACAATGACAGAGACTCATGTTGATTTTATCCCAATAAGAACAAATAAGATACCAAGTGCAACTGCAAGGATAAATGCACTGATCAACTATCTGTGGAAAAAGAAACAGGAGACAGATATCAGCATATTCTTAGAAGAGCAAAAGCTCATTCAACTGCAGTTCCACATGTCTACAAGGCAATGCCACCATATTATGCATAAAGACGGCATTGTAGAGACAAACTGAGAAAGATTGAGTAGTCAACAAAAGTTGTACTACTCCTTGAGACTCAAGGAGTTAATTTTGAAGTACTAATTTGCTTTACACAAATTCAGAAATCAATGAGTTGCTGTTCTTCTCCTTCAAGAAGTGATGAAGGCTGAACACCAAATGGAGAAGTGACAAATAATACATATTAAATTTAGTGTCATGTAAGATATTTCATTAATACTTTTCTTTATTAAAGAATATGCTGGCAAAGTTAAGTAGAGAAGTTCAAGAAGAAGAGTTGAGGTATGTATAGATTGTTCAAATGTAAAATTTAATATAATGACTAAACTATATTTTTAAAAGTAGCATTGATGAGGCAGAAAGTAGTGTGGCAGCCTCACCACCAAGAAGAAACATGCGGAGCCATCAAATTTATTTATTTTTTGAACTCCCTGTTATTTCCATCTTCCAGAACAACAACAAAAAATTCTCTTTACAATTTCTCTTTTTTTAATCAATGACAAATCGACTCATTTCCTCTACTTTCTTCTATTACTTTTCCTGTAATCACATTCAAACAACATGCACCACTCAAAATTTAAGACACGTTTGATATAAAATCACTACAATTGTGTTTTGATTTTTAAAAAAAGACTAATGCAACTAGAAAAATACATTTTTTTTGCAGTTTTTTTTTCAAGCAGCTACTATATAATATACTTTTGACTTCCTTTCACAAAATACAGCCAATGTAAGTTACAGTCTTACTAAAGTGATATTGTATAGGGTATACTAAACAATCTGGCCAGCTATCAATGAGTAGATGTATCTAATTACTTGGGGCTTGTGCTGCAGTATAGTAGCTACTGAACAATCTTCGAATGCAAACAAATTATAAATGTAAGCTTACTGGGCTATGTGTATTTACTTTGTATATTAACTTATTTTTGTAGACTTCGACTTTAATCACAATTACTTGAAGCTGTTAATGAATATACTTGAGGTAATTACAAAAAAAAATACTTTTAAATATATATATTCATAGTATTCTTTACTTTAGCTTTATACAACACTGGAACAGAATTGCTTGAACATTATTTTAATAGAAAAGCATCAACAATTATAATTCATAAAGAAGAGTCCCGCCATTTATAGCTGATATATCTAAAGGTATGTATTACTTATATAACTAATATATAAGTTAGTATATATGCAAGATATATTGCTAGTATTATTATTAAGCTTGTATATGAATATGCATTATTATATGTCATGTAAAAGACATAGTATACCATATATTATATTGTATAGTCCATTGTATAGTCTATAGTATAGGGCATTGCATAGTATATTGTGAGGTATTCGGGGTTGTTTATGGGTTAGTATCTTAATAATGGGAAAAGTAGATACTGTGAGAGTGTTATTTTTTAAAGAGACAAAATAATATTGTTTATATCTGCTACTATTCAAATCCCTGTTGTCTAATGGTTGGTTTACACTGTATAAGTGTGTAGTGTACGTGTGTCTGGTGTGTAACAGTTCCAGAGATTATTAACTTGCCAGATTCATTAGCAAAAAGGAACCAGTGTTTGGTTGTGTGGTCTGTTCTTCGCTCAATTGTGATGTGTATATCACACATTGTATGGTACATCATATAATACATCATACAGTATATCATATAGTACATTGTACAGCCTATTATATATTTCTATTGTATATTCTACTGTGCAGTAAGCATATGAATAAAAATAAAATCCACCAATTTTACTATCAATTTTTCTATATATTGATTTACTATCATACTTCTACTATCAATATGTTTGAAACTAAGCCAATCAAGCATGCTGCCTTACTATTCAGTAAATTAGTGACAATACCACTATGATTAGTGGCAAGCATATCTCATTTACCATCAATTTTCCCTGCTTTAGCATAGTGTGGCCAGTTACCAAATTTCATGCAAATTAGTAGTATTGCCACACCAATTCCATTCATAGTAGTTATACAATAATCCATAACAGGCAGGAGGTGAAAAAGTGGGTAGGCAAAAAACACCCACCTGGGCGACCTCCTGAGCGGCCCCCCAGTGAACCCCCAGCAGACCCTCTTTTTTCCCATAGTGCATAACATCCATATTGTTGTTCCCGATCTGAGTTGATCTTCCTTTTACTATAACAAAGTCAAAAGGTCAAACCCACTGGGGATCAGGGAGTATATGTAAAATCAAAGAGAAGATAAAAGATACTTTTTATTGATATGAATTGAATTGTCTTATATAGTTTTCTAAACTTATACTGTCTATTATCTGCAGTAGCTATTATATTATATTTAAATAAAAGGAGAGTCATTATACTGCGGTTAATGCTTAGAAAGATATTACTGTGCATAAAGAGGTACTGTGGTTAACCATCTTCAGATTTTATGGATTCATCAAAATAATGTCCAACAATATCATTGCCCAAAAGAAATACTAGATTGACACTTGACAACATTTGTTGTGTTTGATCTGGATTGTTCTTCCAATGTTATAACACAGCCAAAATTGGACAAACCCACTGGGAATCGTAAACAAAGATAAAAGAATAAAAAGAGGATAGAAAGATAGATAATTTTTATTGAATGAAATAACATCCTCTTTTATATCTTTTCTAAACCTATCCAGCTATTATAAATGTCTCACTACGGCAGAGAAAATGGTAACATGTTACCACTTTGGTAACATAACTGCCATTTTTTACTTAATAAAAAATGGCAGTTATGACTCTGTATAAGGCCAAAACAGGCACTGTTACCATTTTTTACATAGTAAAAAATGGCAGTTATTTATTATGTAAAAAGCCAAAACAAGCACTGTTACCATTTTTTTCATAATAAAAAATGGCAGTTATTTATTATGTAAAAAGCCAAAACAGGCACTGTTACCATTTTTCAAAAAAAAAATCAAGCATCCTTCCTTTCCTCTATTACATTCTTTCTTTTGTTCTATCGCTTTCAATTCTAGCACAACCTCTTGTTTTTCCTTTGCAGCTTTAACAGAATGGTCTGTTTTTTATTATACAATATTGAATCGGGTTTAATTGAATTGAATCTTTATTTCAATGCATGTTTTATTAAATGAAAATGATAATAATAATAGTAATAATGAAAAAACAATTCCATCGGCCACTTGCAATAAAAAATGGTTCTGTTTAGCTACTGCAAAACGTATGCAGTAAAACACTACTATTCAAATTGTATTTCATATACTTTGGGTATTCTAATATATCTTAGATAGCACTTATTATTTTTTACCGATTTCTACAAATATACTAATATTAGAGAAAAAACTTAAAATAAATAAATAGATATAATATTATTATAATGCTTACCTTTATATAATATGCTTACTTGTTCAGTAAAATAAGCATTTACTCTAAGAATATATATATATTTATTAAAGAATGTATTAATATTTAAGATCTATATATAAGAAAAGCAATAAAACATAAGCACTATAGAAAGTCATTATCGTAGAAGAAGAAAAACTTGAGCAAAGTTTCAAGTCATGTAACATGAAGCTAATTCGAATCTGATTCATACAACCAGAATGAGCATCTTGTTAGAAAGCTTAACGTGTTTATTCTACTCAATATACTTACATATAATAGAACGACTCCCAAGTATAATATATCAGTACAAAAATATTATTATTAATTTTTTTCCCAAAAAAAAGGCTATATACTATTTCCTTTTATATTTGAATGTAGCGGAATTGTAGATGCTGTACATTAGCTTCAAATTCTTGTAATCACAACATTAGCAATCATATGAAAGAGGTTGATAAATTTTTTATATGAAAGAAAAAAGGAATAAAAAACATAAAAAGAAAAATGACGAGATAAGAAAAAAAATGCACTAAAGACAGACTAAAAAAATCAAACTTGGCCAATCACAGCAGCCAAACTACGATCTTCGGCTTCTCTTGCGAGCAGGCTCGACACTTGCTGTGGGTGGAGGAGACCTACATAAAAGAGTAAGAAGTTTATATTAGTTTTGTATTAACAGCGCATGAGAAAAAGCAACAATGGTAACTTACAGCACATCTGCCATTATGGGCGACTCAACATTACCAGTTTCTGACATATCAGGAGAAGAAAGTGAAGAATCACTTATGTCTCACTGTGTCTATAGCATAATAAAAGGAAACGATGTTAATTAAAGTTTACAATATATAGATTTGTTAACTGATAAACTTACTTTGTTCTTCTCTGCCATTCTTCTCTTGTGCGTCTGGTTGTCGCTCTTGAAGCTTTCCCGAAGAAGGCTTCTTGCACACCACATTCTTTTACATTGGTGGATGTGCAATCCACCATTCTTCGCCAACCTCTCCAAATGCATCATGTAGTATTCCCTGTTTTTCTCTGGGATATTCTTCCATTCTTTTGAGGCCGCAGGATAGTCTTTGTCAATGATATCATGCTTTACCATACGACCTAATGTTTTGAGATACAGTCTTTTTACTGTCAAATCATGGTCTGAAAGAGGGACTAATGGGGGCAAAGGCTGCCCTTGTGGAACTTCTTTGCAGCGCGCCTTTCAGTCCTGCTCGTGAAGAATCTGAAGCAACAGATTATATTTTTGTGCTTCGTTTTTTCTTTTGAACTCGCTGCCAGTATTGATTACTTGCTTACCGAGCTGATCAGGGTACTCTGTGAGCTGGGCTCTTTTCACAGACTCGGCAATGCGCTCAAGAGCTACAAAAAATGTATGACAATATTAATAAAGTAAATAAACATCTAAGCACAGAATATATATGACTTACAACTCTGCTCAATAATGCTTTGTTGCTGTTGTGGGGAGAAAATAAAGCAAAATATAATATAGACGAAAGAATTCGTGAGAACTTGTGTAGGTTGTTTATTTCAAAAGAAAAGTAAAGAAATATAAAATTCGATTGTCTTTCTACACGGAACTATCTACTGATATTTATATGTTTTTCTAATTTGTAATTCAGTGTGTGCTTAAGTAATCTTTATCACGATGAGTCATCTTCCAGGAGTATTGTTCTTCTGGAAAGATCCGGAAAGACCAATTGATATGATACTTCTCCAGTCAGATCAGTCCAAGAGTTTTGGTAAAGAAGAGCATTTATGCTATTGGTAATATTTTAGTATTCCGACCCAGATACTCGGGTAATGTTTCATAATATTAGATAGTTGTAGTTGTAGTCTCTCAATTAAGTATTTGTATAATAAAAGAAATATGTAGATGAAATATAATGATGCCATATATATAATGTATATGTATTTGTATATCCCATGTCATGGTGATAATAATAAATAATCAATTATGTGTATGATGATCTGTGTATTAGATAATATCATAAAGGGAGATCCGTTTGACTGGAATAGCTGAGGATATTATTTTATCCTTCAGTCTTACTCTCAGATTCAGCAGTAATCAATACTCATTCACAACATTATCCTCCACCAGATTCAACAATACCTTTTGTTGATTCGGCAATAAAACATTTCATTTACTATTTCATTGTCTGGCCAATTGCTTATTTTATTATAGTCAATCATGCACATAATTTTTGTACTTTATGGAGATCTACACTGTAAACTCAGCTTTGTGGATTACGTGTTCATTTTTTGTTATTTTAATTTTTTGTTGCTCTTCTTTTGTGTAATCTTTCTTCTCTACTCAAAGTGGTAGGAAGTGTTCTTTTCTTGTGCTCATCGTTATTGTTACTTTTACCATTTAGTCTTGAAGTGTGAACTATTTTCTTTTTTGAGGATGCACTTTTGTTAATCAAGTCTTCAGCTCTCTCATTCTCTAAACGTTCCAACTCTCTAACTTTCTTCCAATATTTTTGTACAATTGTGGAATCGGTAAAGTCTTCAGCCTTTTGCCATGTATTAGCGCGTTCGCCATAGCCAGCCCATTTGACCAAATATTCTCGTTGACCAGCAGTACCACGATGATCTCGAATGTCTTCAACTTTGTAGAGCTCATTCTCAATTGTTGATTCATCGATGGTGACCATCTTGAGTTCTGAGGGTGTATAATTTTGGTGTAACAATTCACCTTGCTCATCCTTTAACTCATACGATCCTCCTTTATTCTTTCGAACCACTGTATATG